TTATATCTTTATTAATCCTAGAACTTACTTGCAAGAGTGATGAGGTGTTTGATTAAGCTTTTAAATGGAAAATTGAGGTTGAACTCCTAAAAGTGGTGCTTTTGGATAGGAAGTTTTTTGTTATATGTAGGATTGGATCTTTGATAAATAAGGTCTTTTATGTATCTGAAGTTGTGATGAAGGTGTATAAGGATGAGCGTATGTGGATGTTTGATTTGGGTTGCTTAGTGTATATAATCCTAGTTAGGGTCTACTTTTTAATGTTTACCTTCTATTGTACATCTATTGTAACTACTATGAATCAGACTTTTTATAGTAAAGGATATAATCAAGTTTGTATCGATCTGGTTGATAAATATGCTTATGGAGAAGGTGATAACCTTGTATATATAGAGGGTATTATTTTAGAGAAGGTCTGGTATACTTTGTAGTTAAGTAGTAGCTTGCTATTGATCTATAGCCTTGTTGAAGAGAATATTATTAGCATCTTCTATTAAAACTATGCTTTTTTATGCTCTGAATTATTATGGAATGTGAAGGGGTATGTAAATTGGGGGGGTGGGTAATACTGGTTATGCGTTTATCTGAATGTGTAATTGTATTTGCAGATGTTTATTATTTCTATTACTCCGAACGTTTATGATGCTCTGAAAATGGGATTTGAGGATGATAATGTGTTATTTGTTCTTCTTGTTGGATTGGATGGTACTATAGCTGCTATTGTGATGAATTTAGTTTATCGACGAGCTATTTATGTTGGTAAGAATAAGATCTGGAAGACTATCTATAATGTCGAAGGGTTTACTATTGTAAAAGGTTCTGCTTTTAGTCGCTTCTACATACTATATATTTTTAATAAAGGCTATGTTTTATTATTTGGGAAAATGAGGTTTATTTGTACAAAATCTAGGGATCTGCTTTATTTAGATGTTTGGAATCCTATCTCAATCGCTTTACTAGACAATTATACCTACTATATGACTTTTATTGATGATGCTTCTTGATTTTGCTGGGTATTTCTTATTAAAAAGAGATCAGAAGTTTTTGATTATTATATTAAAATCGAACAATTTTTGAAGATGTAATTTAATATTATTATACTACACATCGCTAATAATAATACAAAAGAGTTCATTCTGCTAAGCGAGTATCTAGTCTCAAAGGATGCTACTTAGGATCCTATTTCTATATACTCTTTAAGTTTAAACAGTATACCAGAGATTTGCAACAAGATATTAGTTGAACTGCTTATGAGTATTATAACTAAACATTAACTACTTCACTATCTTTAGGATCTTTTTATTCTTATAATTAATTATATGTTGAATTGGCTGTAACATTTTAAGATTGATTGTATTCTATTTGAGAAGCTTTTTGGATATTAATCTAATCTGTTAAACTTATGTACTCTGGGATGTCAATGCTGGTATCTCATTCTTAAAAAGAAGTACGAAACGAAGTTATATTCTTATTCAGTAGAAGGTTGCTTTATGGGTTATAACAAAGGAAGCTATTAGATATATGATATTAAAATTAAACAAATTATAACCTTACAGGATGTGGTATTCAATAAAAAGCAAATTATACTTTTTATTATGGCTATTAAAGATTAGGTTAATGGTGACCCTCTTATACAAAAGATGATTAACCAGGAAGCATCTTGTTTTGTACTAACTAAATTCCTTCGTCTACAAATGAATCTTGTATTTATTATAGATAATATTGACGAATTTACTTTTGTTGATATGTCTTCTACTGATGATATATCTTCTACTGATAATATATCTTCTAATAACGAAACACTAGTTTCTATTCCTCTGATTCCTCTGTCGAGAATCCTATGTTCTAGCACTCGAGAAGTTTAATAATATGTCATATAGACTGGCGATATTAGAGTGGAGGTACAAACTAGGGGAGCTGTGGAGGATGAAGAAATTAGAGGGTTTGTGGAGGATGAGATAGGTCTGTTAGATTAGGATTCTATAATGAATATCCTGTTATCTTTATCAAATATTATTCATAAGGAGTAAATTTATGAGGATTCTACTTCTGAAGAAGTTTTGGAATTACTATTATTACTGTTGTATCAGTTTACTTGTATTCAAAAGCTTAGTCGTGCAATGCTAGAGTATCTTGTTTACTATTCTGTAATTATTAATTCTAGTACTACTAATGTGTTTATCGAATAATTGACCTTTGAATTTGTATTTGCTATACTAGCAAAGGGTCTTCTTCTGGAGATTAAATTATTCTCTATACTTATTTTAAAGAATAAAAGCTATATTCCTACTAACTAAATAAATATAATAAACTACATTAAATGAGAGAAATAGTTTATTATTATACATAAAGAGCTATAAGCTTATAATCATAATAGAATCTAAAAAATCGTTAATCACTCTTCTACAAAAAGAACTCTTCTAACGTTCCACTAAATATTTATTATTAAATATAACAGAATGTACAAAGCAAAGTTTATTGTCCAAAGCTTCTAATAATATAAGGATACTAACTTTAACAAATTATATACTATTGTTACTAAACTAATAAGCTTTAAGATCTTTATTACAATTATAGCAGCTCTCTATTAGTATATATATTATATAAATATTCAAACTACCTTTTTGAATATAGATTTTAAGAAATCAATTTATATTAAACTCTCTAAGATTCTCCAAGATAAATTTGGCCTAGATAAAATAGGCTTGCTTTTTAAAATGTTGTATAGTCTTAAGCAGTCGCCTTATAAATAATATTAACTACTATAAGATATACTACTAGCAATAGGTTTTATATATATTCATACAGACTATTCGATATTTGTATGCTGGGATAACGCTAAACTAGTATACATTCTAGTTTACATCAATAACCTCCTCGTTATATTACCTTCCGATAAAACGATCGTTAAATTTAAATGTAAGCTTGCAAAGTACTTCGAGTTTACTGATAAAGGGTCTATCAAACGCTATCTAAGGATTAATATAATGTGTAAAGATAATAAGATCTACCTCTTCTAGATTAAATATATAAAAGAGATTCTTTTCTAATTCGGAATATTAAAAGCAAATATTGTAAGTATTCTTATAAACAAAAATGAGATTCTAGAAGAGTATATAGATTAAGTAACTAAAGATAAGATTCAGCAGTATTAGGAGATTATTAGCTGCCTTATTTGGCTGATAGTTTCTATGCGATCGGATATTATATTCTTTATTACGAAGCTTTTTCGCTTTGCTTGGAATCCTTCTTCTAAGTATTCACAAGCTATAAAGCAAGTTCTACACTATCTGGTAGGATTTTACGATCTTTGTTTAATGTTCTTCGACGGCGGGGAATATCTAATCAGCTTCTGTAATGCTGATTGGGTTAGTAAGCACGCGGAGAAGAGTCTGAGCATTTTTGGGTTCGTTTTCAAGTTCGTTGGTGGTATGATTAGCTGGGCTTCCAAACGTTAACGCTGTGTTACGCAGTCTTCTACGGAGTCTAAATATATTACTTAAGCGTTTGCTATTCAGGAGAGTTGATAGCTACTGCTATTGCTTACTAAACTGTATATAACTGAGCTATTCGCCAAACTGGTTATTCTGCACAGTGATAACCAGGGAGCGATCGTATTAGCGAAGAACCCTGAGTATTATATACGCACTAAGCATATCGAGGTCCGATATTACTTCCAGTGCGAAAAGATCGACGCCGGGAACGTGCTTTTTGACTACGTGCCTTCTAAAGAGCAAGCTGCCGACGGCCTTACTAAGCCACTTGTGAGGGTCAGCTTCGCGCGGTTTGTCAGTCAACTGGGCATGGAACCCTGCAAAGGGGTCTGATCAATATGGGGGGAGGCTGAATTTGTTCAAAAACGCAATGTTTACGATTCAGCACCTGTTTCCAAGTATGGATGGTGGATCTAGGCTGTCGACCAACGTGGTCATGGGGGGTGTTTGCAAAGTTTTGCCTCGGGTGCCCACTGTAGATGACCAGCCCTAGCTAGTTTAGATCTTCTCTCTCCTCTCAACCAATTTAAACCAACGTTCCAAAGCAGTATCCTGGTCTAGTAACCCTTCCCTGCTGAAGATCATCCAAGTATCCCTCTTTGACAAATCATTGTATAGCGATAAGAATAAATGTAGTCCGTTTGGAACAGCCTATGATTGGCAGTGTGAACACTACAGAATACTCCGTACAAACTAGTATTTCTATCCACCAGAAATGAGGCACCAACACAATAAACTAGGCAGAAACCACACAAATCCAGGCATCAGCAGATCTAGTCGCTTTGCCCTTTTCGTATATACCACGTATAGAATGCATAGATGGCACCGAAATCTAATTTTAAATTCTTTTATGCAAATGAGATTTTTAAAACATAAACAGTATGAGATAGGGTGGCCCAAAATGCAAGAAGATGTTGTTTTTTTGGAAAAGATCCGTGACTCAGTAAAACAGCGGTCTGCCCGCCTGGATTCCCCGTAGACCCAAACCCAAAAACGATCCAGAAGCATTTTTACAATCAGTCCAAGCGACGGTACTCGGAAAAATGACATAAACATTAGGACTTAGGCATTTGTGTTTTGGGTAGCTGCTCCTGAAGTCAGTATTCCCTGCTCCATATATGCCCCAAGATCCCCTCAGCACGCACATACCCTGCCGGGCAGGACTGAAGTACAAAAATGACCATCAACTAGACGTGGACATATATCCCCTCTTATGGTGAACAAGTTCTGTTTCTTAAATGTCTATTCGACACACCGTTGCTCAATGAGACGGGATCCTAATTTATGGGCCATCGTGAAACACTAAGTCCCCTGAACATCCGTCCGAGTCCGCAGCCTCAAATTTGAAGTCCGGACTCCCCGAATGACCTCGGGAACGAAAAAGAATAAAAAAGCTCGTGTCTATAACGATAAAAGTACTTAAGTCACAAATTCTCCCACAATGTGAACAAGGGACAGCAATCAAAGCAAAAGAAAGCCGCCAGTCTATCTCTCTCTATAGACAAGATGCTTCTCAAGACTATCCTCCCTCTCTTTCTGACTGTTCCGTTGATCGCGGCCTCGAACTCGCTGACCAGGGTTGAACGTCGTCAATATGTTGCTGCCAACGATCTGAACACCGGAAATTGCAAGGATACCATGTTTATCTTTGCGCGTGGATCTACGGAGGTTGGGAACGAGGTGAGTATTTCCTTTACCTAGGATTCCTGGCTGGATCATCTAATTATGTTTACCTTTCAGGGTACTGTTGTTGGACCCGAAGTCTGCGATGCCCTGAAGCTGGACCTTGGGGGTAAAGTGGGATGCCAGGGTATTGGCGGTGCTTATACTGCTGGTTTAGCAGAGAATTTCCTTCCTAAAAACACGGCCCCCCAGGACATTCAGGCTGCAGTGGATGTATTCAACAAGTGCAACACCAAATGTCCCAATGCCAAGATTGTTGCTGGTGGATACAGGTATGTAACCAGCAAATCCAAGAGCCATTCCTCTGTCTACCCATACGTATACTATGTCTACAACCTGTGGGAGAGCATGCTAACAAAATGTTTTCGATATATAGTCAGGGAAGTGCCGTCATCGATAACGCGATCCAGAAGCTGGACTCCGACGTGAGGGACAAGGTCAAGGGTGTTGTCCTGTTTGGTTTCACTCGCAACTTGCAGGACAAGGGTCAAATCCCGAACTACCCTAAGGACCAAACGAAGGTATACTGTGCTGTAGGCGACCTGGTTTGTGATGGAACTCTCATCATTACTCCCGCCCATCTGACCTACGGTGCCAATGCCGGCTCTGCTGCTCGCTTCCTCGCTTCCAAGGTCAAATAGAGAGGGTGGTATTTTTCAAGGTGTTCCCTCGCCGCCATGGAATATGATCTTAGATGCTTGTTTCAATAGAAAGGCGCTTCTTGGGTCCCCCAGGTCTCTGATTATGACAAAACTTGGGGCCTGAATATGAAATCCCCTATGGGGCACTACACGATGGAAGTTCAACTTTCCATTCAAGTTTGTTTTTAGATGAGAAATAAGAGATATGAACAAATTCAATTGCGTTTTGTATGTGAACCTGAAGCTGAAAGCTGACTTCTTTGATGTAGAGAGTAAACACCGTTTCACTTTCAATTTTATGGGCTCAACCCATGGGAATTCCAGACATGCCGACTCAATACGCACAGATGCTAAGCTTTTTGTTGAATTTTGGCCAACGAACAATAGTGTTTTGCCAGGTAGAAGAGGCTCCTACGTCTAACATTCGCGCATGGTAAGTTGTGTGTAGTTCGGTCTTTTCTCAAAGAAATAGCCCCAACGACAATAGCAAAATGTCATGCGATCTCTGCCTGGTCCCAGAGGCTTATAATATTGACCCGAAATGAAGATGAAGCAAGAAAACTCAGATCGTGGTTATTGGGAGAGACGGAGGGGGGGGGGCAAATCTAAAATTCCAAGGTTGGCTGGTCTGATGATCTCTTGAGATCAACGCTCTCAACCGCTGGCCTCAGCAGGAAGAAGCGGATGCAAAAAGGGGGCTAAATACACATTCTTTTCACCAAGCATGCTCCACCGCCCAATAGTGACCTTAACAAAAGATGCGAGTCTCGGGGGCCGGGGTCGAATGATCCTGTGATTTCCCTCATCAATTTGACCTCAGCCTTCTCTTTCATCCCGCCCCATTGTTGGCTTCGACCCTGTCAACGCTGGCCCCCGTCCAGATAATCTCCGATCTTGAGGCCCCAGGGCTCCGCCCTAATGCTGCGTCACTGATCACAACAGCCTCTTCGACTCAACACAAAAGCCCCAAGAGCATCGTACCGAGAGTATGGAGTAAGTACCTTGTACTTACAGTTTCCAATCAGCTTGGAGGCCAAAGCATCCATCCCCGCGCGACTGCGACGTGCTGTTCGTTGGGTGAAGGGAAGTGCACCAAGACTCTGGTCATCAATTTCATCTCCCCCAGCGAAACAACCCAGGCCGAGCTCAGCCCTTCTTGAGCCTATATCCAGCTCGTCCTCTGATCCATCACACGTTTTAGATGGCTGAGATTGACGATATTCGTTATCTCGCTTGACCAGGGGCACAATCTTTGCACCATCGAAGTTTTGTGTAGCAAACACGGTACCTTTGCGGCCTCTGTACATTGTTGTCGTCGAACTTTCTCGTCAAATACGGCTTGGTGCGAGGGAGCATACTAGCGACGAAAGCCCGTGCCCGCCGGGGGCCAAGGATCGAAACCCCTAAGTACCGGAGGCTCGTCGCATTTATTGTCCTCGATGAGCCGTTATCTTCACAGATGCCGGGCTCCCTCTTTCTGGCTCCTAATTCCTCTGACCTGGACAGTTTCAGAGCCATTCAGCGACAGCTATACACCCGCCTTCCCGGGTACATGGTTCCTGATCTGTGGATTCCGCTGTCCCGTCTGCCCAAGGCAGCATCTGGCACAAAATTGATCGACATTTATTGCAAAATGCTGCAGCTGTAATGTCACCAAAAAAACGTCATGCACTTGCGTCCTCCGCGACAGAGAAACAGTCTCCTGTCACTTCCAGTGAGCGGATACTACAGCAGGTGTATGCTGATATCCTTCAAATTCAGCTCACGTCGATTGGCATGGAAGATACCTTTCTGCGATTTAGTGGTGACTCTGTCCAGGCCATCCATCTGATTGGGCCTGCAAGAAAGGCAGGGCTCGTTGTCCAAATGCAAGAGGTCCTCGGTGAGTTCAGTATTGCCGACCAAGCAGAAAAGGCCGTGGCGATTGCATCTTCACCTTCGGTTGTCTATGAGCCGTTGAGTCTGGTGGAGGCCTCGATGCGGGATGATATTTTGAATCTAGCCCAAGAACAATGCAGCGCTCGTGGAACAGTCCCAGATTGAAGACATATATCCGTGCACGCCACTGCAGGAGAGCATGTTCGTCTCCTCACTGCGGCACCCTGGCATGTACACGGTGAATATTTGGTCCCAAATTCCTCGTAGTATGGATACCTCCAGGTTGAAACATGCGTGGAAGAGCATGGCTGCCAACAATCCCATTGTGCGCACGCGGATAATTCACACCTCACATGGATTCTTTCAAGTCGTTGTCGACAAATTCCCGTGGCAAGAGCACAATGCCTCCATTATGGAACCTCCTCGCCTCAAGGAGCTAGTCGGTCAACCGTTGGTTCAATACTTTAATGATGAGAAGGGACGTAAGCTGGTATTGACGAGCCACCACGCTGTGTCAGATTACTGGACTCTACGCCTCATCCAGCAACAGGTGGAAGCCGCGTACCAGGGCCAGTTGCTAGGAACGCTGTATTTTCACCCCTTCATTCAATATACCTGGGGTATCCAGGGAGTGGAGGAGTTTTGGGCGACCCAGCTGTGTGGACTGGATGCCAAGGTCTTCCCAGAGCTTCCAGCCAGCAATTACCGACCGGCGGCGACACAGTCTCTTCAACATGAGATCGAGGGGCTTTGTGTCAATAAGCAAACACCTCATACCTTACCTACTCATATCTACCTTGCGTGGGCATTGCTTATTTCTCACTATACTGATTCCCCCGATGTGGTGTACGGCACGACCCTGAGTGGACGCAATACCTCGGTCCTAATCATTGAGAATATGGTCGGACAGACAATCACGACCCTTCCACTGCGCGTTAAACTATAGCCTGGAATCTCGGTAGTGACCGCGCTGGACCAGGTACAAAAAAACCCTGGCTTCCGTAATTCCGTATGAACAGGCCGGGTTGCCACGGATTGCTAAGAGCTGTCAGGATGGCATGAGAGCCTGCCAATTCCAAAGCCAACTGATAGTCCAGTCCCCCGAGTAAGCAAAACATACATGTTTTCTTGAGACCATCCAAGGGTCTGCCCATACCGGACTGGATTATACAGCTTTTTGTGAGTTCGCGATGATGCCGTCGGTGGTACCCAGCGCAGACAAGACCAATATGGCCATCGACGCTGCATTCGACCCCTATGTCGTCGTGCCAAATGCAATGCGCCGGATTCTGGGGCAGTTTGCGCACATCCTGCGTCAGATCATGCAGCAACCTGCACAGCAGCAAGAAGGGGTGAATATGGCATCCCCGGATAACTTGATTCAACTCCAACGGTGGCACTCTCAGATCCCTCTGGCAGAATCCCGGTCTTTAAACGACCCGGTTCTGGCTCGGTGCCGCGATCAACCACGGGCCACGGCTGTGTGCGCGTGGGATGGGTCGTTGACATATTCGGATCTAGCAGGCTTTTCTTCCTCTCTGGCCTGGCGACTTAGGTTGCTGGGCGTCCACCCAGGTTCTCCAGTAGGAATTTGTCTGGAGCGGAGTATATGGAGCGTTTTCGCCATTCTAGCCATCCTGCGCGCCGGAGGTACGTGCATCCTATTGGACCTGCATCATCCGCGCCAAATGATCAATGATATTCTCAAAGAAACATCCGTCCAAGTCGTGATCAATAGCCAGGCGACAGCCGCAAAGCGGCCTCACGTCCACCGAGGTTTGTCTTGATCAATCAATCAGGGACAGCCTGCCCCAGACGCCGTACCTCCATGATTCACCGATCTCTCCTGCTGCACCTGCCTTCATTCTGTTCATTTCGGGCAGCACCGGTCGTCCAAAAGGCATCGTCTGCCGCACAGGACATTGGCTTCCAGTATCCGGTATCATAGCGCACCGATAAATGTTGGAGCTGGGTCGCGGGTACTTCATTTCTCCTCGTATGCGTTTGATGTCAGTATATACGAGATTTTCACCACACTGGCGGCGGGTGCAACCCTGTGCATTCCGTCGGAATTTGATCGTACAAACGCGCTTGCTGGGACAATATGCAGGCTCCAGGTCAGCTGGTCGTTTCTCACTCCATCAATAGAGCAGACTTTACAGCCTTGGGAAGTGCCATGCCCCTCAACCTTGGTGTTAGTTGGAGAAGCCGTCACCCGCGAAGACCTTGAAATTTGGAGCCCTGGTCGCACGTTGATCAACGGATATGGCCCTGCGGAAGCCACTATCTGCGGTGTTGGACACATTCCGCCAGCGAATTGGAAGCAAGGATTGATTGGGTCAATTGTTTGTGGTATCGGTTGGATGACGATGCCCACCGACACGTCACGATTGGCTACCATTGGGGCCATTGGAGAACTGCTGCTGGAAGGACCTTTCCTGGCTGCTGGGTACTTCAACCTTCCAGAGGTTTCAGCCGCTTCATTCATAGACCCTCCGACATGGAGACAGAGAATGCCCTTTGATTCATCTTCGGGGCTCTATCGAACGGGTGATCTCATGCAGTACCAGGATGATGGAACCATCCGATACATGAGCCGGCAGGGTACGCGCATGAAGTTACACGGTCAACTCATTGACCTGGGAGAGGTAGAAAGCAACACGCTCCGTGAGTTCCCTGTGGCGAACGGAGTAGGAGCGGAAAGAATCTGTTTGGAATCTGGCGGCAATTTGGCAACCCTGGTCGCATACGTGAGATCGGACTTTCACGACCAAAAAGATCATGATGCCAATATTATTCTAGACTCGTTAAGCCAGGAATTTCGTCGGAGTACGACAGCCGCGCAAAAGCGCCTCCGAAAGCTTCTTCCGTCGTGCATGATCCCGTCCATTTTCATCCCAGTCCAGGTGATGCCACTGACAGTGACGGAAAAGCTTGACCGTCGCAGTCTGAGATCCGCAGTTCAGTCACTCTCCTTTGAAGAGCTCCAGAACTACCGGGCAGTATCGCTAGCGAAGTCGGAAGTGTCCGGCGATTCCGAGCTATTGCTGCAAGCTATGTGGGTTGGTCTCCTGGCCATGGCCAAAGAATCCATAGGGGCAGAAGACAGCTTCCTGGTCAGTGACGGCAATTCGATCCTCGCGATGCAAATGGCAGTCATGGCTCGACGTGCCGGATTCGATTTCACCGTGGCGGACGTCTTGAGCCCAAACAGCTCGATATCATCTCTTGCGTTGTCCTTGCAGGTAGTGAGATCCGGTCAAGCGGGACTTAATCTGCCTGCCCCAACTCGGCCCTCAGTTCTCACATCAGTGAAATTCCAGCAACATCTCGACTCTCTACGACGTCAAGGAACTTTGTCCCAGGAAGGAAGTGTCACTAGCGCGCGGCTAGCTACTGAAGCACAATCAGAACTCGTTTTGTGCTATACGTGGTTCAATTTCCAGTTTCCATTCGAAGGCGAGCTCGATGAGGATCGACTCCGAAATGCTTGTCATACACTCGTCGGTGCTCATAGTGTGTTGCGGGTTGCCTTTACTGAATATCGGGAAGAGCTCTTTCAGTTGACTTTAGCGGAAGATATGGAGCTCCATCTGCAGGTACTAACGACTCAATGTCAGTTAGAGCCTTTCTGTGAATCCTTTTGTCATTCAGAGCAAGCAGTGCCGGTTCCTTCAGCAGGGATCGCGACCCGGTTTACCCTAGTGTCCAATCCCTCGCATACCGATCAGCGGCTCATAATTCGTCTAGCCCACTCCCAGTATGATGCCACTTCCACCTCAATCCTGATGCGCGAGCTTGAATCATTATACAATGATGAAAAGATGATCGCCGATGCCTCTTTTGATTGGTACCTTGATCAACGTGCGTCGCATTCAGATCAAGAGCAGCACCGAGCCTTCTGGCAGGAGTACTTGGCAGGCTCTTGCATTGCCTCATCTCCCCTAGATCTCACCTCGGCCACGCAGTGGATTACAGGAACCTGCGATCTCACTTTACCAGCTGGGCTCTCATCTGCTATCACCCTCCCGACTGTCATGAAAGCCGCTGCTTCCCTAATTCTCGCCCGACGCTTCAATTGACCAGATATCGTCGTAGGCCAGACTGTCGACGGGCGCAGTCTGCCATTCCCTGACATCGACCGAATTGTTGGCGCTTGTATCAACTATATCCCCTTCCGGATACAGACCCGTGCATCTATGACTGCACGGGACTACCTTCTGCACACCCAGAGCCAGCATGCCCGAAGCCTGCGCTCCGAGTGTGGATTTGCGTACGATCATCTCGCACTGCACAGATTGGGCGTCTGCGACGGAGTTCGGGTGCATTGTGCAGCATCAGATGGCGAATAACGGCCTGGATTTGACCCTAGGGTCCAAGTCTGCGTCTCTCAAGTTGGTAGGCGGGCTCTCGCCCGGGTCGGAGGTATGGATTTGCTCTACCGAGACACCATTTGGGGTGAGGATTGATATCCACTGCTCTGGGCAGAGGATGGGTTTCGACCACGCCACATCTATGGCAAGTGAGATTTGCGCAATGGTAGATTCTCTGAGAAGTTTGGATCGGTATTTGTACACTATTGAAGGTATCCCATTTCCGAGTGAAGTGTGAAGTGGGCGATTGATGTTGGACACGGTTCAATTCTCCGGCTCGGGCCAACCTCGGACCGAAACACCTCGTCTCTTTCACCTCGTCGATCTTTACTCCGAACTTATCTACAACATATATTCATTACTGGATGTTGCATATTACTCTGATGTGGTTATGAAAGAAGTGCATAAATGCTATCTAAACATTATAGATTAGTTAGGCTGAGATAAAATCTACGATGTCGCTGCTCGGTGACACTTTCGCAGATTCCTCCGACCCAATGCACGACACCGTTTACAGGTTACCCTGACCGGCGCTGCCGGCGGGGTCAGTGCTGGCCTTGGAGGCATCGGCCAGAGTCTCGCCCTTCAGGTTGGACAGAACGTCGGAGGAAGAACCAGTAAGGGTACCGCCGTTGACGTTGGCGACACAAGAGCGGCCGATGGAGGAGGAGCAGGTGCTGGAGTCGCTGTCGGCGGCGAAGAGCGCACCTTGGAAGGAGGATTCCTCGAGCACCTCATTGACGTTGGAGAAGTAGTTGCCCTCTGCCAGAACATATCCACCAGAGCCGATCTCGAAGGCGTGACCGGAGTTCTCGTCCCAGTAGTTGTTCACGGCGTGCAGGTAGGTGTTCTCCTGGACCTTGGGGGCACGACCACTGGTCTTGTACAGGTAGTTACCCTTGAAGGTCACCTTGTCGCTGGAACCATCCAGGTAGACATTCCAGTAGTGGTGGCCATCACAAGTGGCAGACCAGTCAGATTCACCGTTGATGTAGTTGTTGGTGATGGAGACCCGGTTGTCCGCCTCGGTGCCGAGGACGTAGTGCTGGCGACCGATACGGGCAGTCTAGATGACATGTTAATCTCTTTTTCTCAAAATCATATTCGCTGAACGTACAGTAACGTGGTCAATCCAGATCAAGTCAGCCTCGTTGACGGTGATGGCATCACCACCCCACACGTACTGGGGGTTGATGTCGGTGACAGCAATGTTTCTGTTAAGACTGTCAGCGGACTTTCTTCTAAGGTTTGACTTAGATCCAATGCGGCGATCACACTTACTGGATGATGACGTTCTCGGCACCGCTGACCATGCGCAGGCCACGGCCCTTGATGACACCCTTGCTGCCCTCACCAATCAAGGACTTGTTGGAGCCAACAGTGATACCGAGCAGACCGGCCTTGTTGCTAATCGAATGTGTGAGCATGAAAATCAACCATCGCTGCATATACTGCGGTACTTACTAGGTAACGGAAGTAGTCGCCGCATCAGGCTGGTAGTTGGTGCACCAGTCATCCTTGTTGATGGCAACCTGGCAGGCAGAGCCGGTACCCCAGGGCTGGCAACCAGTGGTCGTAGTGGTGCCCTCGGTGTCGGTGAAGTCGAAACTATTATCCACGATCAGCCATCGTCTATTCACAGGAATGTTCCTATACTCACGTCTTGCTCAAGACAATGACACGGGCCTCACTGTCACCGAGGTAGGAGACCAGCTCATCGGTGGAGGAAGGGTAAACGGCGGTGGCACTACCGCCACCAGTGGCGGAAGAGGCGAACCCCTCTGGGGTGCCGGAGACGCCGACCGCGGCGACCTTCGAGGCCAGTGCGGCCATGGCCGTGAGAACGAATGCGTACTTCATGGTGAAAGATGAAGGGTATATAACGAGTGGCGGTCTGAAAGAAACGAAGCAAAGGCGAAAAGAAACAATGAAGGGAGCGAATAAAATGGAAAGAGAGGAATGGATTGGAGTGATAGGCCCGGCATTGGCCTTTTATATATACTCGTCTGGGGTACTAAAGAGAATGTTTCGGCCATTAAGCATACCTCCGTCCCGGATCAGGAGGTTCAGACAGCCCTTGTCTCCGAAATGAACTTCGAAACCCACCGTTTAGAAGAATTAAACATTCGGATCATGGTGGAGATATCACTGCCGATCACTCGGCGCAGCGGTGCTTTTGGGAAGTCGATCGTCACCTCCGTCGTCGAAATATCCACTAGCCGTGATAGTGAACCAATCAATGTTTGAGAGACTGTGAAAAGGAATGCAGCGGCAGTGGGGGTGTTTCAGTTGGAGATGTTTCATCTTGATATCGAATTCTTCCGCGTGGGTTGCCATATTGCTTTTGATTAATCGTCAGACGCTTTAATTTCTCTTCATCTCTCCGTCTTTTTAGTGCTTCCCAGAGCCTACCAGTAATCGTGTCGACCATGACGCGGCTAATATGCATGCCGTGCACTCGTACAAAGATTGAGACTACGAGTACTCGTATTCATCGTAGTGCCCTCTGAACCACAGCGAGTCGGAAGAATGCTCCTTGGTCCTATGGGTCTAGAGGAGCCCCGTTCTCTTTCCAAAGTTGCCCGGTGCCCGGTTAAGTGGCTAGCAGCTGTCAAATCACATTTGATCGCAGTTCTTCGCCAATGGAAGCTTCGGGTATTCCAGACTTGAGAATCCTTCTGCCATGGACCTGTCACCTCTGCTCGCCCCTGACACTTCTGGAGTTGAGCTAATCATTCACCTGGTGTGTGATATAACTCCCAAGAATTTCAAAGGTCGGAGGTACTCCGTACTCCCATGGTTCTAAAGTTCTAAAGTCAGATATTTGAATCCCCTTGGGTAGATACATACTAGGTAGACTCAGAGATATATAATCACCTGGGCAAATCTCACCTCTAGAGTTATCGAATCACCCGGCGGACAAGGTGAAAAACAGCCCTTGACCCGTGCACGTCTATGCTTAGTACTTCAGACGAGCATCGCCTTCTAACCTCCCAAGCTTGGAATCTTGAAGATTATGTTCCACTTGCGCACGCACTTGAGCATGGCCCCGGGGGTATTGGGGGCGTTTTATAGCATCTCCTCCATCCCACCATTAAGTATTCTCGTGGGGACTGCCAAGATGGTTGATTCTAAAGTTTGCTTCGAAGCTGCCCAGGTGGGCTTATATAGGAGTGTGCAGACATGCACGTAAAGCCCTGGTCAAGTATCAAGTCTCATACTTAAGTAAAATCCCACAACTTTAGAACTACTTAGTACTTAAGCAGCCTTCCAATTTTTCAATGTTAGATTTTGCCCAAGTGAGAAACTGTCTTCTTATCTAATATTTGTTTAGCGCTGGCGCCAACGTGTGCTACATTTTGTATAGAATATGGCCACAACTCAAGACACAATGATGCCCTCCCGACAACCTTGGAATTGAAATCTATAGATATTCAATGATGAAATTCAAGTCAGAGAGTTCTCAAGTTTCCTACTCCATATTCACGCATGATTTCAATTTTCTGAAATTAAATTCAGAGTATAAAATTTACGCCGAAACCGCTAGTTATGACCTGAACATAAGTAGTGTCCACCTGGGCAATGTGGCAAAGATATATCCATGGATATCCAGCCTATACATCAAGGGATTGAGAATAGTCTTTTGGACGCAGAGCTTAATATAGTATACACCTATTTTCGCATCAGTCTGATTCATTCCTTAAGTGGTTTGAAAACATGTTCCTGGAGACTCTATTCCCTTTATTACTTCCCCACTTTTCCTCGAGGACCTTGTGTCTCAAATTCCAAAGTTGCAGCACAGGGTATAATTCACAAATAGAGAGGTCGTGACAGGGATTCCCAGATCCTCTTCAATTTGAATTGATACCTCTGAAATCAGGCCCCCGATTCATATGCACGTTTCCCTCGCCTTTTGCATTTACCTAGTTCTTCATGCCGGGCTGCTCCTAGCTCTTTCTTTTCCTTTATTCCCAAAATTGTCTCGCAAGACCGATCCTGATCGATTAATTTTTCTGCTTTGCTACTTTAGTAGTATAGAGCCACCGTATCACCTATAAAACTGCAAGAATGATAGCAAAAACTTGGCCAAGAACGAAGGTGACATATGACTCCCGAGTGAATTTCCAACCTTGCTTTTGCATCTATGGATACTGAGGTATCTCTTTGGTAATCTCCTATCATGCCCAATATACAGTTAAGACTTTGCCTCAAATCTCACTTCGTCAACCTAGGATCAGCCTGGGTTGTTAGAATACCGACGAGGCAAAGCTATGGAATGACCAACGACCTGGTTCTCAACACAAATTCTATGAGACATCTAGACTACTCACAGTTAGCCCGAACTCAGATGAGATGTTTCGGCGTGGAATTGTGCCGACTCTTGGCATCTTGATTCCTAACTGGACCGCTGCAAGTTGTGTTGTAACTTGAACCAGGTCCATCGTGGGGACCCTGGAATATCCTTTGCCCTGTGTACAACTTGAACATTGCAACCATACCCAGGTAGCTATGTGAAACCCATGCTTTCGTGTTTCAATGGTGTAACGATCTGTCCTGTTCCGAGCTACATATCAGCTCAGGGAAATTTTCGCATAGACTGAATGAAGCTGGACCTTTGCGGCCCCAAGCCTTATATTCATCGGTGTTGCGGCCTTTCCCGGTGGGTTCCAAGGTTCCTGTTTGAATTTTTATCCTTTGTGGTCTTTTGATACAGGTCTTCGAAGGTCTCTCTTATCACTGACTTCAGGAGTCTGATCTGAATTTTCGATACCATCCACCATGGAGGACGACGACTACCTATTTTACAGGAGAGGAAGATATGAGCATGATGAAAGTTTGGCCAGATCTTCTTATGATGTGAAACGAAACATGAAGCGCAAGAAGAAAGACAGCGACAAGTTTGCTTTAGGACGAAGAGGAATACTAGTCTTCTTCACCCTTTCGGTGCTAACTTTGATGGCGGCCCTGGATGGGACCTCACTATCAGTTGCTCTGCCTGTAAGCCATGACGAATGACCTTTTCTTACATCCCCCTTCTCACCAATTGCAGGATATAGCTCTTGAGCTAAACGGAACGGCCATTGAGGCATTTTGGAGTGGTACTTCTTTCTTACTGTGCTCAACAGGTAAGTGAGTCTGGACTGGTGTCCTTTTAAGATGCTAATTTCACCAGTGTTCCAACCGAGCTTTGCATCCTTCTCCAACATTTTCGGCCGCCGCCCCATAATCTTGATTTCGCTTGTATTCTTTGCGGTCGGTGCCGTCATTTGCGCCATTGCGAATGATTTCACATTCATGTTAATCGGTCGGTCCATCCAAGGCGTGGGTGGAGGCGGGATTATATCCCTCAGTGAGGTTATCATCACCGATCTTGTCCCTCTTCGATGGCGTGGACAGTACTTTGGCATCCTCAGCGCAATGTGGAGCTTGGGCTCTGTGACAGGACCCATTCTTGGTGGTGGCTTCTCTGAGAAGGTGTCATGGGTGAGTTGAGAGGCCTCTGGACATCAGCAAATCTAGATGCTAACATGAGCAGAGATGGATTTTCTATATCAATTTCCCCTTCATTGGGGTTGGTGGAGTACTGGTCATTTTATTCCTCAAGCTCAAGCTCGCGCCCAGCTCGCTGATTGAAAAGCTCGGTCGAATTGATTATGTCGGAACAGTGCTTTTTGTGGGAAGTATGTCGTCTTTTTTGATCCCCCTCAGCTGGGGTGGTGTCTCATACGAATGGAACTCGTGGAGAACGTTGGTCCCGCTCATCGTTGGAGTAGTTGGACTATTCGTTTTTGCCTTCTACGAGTACCGATTCGCGTCCGATCCCATTATCCCACCGGTGATATTTCAAAACAGAACGGCAACGGTCTCATTTATCGGGAGTGTTCTTCAGGGTCTCATTTTATGGTGCGCTTTATACTATCTTCCCCTCTATTACGAGGCTGTGAAGGAGTATAGCCCTATTATTTCCGGTGTTGCCTTGTTCCCGGAGACCTTCACCGTGGCGCCCAGTGGAATGGTGGTTGGAATCCTCATCACCGTTACGGGCCGCTACCGGTGGGCTGTCTGGCTTGGGTGGACCCTTTCAACAATCGGAATAGGACTAATGTGTCTCATCAAATCCGATACTAGCATCCTGGGCTGGGTCTTCTTGAATATAGTACCTGGTCTTGGACTTGGTATCTTGTTCCCTGCTCTTGGTTACGCCGTGCAGGCCTCTTCGGAACCCGAAAATCTGGCCATTGCAGTGGCCATGTTCAGTTTCTTCCGTGCTTTGGGTCAAGCTATAGGGGTAGCTGTTGGTGGTGTCGTTTTCCAAAATCGCATGTTCAACAACATCTTGAGATACCCTGCTTTGGCCCCAATGGCCAGTGCTTACAGCAAAGATGCCGCAGGGTTGGTCCGAGTCATTAAATCCATGGCAGATGGTACAGATAAGTCAAACCTGAAGGACGCTTACACAGACAGTCTTCGAACAGTATGGATAGTCTGCTGTGGGGTGTCAGGAGTAGCACTGCTGCTCGGTTTCTTTACTGAGCACTATGATCTTGACCGTGCCTTGGAGACGAATCAGGGCCTCCAAGGGGATGCCGAATCTAGTGATGATGAGAAAGGCTGGAATATGCGTATGGAAAACACAATGGTCAGGGAGACTCGGCCATGGGCGTGGTAGAGCTTCGCTTTCGACAGAGAGAGGCTCTCATCTTGTACAAAGTAATCACATTTATTTCTAATGATAATCAGCCTTATCATTCATGGAAGACCCCATATAAGTCTGATCAAGGGTTGGTTCAGAATCCAACACCTCGAATCAAGGTCTTGATCCCCTCGCCACTCTTGGTAGTGTCCCAGGCCTTGGTCACCTCCTCAAAGGGAAATACACTGGTGATAAGTGGCTTTAATTCAATCTTTCCAGACATAGCCAACTGCAAGGCAAGTTTGAAATCTCCGTGGCCATATTGGTAGCATCCTTTGATAGTAATCTCATTCTCTGAGACTGTCGAGATGGGAAAGTTAACATTCCGATTTCCCAATCCTGTTTGCACAAATGATCCTCCAATGCGAAGTGAGTAAATCGCCATTTGAATGCAAGACTCTGCTCCAGTAGCCTCAATTGCCACGTCGAAGCCTGACATTCCAGGGTCTTCATCGGGGTTCAAGTTTTGCAGCCGATTCCTCAGACCAGCCGCATTATCCTCAGCAGGCATTGGCTCCGGAATAGCTGTCGAAAACAAGAACCGATCGCGGGCCATCCATTTCTGGGCAAATGCCAACTTCTGATCACTGAGATCAACAGAAACAACTACAGAGGCTCCAAACTCGCGCGCAACAGCCGCGCACATGAGCCCCACTGTCCCAGCACCGAACACGATGACCCTATCCCCGGGTTTGACACCGACCTGCTTCACAGAATGGACTGCGACAGCCATTGGCTCAATCAATACAGCTTCATCAAGCGCTATTTGAAGAGTTGACCTGTTCTCACCCAGAGTTTTGGCAATCTTGAAACAGCAATCAGCTGGAACCTTGAAGAATTTCGACAAAGTCCCATGCGTATGGGGCGGATTCGCTGCAAACATCATATGAGGACACAGATTATAATGACCACTTTTGCAGTTTGAACAAATACGACAGGCAAAGCCAGGTTCGATGGCGATTTCATCCCCTGGTTTCAGATTTGAGACTGCGGGGCCAACGGCATGGACGATACCAGAAGCTTCGTGTCCCATTACTATTGGATTTTCTTCCGAAACATGGGTTTTGACACCTCCGTGCAGCCAGAAGTGGACCTGCAATTTGTTAGACGTTATCAAGTCATTGCTATCGTCCGGGGCTGGGTACATCACTGCCGCAGACGCCTACATAGGCAATGCGAATGATCACATCGAGAGGATCTTCGATCACAGGCATGGGACGATTCTCGTATCGCACATCGCCACTGCCATAGAGTAAGCAGGATGGGTTATCTCCAAGACGGTCCATGGTGAAAATTTGGGAATCGGGGAAGCGGAAGAGTATGGGTTGAATCTTACACAGTTTTTGTCAGGGAAGCGGCTTATAAAGAGCTGCTCGCCCTTCTGCAACCCGGGACATCGTCGGATCACCGGGGCGAGGTACATCGGTCGACAGCCGACCGACGAGAGCCATACGCATGTACGGAGTATACTTGTACGATTGCTGCGGGGAAATGATGGGCATTTCCCCGCTGTTGTGCATGTCCAATGTGGTTTTTTGTTTTTTGTTTTCCAAGGAGATGCTTATGGCTGGAATGTGTATAGTGAAGGCTCTTTGGGCCTGAGCAGAATCTGTTACTTGAAAAGATGTCGACAATCTCGCCGCACGTTGAGAACTCGCTATACGAGAGACAATGTACATATTGCTGCAAGTAACCGAAACAACCAGTCCAAACATTAAAAGGGTAAAGCATATTTTTCGCCGTTTTGACCAGGGGAAACATAAAGCATAAGAGAAACAGGTCGTAACATCGTGAAGGGAACCATAAATAGCAAAAGAGAGGGTCAGATCAACGCAGCGCATGGAGACGATCTTTCAACAGGTCCATCTCCCTGTCATGATCCATCCCGCGCTTTTCTACTGCGCGGACATCATCTTGGACCATCACGGACCGATAGTGTCCATCGCCATCCGGGGCGCCCACGGTCACCCATACAAACTTGGTGCCGGGGGACTTTGGTTGTGGGCGTTCTTGGGTTCCTTGCCAGAAGGATTCATCGGGCATTGAATCGGAGGACTCAACTGAGGGTGGGCGACCGCCTAAACGTCCGAATTTGATCCAGACCCTGAGGGTATCTTTGATAAAGGCGATTTTTTGAATGAAGGCGTTCGCGTCGAGGATATCACGAATACGATCCTCCATGGAATTGAGGGAGTCGCCGTTGGCAATGCTGAGGAACGTGGCAGCCTCGTCAGACGCGACAGCGCGGGTGTCAAAGCCTGCGGGATGCATTTTGCCTTTGGTGGTGAAATAGCGAGCAGCCGAGGGAGAAAGGTGATAGAAATCAATCCACGGGGAGGAGCTGCGAGTGCGACCGGGCGAAATTACCAGCTTCGTATGGTCGGGGAAGTTGAACTGGAAAGCTCCATCTCCGAAACCCCATATTCCAACATTGCCCAGACGCTGGTAGAATTTGATGAACTGGGCACTATTATGTTGAGGCAAATCAGCGTCCATGATGCCTTCGTCGCCATGGCGACCGAGGGCCCCGATCATGTATTTGCCAAATTGGTCCACGAGCTTCATGCGCTTGATCTTCTCTGCATCGGCCCGCTCAGACTCGGTGCCGGCGCTGGATCGAACTCGCATCGCCCGAGAGGTTTTCACATCAAAGAGCGTAGGCGAGACCACGGCTCGTCGGATACCGCGGCAGCCAAGCAGTTCATCATCCCGATTTTCATAGAATTCCACTGATGGACCGGTGCGAGGAACAAGTTGGTCCGCCTCGGAATAGTATATTGGTTTTTGATCGCTTTTCTCATCATCAACACTGCGCGCCTTGCGACGGATGTGTCTTTCGCCATCCCGCAGGACAACACTCGTTGCCGGCTGGCCATTTTCACCTTTGAAGACACAGCCAACACTTCCGTCATCCAACACATAGCCAATGCCATAGCGATTAGTGTAGTCGACCCATTTGATGACATACGCGTGGGGTTGTTTTCGCGCACCACCTCTCCGCCTACTTGGTGCGTGATTGACCAAGTTGGACAGCATAAGACGCAAGTCGGTGTTGACTTCGGTCAGGGAGGTTCTGGGAAGGAGCTCGCAAAGGTCTTCGGGGTGGAATAGTGGACTCACTCCCAGGGAAGAGCGGGCACGACTGGTTGTCTTGCTGTTTGATCGACTGATGCCGTTGGAGTTCGACCGCCCGAGACCCTGCGAGTCAGACGAGGACTTCGATTGCGCTAACGAAGAAGGAGCAGTCTCTTCTACAGGACTTTTGATCCGTTTCTCAATTCGGGATGACGCAGGTTTCGGGTCTGCCCGAGACGAAGACCGGAGAGATGCTTGACGGGTAGCTGGCGGTTTCCGTTCCTCTACCATTGTAAGTGGCTGCCGTTCTCTGGTTTGGATCGAAGGCTGTGGCAACTCCTGGTCAGCGGCCGCCAATCTTCGAGACTGAGAGCGAGTTTTGCCTACAGTCAGGCCATTCGGCATGCTCGTTGACTTGGTTAGTTGGGGGGCAATCTCCATGTCTTTGCTCCGAAGAGTGCTGGCCTGCGATGCAGATGCCATCCGCCGAGTTCGAATAGGCCGCTCTGCAAGCCCTCCAGTCGGTACCTCCCTCTCCATGGCGGGCTTTGCCTCAGGCGGCGCCATGTCGCGATAGGGCCTTGACGATGGAGGATCGATCACCCCAGGCGCTCTTCGTGGAGACATAGGTGGTACACGAGCTTGCTGTCGAAGTGTTGCGGCATGGCTCTGTCCTTCGAGTCGGCGCTGTTGAGCGGCAGCCAAGGCAGCATTGGTACGCGATGCCACCACAGGGTTAGGGCGGGCCGGGACGCTTCGCGCATACATCGTGGACATGGTGCTACTGTTGAGCATCGACTCCTCACCTCGAGCCACCTTCCGAGCGTTCTCCATCGTGCACCAGTCTCCGTCGAAATCGTGTGGCCATCGGTAAACATAGTCAGATGCCAAGGGAATCACTGGCCGTAAGCCTCTGGAATCCTCTACATCACACTCAGAGAACGCAGACTTGGAGCAATTCCTGCCAACTGATTTGCGAGCCATGCCGTCAGGTTTCCGCCCCACTCCGCAGAGAGAATAAAATGCAGCTCTGCAAGAATGATATCGCTGACTAGGGTCGTCTACCTGGTACACATAGGCTCGCAGCTTGTCATCGGAGTCCAGCCCGTAGCCGCTCACCACGGCATCACCTCGCGGGGAAGCATCTTTGAGCCATAACGGTTTGTTGAATCGACATGAGGGGTCCAGTTGGCGCGGAATGCAACCATCGTACATGTTGAAGAATGGATGCTCGACGATATCATCCGGATCTGGTCGTTCTTCGTCAACAAGGTTCAAGCAGCTGGCCACCAGGTCCTTTGCTTCCTCGGGGATGAAGTTGTTCGTGTCCGATTCCTTCGGCCACACATAGCTCAGGTTCCGGACCTTTTTGTATATCTCCTCCTGCGTTTTCGATTGGAATGGCGGGTATCCTGTGAGCATGGCAAAGCTGAAATGAAAGGGTTAGTTTCACAAGCCAACGTACGAATTTGGGGCAACTTCTTACCATATCACTCCTAAGGACCAAATGTCAACCTTTTGGGTATGACCGCCCTTGCTTTTATCCAGCACTTCTGGTGCGATATAATTGGGTGTACCACACAGAGTATTTCGTCGTTTGGCATCTTTATCAGAGAGAATCATTGCTGCCAGACCGAAATCTCCAACCTTGACATTCATATTATGGTCCAAGAACAAGTTTCCCATCTTCAAATCTCGGTGTGCAACAAATCGTTTGTGAAGATATTTAACAGCGGCGCAAAGCTGGATCATCAACCGACGAACCTCTGGCAGGCTCAGGCAGCGGCGCTTCCGCACCATATCCATCACCGATCCGTTCGGGCACAGCTCCAGGACGACATATGTGCTAGAGCCGAAGGCGAAGGCGCGATAAAACTGTACGATGAAGGGGTGGCGCATTTTGGAGTGGATTTGAAGTTCGGTTCGAAACTGCGACGAGTCATTAGACACACGCTACCGGTTGTCATCCCAAGATTCAACATACTTTTTCCTCCATCTTCTTTTGTGGCATCTCCGACTTGACGACCTTCATCGCGAAGACTCGCCCGTTTCGTGCTAATGAGCCCTCATAGCACACTGCAAAGCCGCCCTTTCCCAGGAATCCACCGATCGCATATTGCTCCCCGCCATCCTCCGGCTCTGTCACAACGGGCGGCGGTGGGTCGGCATGGTTCTTGGAGACTGCAGCTTTTTGCTGGTTACTTGGAGGGGCCACATTTTTATCAAAACGTTTGCCGTCCATGGCCAGCTTTGGTTTGATCATCTGGTTTGTTGAACGCGGGGAGAGGGCCTCCATCCTTGGTTGATTTTGTGGCGTCGAATCAGGACTGAAACAGGGTTTCGAGAGCGTACAGCGAAGGGGGTATCGAGTGTGAATATCATTTAAAGCAGTGACTTGGTGCTGTGCAAATGGGTATCAAGTTCCGGCAAGCTTTCATCCCTGCAATGGTGAGAATTCGCACGCAGCAGGTTCCCGTTCCGAACCATGGGGAAATTCAAGAGATAACTTACCAGAATGCAAGGCGCTAAAAAGAAAAAAAGCAAAACTGTACAGAGCAAAGCAAACAGCACCTCAATTGAGGGTTGGGTGAAGATGAAGAACGAGCCATAACAGTTTGCTCGAAACGGCAATCGATAAACATTGCCGTTGGCCCGTGGGGTCACGTGCCCTGTGTTTACTTTTCGATTTGATCTATACTTGCTCATTTGGCAATTATTAGCTGGTAATTCCAGTGTCTTATGAATTGGTCTCTTGTCGTCAGCTTAATATAATAGGTCCTTTATTTTCCAGATGACATTTCCTTGTCAGCGTTCCAAAGTTGAGGTGCGAAATATATTTATTGTGTGTTGACCCACCCTTGGAAGATTGACCCTTTCCTCTATACTCCGTAACATGTCAAGGAAAATAACTTCCAAGTTTCTAGAACAACTCGAGACCCTACTAAATATCATATGCACACCAGCCTCCAGCATTTCAAGGCCAGTACAAAATTTTCATCAGATGCCCAAGTACCCGCTTCTAAGATTTCATTGAATGGAGCCCTGGAGGATGACTCCTAACCTCCAGGGCTCATAGTCCAACGTATACACATGTGATTCGCCATCTTTAGTTCAGGTGTCTCAACTGGCTTCTCCATCCAGGAGAATGTCTGGCTTTTGGATCTCTCTCCAATTGGGAATAATGAAGCCTGTGACCAGGTAGATGCAAACGACCGCGTACTCCATGAGGAGCCCCATAGTGATAAAAGGGGCAATTGGACCGCTGAAATCATTCCACCTCAGGTCGGACGGCTGGTACACCGACAAAAAGAGATAGGAGATGCGGACAATGATGAATGGAGTGGCCAAGGCTGTGGCGTTATGAACCTAACATGAAATATTAGTCTTGATGGTGACGGGTAATCAGATGGCATGTAGCCACCTGGGCAACGAACCGTTTTGCTGGTGGCTGAAAGGTAAGACCGTTGTGTCCAGAAATAAACTTGTACAGCAAGTAGACACCCCACAAAAACCACCACAATGATATACCCCGTCTTGACAAGTTTAAGACCTGTGAGTGCATCACTAACGGTATCGCTTCCTTCCAGAGCTCCACCCGCGACAGTCAGCCCGATCCCCACCACGAAAAGGATGCGAGACAAGACTAAACACTGCCGGATATGGCGGTTCATATTCCGCTCAAGAGCCATTCTATAGGGATGTCAAAAACACAATTTCCAGGATAATGCGTTGAACATTTGTTCATCACTTTCACTCACATAATCCGGAGACAACCCAAAGTTGCCGCTATCAAGGGAATCATGCCGGCGTTGAGAAAAATGACCGACGCGATCATCACACCAGTGCTACTAGACTTCCCCCCGATAATGACTAGGACTCCTGCGGTAATACGAACTGAATACCATGGGTTAGATAAATTAAGTTAACACAAGGCCCTCATGCCGAGACACATACCAAGAGAGAAAAAGGTCAGAACAATCCACGCCATGCGAGGCCGTTTATGCCGATAGCACGCTAGGTAAAGGGCAAGAACCGTCACAGGTAGATAGAACACAATCTGTGCGATACTCAACTTTGAGTGGCTGCCGAGCATGGTGATATGGGTTCAAATTGTCAACTTTGGAAGCTTCAATCAATACTCTGAGGTGATCGTGGTTTGCGCTTGTCAAGTAGTAATTAAGACTGGGTTGGGATGTCTGTGATTGTTTCCAGATTGATATCTCAGAGATCTAGGGGATAATTCGCTCACTTTATAATGATATCTTGGGTGCCTCCTTAACGCAACCCGGCTATGCTAAAAATCTCGTCCATAGATCCTCTCGCAAGATCAGCCCCCTTTTAGGCTTAGCGCAATGAAGCTAGTGGAAGCTCAACATTTGAGTGCTGTGATTGGCTCTGAGATGCCCCACCCATGCAGAGCCCCCCGAGGCTTGTCAACGACCGCCACGACCCGTGGACTCTGTAGCAAATCTCTGACTCAAAGGGCTCAGTTGAGAGTGTTGCAACCTGGTGATTTACCAGTGCTTGTAAGCAGTCAACGTTGTGATCCGCCCTCGTTATAGACCATTCATCTACTTTGTGACATGGTTGGAGTAGCGGGTAAATCGAAAGGATGCAATACGTGTCGGAAGAGAAAGATTGCAGTAAGTGGCGCTAGATCTGTATCCACACCAGGGCCCGATTGACCGAGTGTTTAGTGTGACCAGCAGAAGCCGGTCTGTGCAAAATGCATACGCTCGAACCGACAATGTGGCGGGTACCAGAAAGAGACCGTGTTTGTTCTGGTTCAACCAGCAGCCGAAAGAAAACATACCTTTATCAGATCGCCATCTACGCCTTCATCCAATCCACCTGGAAATGAAAATATGGAGTCGACGCAGTCCAGTCTAGCCACCGTGGCTCACAGCAATGACTCCCCGCACTCCTTCCCCGAGACAAGCCTCGCGTATGGGATACTCCATAGGACCATGGAGTCTCATAACTTGTTTCAAGCCTTCATCTCAAGATGCTTCCCAACCGATCTATTGCCGACCCCCCAATCTTGGATTCCCTTGCTTGGGGGCCTATCCAGCAGAGTTGAAGCATTGGAAATATCAACTGCAGCAATCGCAGCCTCCGCGATAGGCCACATGTTCCACAACGACTATCTGATAAAGCAGAGCCTAAAGTACTATACACGTGGACTCAATCAGCTGCAAAGAGCATTGCGAGACCCCGATATTATGCGAGAAGATGGAACCCTGGCCGCATGCATGGCGCTGAGTCTCTACGAGGCACTTGAATGTCCCAATCCAGGACCCGAAGGCTATTTCAAACACTGCCATGGTCTGGTTGCCCTGGTCAAAGCCCGTGGTCAGCACATGCATTCTTCGAGTGTGGGGCATCGTTTATTCCTCGGTGTTCGAGTCCCAGGGGTAAGTCTCGCATTCCTGGGGGCTTGAAACATCACTGATAGTGCCACCCTTAGATCCTGTTTGCCTTGAATCACCAAACATCGAATATACTTCTAGAGTCAAGTTGGATGGAACAACCCTGGACAGAATTGCCAAAGACACCTCACGATCGGGTGACAGATTGCTTGGCCCGAGCCCCTGCGATACTGCAACGGGTGCAATCATTGATCAGCATGAACCCAGCACAGCAGATATATTCACTCCGCGACATTATCGGTGAATGTTGGCATATCGATGAACAGATGGAAAGCATTTACAACTGTATGCGGGTGTCAAAAGGAGATGCGTTATACTGGCCAGTGCCATCGCGAGCAGATCATCTGATGAATACCGAGGGCCCTGGAAATCTGTTTCCAATAGTCTTCTGCTTCCAGAACACTCAGATCGCTGCTACATTGATGTTGTTGTGGGCAACGCGAACGATGCTGTGGTCAGGTCTCACGAACATGTACCAGCATCTGGAAGCCATCATAGCCGCTCAGGGCCACAACACCAATACTAGCGCAGAGTTGAAAAACGAAGTCAACCCCATGGAGCGCTGCGGGGACTACATATGTGTGGCGCATCAGGTATGCCAGTCTGTTGAGTATTTTCTTCATGATGAAATGCTGCTATCTGGACCTCTCTCTGTGAGTCCTGCACTCGGAATTATCGCTGACAGCCTACGCAACCGACCTGGACATGATCAAGAGCTTGCCTGGATCCAAGGAGCCCTGAAACTAGCTCGACAGAAAGGATTGCGTGTACTAGAACATGTGAGACTCTGACCTATTAAACAACCGATGAGATCAAAGGCATCATTCTGGGACTGCATAACCTTGCTCTGCCCAGACACGTAGGCCCGTCTCACGAAGTGAGCTCTGGTCTTCGTGGCTTGGTTGCGGCCCAGTTTTGCCACGTCGCAGACGAGACTCCGGGGTCTCCAGCAAAGGCAGATCCTCATCTATCCTTGCTGTGTCGAACTCATATGTGCGATACTCCGCATTGTCCCAACCGGTTGCTAGAAGAATGAGTCAGTCGGCTACTGTCGCGCTTGCGCATGGTATCCGTACCTTCATTCTTACTGCAATCCTCCCACTCCCCAGTCAGGAAGTGCATCAGCCCACCATGAGCGACGACCACGATCTCACTTTCGGGTCTTGCTTTCAGCCACAGTCTCGCATCGCGTGCTCTGGCCGAGACAGCGTCTCTTCCGGGGTGGTATCGACCTTTCTGTTCCACACTGGTCAGACCTAAGTTGGCCATTGATGAATGCGATCAGCTTGCCTTTTGGTTCCAGGTATCATGCATCAGATCGAAATCGAATGATACACTGCTTTGTTCAAACTCCTTGCGCAGGCTTGCCACATCGCTGCCAATGTCGCATGGAAAGTCGCTCGTTTCTTGTAGATCCGGGTTCAGGATCAATTTCAGATCCTGGCGCCCCTCCCATACAGGAGCGAAGCCTTGCAAGGCTGTGTCAATAGCCCTCCGGAGGGGCGACGCGACCACCAATTCGACGGCAGAATGGTATGGAAACTCTTGGCGTAGCTGCGCACATTGCGCCTTTCCCTTGTCGGTGATCTGAGGGTCTGTAACATACCAGAACTCATGCCCTAGGTTATGAACACCCTGTTGGAGATAGGATGAGTCCTGAGCTAGTCGAAGTTCCATGTTGACATACCTCAACGTGCCGTACGAAATGGATCTTTGGTGGCATTATGGCGAGTCTCAGTGATGGTGGGGATAGAGGAATGACAATTGGGATGAGCTGTGGTTTTACTCAAGTATTACTCCGTAGTATTCTCAAAGCTCGGCTCTAGGCCCGAGTTATGGATTTAGTTGGATCCTAGTGGGTTGACACTCGACTCCACTGGGGGTCTTAAGAGGCCATCGTTAGATGAATATTGCGACAATAGTTGTACTCCGTAGATGTCAATGAGCTTTACGTTCAAGGTAGATATTTGCAAGTAATATGTGGTTCTTTTCCGTAATCTTGTAAGCATTACCTTTCTACGAGAGCATCGAAGACATTCACATTCGCATTTGAATCGCAAGCCGAACTAAACTTCCGCGTCTTGGCTGCCCCTTTGGGACAAGATCGGACCCCAAAGCAAAAAAAGAAAAAGAAAAACTTGGGGATTCGATTGTGGCATCTTCAATGTCAATTACATATTAGCTAGCATCTGGCCTCTCTGATTTCGGTCTGAGAGAAAAAGGAGATGAATATGCTCCCTGAGGAAACACTCATCTGGACTGTCAGCGTCGGAAGCTGACCCGATCACATCTTCGGGAGGAAAACGTGCAAACTAAGGCTGCGACGATGGTCCGCAACACGGAAATTCATATCTGGAATCATTTCCTTGAGAGCCACCCCGTTGAAGCACATCACCAACTGGTCAGCCCCCGCACTCGATCAAACCCACCTCTCAATTGCGTCTCGGGGTGTACAACCTTGCCCTGCAGAACGGTGTACTTGACAATGCCCTCACAATGCTCCGGTCTCACGCGCGCCAGCCAAATCATCTGCTGATCCTCCTTGCGATAAACTAAAACATTGGCGGAGAATTTGTGACCGCCGACATGCGACACGAAAAAAATACCCACTCCACCGGTCCGCGAGTCATCCAGGTCCCGATCGAGCCCCAGCGGACGGAGATGGCGTTCGAGCTCACGCTTGATTAATGGCGCAGTGATCCCGCAGCGGGCGTCTCGTCTCCGATGGGAGCACAGCAATATCACGTAGTCTAGCTCGCAGGGTCGAGCGCTCATCAACCCTCCCGGGGAGGGGATGACTTTATCCTGATCTTGATCCGCTGGGTGGTCAATGTACTGGGCGATTAGTCTGGGAACGTCTTCCTGGCCGACAGAGTCGACGTATGTGAAGGATGGTAAGATGAGCACGGTGGTTGTTTCAGCACTTTTCTCTGTGACTGACTCGCCAGGAGGGTGGATGTTTGAGGCCGAGACCATGATGCGCTGTATCAGTGTCAGCTATCATGCACTGTGATCTGTGATCTGGATCGACGTACGCCTAGTTCTGATTTCGCGGAATCGAATGCTTCCATCAAGCTCCCCGACTCTTTTTCAACCTTCTCCTTCCAGTCTGATTGCCCGGTTGCGACGAGAACGTGAGAGTGAAACTCCTTGATCTGGCCATAGAGGGCTCTTGAGTCCTCTACCTTGACCTTTGATGGAAATTGAATAGTGCAGTCGGCGCAGTCTTTTGTGCAGTCGGGACCGTCTTCGGCCGAGCTCACTTTGGGAAAGAGGAACTGGTTGTCAGAATCAGAACGCCCGAATGAGAATAATGAGCGTAACATGATGGAAAGTGCTGGTGCAGTGTGACAAGTGTGACAAGTGTGACAACTGAATAAAGTGAAGAAAGTGTTGCTACAAAAAGAGCTGCCTTATAGTTGTTCCGTATCTCCGAGATGTTGAGACCGAACCCCGATTGGACTTATCTCCGAGGTCGTTTTTGGTTTCTTCGCACATCCTTTCTTCTGTCATGGAGTACACAGGCATGGTATTGTAGGGTATGCCATGGAGGCTCAATAACCGATACTCTACTTAAGTATGAAAGTGCAGCTTTATATGAGTAGAAACGCGAAAGAATAGCCGTCATGCTATCGCAACAAAAGCTAGAAATCACCATTTAGTTAATATTATCCCATCCACATTCCACATATATCAACATTTCTCAAATCCATATTTGCCAGGATCTGGCCCATTTCGATATCGTTGTTTGAAAAGTCGCTAGTGCTCGAATCCCAATATGTTTCCAGGGAAGGGGTATCGCTAAGTCCAGGCGAATTGAAATTATTTCCTCCACACGCAAGCCCTAATACGCATTGCGCAATTTTCTGTATCTCTTCAACATTCCTTGCTGTTCTCGGCCAAAACTCCCCCAAAGTCTTGAGACATCCGATCGTCATCCGGATTTGATCTCTTGCGATGGCCAACTCTCTACCCTTGAGGAGGAATCTGCAATCTGAAAGCAGCGCCAGTGTCCCTTCACTGACCATGCAGGTGGTAAAGGGCGTGTGATGAAATTGGCGAACCGGTAAAGCCAAGAGCTGGATTTGAGCCTCGATAGCCCGTCTCACTCGGATTGTGTGTATGTTCACAGAGTCCGGTATGGGGGTGTCGATGGGTGGCTCGCGGGCACAGCTAGACTCGCTCTCGATTGCGTTGAACTTGAGTGCCGACAGCGGACGGTGAAGGCCAATTGTTGATCTATAGAATAAGCAACGAATGCGAGATCGTCTGGGGATAACTTACACGTGAATCACCAAATGAGCCTGAAACATCAGCTCGTCGACTTCACCGGCCGCATTCATGACTTGTTTGCGATCAGGGGGTAGTAATCGCAGCCACCCGTCAAGGCTAGCATCAGCGGCTTGCATGATGTACGTGGAGTCTTCAGCAGTGACCACTGTGGGTGTGGCAGATATGGCAGATGCAGCACACTGGACTGCGCCAATAAGATAACCAAAGGATGAAAAATGTATATCTCTGGGATCGAACTCGCGGCAATCGAATTCGTGTAGGGTTTTTGAAGCGGGTATGTTCTGTAGTCGCGTTAGCTGTCTGATTCAAACCCCCAGGGGGCCTGTATTCGATACTGACCCCGGATTCATAGTCAGCCTCGTCACAGGGCAGTTCCACCGTAGCATCAATGTTTATGACCTGGAAGTTCATCGTGCCCAGGGTCCCGGCATAGTAGGCTTCGATGATATAGAGCATCCACCATGTCCGCCTCCAGGATTCCCTCAGCACGAGGTCGTCGGCTCCCTGTGTAACTGCAAATTCGCAGTGGAACATTTGCAGTTCAATAGCGAGCTTATTTGCCATGTCCATCTGCGATTTTGCATCAACCTTTTTCTCATACCAAAACAAGGCCATGGAGTACAGTAGCCGACATTGGACTATGATTGGATCTGACGCAACTGCTTGTGAGATGGACGCTTCGAGATGTTCTTTCAACGGATCCGACAATTCTCGCTCCTTGTAGATATTCCCGACAAGCCGAATCGCGGCAATTAGCGGTAGAAATTCTTGCTGCCTCCGCGGGTCTTGATGCAGGGTTTCTAGATGATGTTTGGGTAAAACGAAAGGGTGGCATATGTGGAATTTCTTGTAGTATGAATCCACCAGTGGGTCCGTCTCAATGTTGACCGGAGGGACCGTGTCCATTACTTGCAAAAACGAATCCCCGGTGGCGATGGCGCCAAGATTGAAAATAGGGTATTCTTGGGGAAAGTCAAGCTGACTGGGAGCCAGATCATCTTGGGACTGTCGAAAAATAACTGTTGCTGAATTTTTGTGATTGACGTGGCGATTTTTGGAAGGCTCTGCCAGACGCTGCCGGCGCTCCGCCAATGCCGCTTTACTTAGGCCACCGCGCCGTGATTGAGCATACGTGCATTGGTTCTTTGTCTCTGAGCAGCGATCGCAGCAAGGTCTTTTGCCGTCACATTTGAGATGGCGCGAGCGACATGGTAAACAAGCCAGTGATGAGCGTGTCGCTCGAGAACTCTGTGTGGATTTTGGCTCCATGGGCTTCCGCGAAAGTACAAGATACGAAACATGGACTACTCCTTATGCGAGCAGGAGTTCCCAAAAGCAATACCCGCGCTAAGTAGCCCCCCTGGAGCCCACACCGCCCTACGGCCGCTATACCGCGATTTTTGGTCTTCGTCGAATTCTATCAGGGGAATTGAAAGGAAGTCTCTTCATTTTATGACTCATTTCTGAGGTCACATATCCCATAATGACATAGTTTGGATAGGACTTTCAAATTAAGAGTCTATCTGAGTGCTCTTCTCTTTGTTCGCAATGCTCTCACATAGAATTTGATAAATATCAAATAATATAGACTATATCGACAGATTTTCAAGTTATTCTCAACAACCCCCCCTCCCCTTGTATCTCGAGCGTTTCAACTACGTTGAAAGCTCACTCATCTTCCGGGCGATGATATCCTTATACTCCTCGTCATATTGCACCAAAACCGCTGGCCCCTCTCGCTCCAGGGTCTCCGTATCCAGAACAAAGTTCACGAAAAATGCCGCCGGCTCCACCTCGCTCGCATTTGCGCTGATCCGATGGTGACACCCGGGAGCCTCGTACCAAGACTCGCCTTGTGTGATCACCTTCATTGGGTCATTGTTCATTTTGTTCAGTACAGAGCCCCTGATCACATAGGCAGAGACAGAGGCCCCGCCATGGCGATGGGGAGGCGTGGCACCACCTGCAGGGTATTCGACGAGGAGGCCAACGATGCTCTTCCCAGGACAATTAACCAACTTATATTGGTAGGCGAGGGTGGTGGTTGCCAGAGGTCGACTAAGGGCGCGACAAAATATCAGCCTGTGTCTCCGGACGTATAGTATAGCGGTTGATGAAAATACCTTGGGTCGTATGTGGGTTCTTCCATCGTGGGAATCACAGAGGTATCAAATCGGTTCAGGGGTGCTTCGAGTGATAGTCATGGTGTGTGCGTTTGGTAATGCCATCTTATATTCCTGAAGTCAATTTGGAGAACCACCGGCCTTGATCTCCAGGTGGGTTTGGGGGAGGGACTTGGCTTGAGCAAACAAGAGCAAACGAGTACCCGATCGTCCTGGGTTGTAAATGATTCGCGAGCATGTGGAGCCCGGGTATCCGTGGAGACAGGGATTACTTGTACTTGGATAGGCTACTCGGCGTTCACCAAGTCAAACCGACCAGGGTGGGTTACCGATGTTCGGAGCACATTTCGTCATCGCAGCTAATTCCCGGCCATCTTGCGTTCCTGATTTAGGTGAATGTATCAAACATGATAAACGATTGTATCGGACAACTGCTGGGTTACGATGTATTGAAACCGGCCATATCTTTGATTTGTCGTTAGACAGCCCAAACTAGCACACGCCACAAATACCTCTACATTATGGATGCTATCCGTGTACATCCAGCCCCTTCGTCGCGTCGGCCGTACTCACCGTCAAATCCGGCGCCAGCTTCTGCCTTCAACCTGGATAGGAACGTTCCTGTTCCCAAGCCTTCAAAGCCCGGCGAGCTGCTCATCCGCCTCAAGGCCACCACGGTGGTTCGAGACATGCTGACATGGCCCGAGACATATGCCCATGAGTATGCCATCATCGGAAACGACTTTTCCGGCATCGTGGCCGAGATATATGAGGAAAATAGCGACTTCAAACCTGGGGATGAGGTGTTTGGCATGACACACGTAGATCGTGCGGCGGCATGGGCAGAGTTCACAATCGCCACCCGGGAGGAAATCGCTCACAAGCCAAGTACTTTGACCTGGGAGCAAGCAGCGGCCCTGCCCCTCAGTGCCCAAACAGCCTACGAGGCTCTCTTTAGCCATGCAGGTGTGCCTATTCCCTCCGTGGAAACTGCCCTGGAGAACAGAGCCGATCCAAATCACCCCCGCCAGATAATCCTGATCACTGGAGCCGCCGGTGCTGTGGGAATGCACCTAGTCCAGTTAGCCGCTGCTGCCGGACTCCACGTTGTGGCTGCGACGAGTTCCAATGCCCGTAACCAAGACTTCCTCCACAGGCTAGGGGCTGATGAGACCATTGAATATACTGTGTTAGGCAATGATCGGTCAAGATTCGATTTTATCATTGATGCTGTTGGTGGCGACGTTCTGGCCAAGAGTTGGGAGTGCGTGAAAGATTACGGGATGATTATATCAGTGGACTCTGCGAGCTATGATTTCGTGAAAGAGCACGAAAAGCTTGGTATACGCAGGTTGGGGGTTCGGGCGTTGTTTTTCATTGTTGCTGGAAGCAGCGAGGCTTTGCAATATCTGGCGAGGCTGGCAGAGCGGGGATGTCTGCAATCTTTGGTCATCGAGACATATCGATTTGATAGCGTGCGAGAAGCGTATGAGCATGCCAATGGAAGACACACGGGACGTGGAAAAGTGGTCCTAGTCAATTAATTGCTTTTGAATCGGGTTCGTGCAGCGACTTTGCTTCCATGGCTCAAAAACAAGTCGACCGGTACGGGGTACGGAGTACTCCCTACCTAAATTGATTGAATGGATCCCTTTTGTCCCCCGAAACGCGAAAACGCGAGAACGTCAGAATGCAGCAGTGCGACGCGACGCGACGCTTTGTGGGGCAGTGCTGAGTTTCAGCGTTTTGTGGAGGCGGGTGGAACTCACAGGCAGGCAAGATCGAACGACAAGTAAAAGCGATTGCATAAATGAAGCTAGGACTAAGTCGAACACTCGAGTGAATCCTCGAAGTGAACAGAGTAAAAGGAGCCCTGGAGGGAAGAGACAGAAAGTGCCAAGTGCCAAGACCCACGAGTGGAAAGAGCTCTCGGTCAGACTTTCCGCATTGGGCAATGCAGAGCGGGACGTCCGTCGAACGCACTTTCTTTCCCCTTCAACCACCTCGGACGTAAGAACTGTGCATGATCCCCGAGGTTCCTATACTTCATGGAGATCGAGATGGAGCCTCATACCCAGCCCGACCGGGTGCGAAAGCGTCGCCGCCGCACAATGGCCTGCACGCAGTGTCGCTCACGCAAATTAAAGTGCGATCGCGAGTATCCCACCTGCAGCCGCTGTCTCAAGAGCAGAACACCGAGCAAATGTACATATGAAGATGGCTTCTTATGGCAACAGCCCACTACCGTGGGCACTACTGCATTTGCACCCGACCGTGACTCCACTGCATCTATGCCTCCTGCTGGTTCCAACTCCGTTGAGACGCCCCCAGACTCGGAAATATTAAAAGCGTCAGCTCGGCCGGAGCCGTTCCCGCACGGGGAGCCGACTCCAAGCCATCCGATGCATCATATTCACCACGGTCTCTCCGGCCATGCTCTGGCACCGCCTTACCGGGGCCACCCAGCAGGGAGAGAGCGACGGGACTGTTTTCTGGAGACCGTTCTTGGTGCCCCCAAAGCTGCGGTCAGGCAGGAGCCTTATGCAAGCACGGGTATGCTGCAACGCCAAAAGCGTCCCGCGCCGGAGTCTCAAATGCAGAACTCATCGCTGGCCGATGATGACGATGCATACGAGACAGAAGAGGACTTCCTCTCGCCGTCTCGTCAGCTTGATCTATCTCCTCGGATGATGATGAGAGGTCGCGAAACGGGAACACGTTTCAGCGGATCCGGCATATTTGCCAACCTTGTCACACAGGTGAGGATACAACAGCTCCTTGGCTCCTGTTCGCGAGGCACATGAATTCTGATTCTCTCTCAACAGTTCCCCGATATCAAACCTTTCGCGGAGGAAATTAAGCTCTCAAATCCCATCATCACCCAGATTCGACCCGATCTTGAGAGAGTCAAGCGCGGTCTTTGGAAACGCAAACCGCTCAATACCCCGTTCCCGGAGCCGACCACGGCTTCGTTAGTTGGGATGTTACCTTCACGCGGCGTGGTAGATGAGCTGATTAGCCTTTATCTCACCTACATCGAATCGACCCACCGGATTCTTCATGTCCCGTCCTTTTTGCGGGAGGTTGACGAATTTTGGGCCATGTTAGACAGTCCCAGCTCTCTCTCGGCGGGATTCGCAGTCCAGCTATTATTGGTTCTTGCCTGCGCATGGAATCTAGCAGACTTTGCCAGTCTCCAATCCAAGAACATGGCAGAACTCAAGTGTTACACTGCAATTGAATGGGTATTACATGCCGAGAGATGGGTCGAAAATTTACATAACAAGCGTCCGGAGATTAACACAATGCGACTCTCTGTTCTGTTGATCCTGGCCCGCAACAGTCACGGGATGAAACGCAGCCAGGCCTGGCTGGCGACGGGTACTTTGGTTAAACAAGCGATGATGGCAGGATACCATCGTGATCCAAGTCGATATGCACGAATCTCCGTATTCAACAAAGAGATGAGACGGCGAATCTGGAGCACAATCGTCGAATTGGACCTCCAAGTTGCTCTCGATCGGGGCATGCCACCATCGGTGCAAAATTTCGATTTCGATGCAAGCCCGGCGTTGAACATTCACGATGATGAGCTGAACGAAAACACTACTGAGGCCCCTGAAAGTCGACCACTGAACGAAGTCACCGACACGTCGTTTCAGTCTATTCTCAGTCAATCACTACCGCTTCGTCTCCAAGCTTGCTCTTTAATGCACTCTCCACGGATCAGCTGTCGTTATGAGGATATCCAGCGCCTCGATTGGGAGCTCACCAGATGCCTTGCTAGCATTCCTTCATGGGCTACGACGGAAACCCGCGACATCGTGACGCAGCATAAGGTCTTCCTCTGGAAGGCCTTGATAGAAAGCAAGATTTCTCAGTCCCTTCTATCTGCACATACACCTTTTGCCATTGAGGCCCGACGCGAGGCACTTTTTGCACCCTCGGCGAGGTCTCGCATGGACGCCGCAACCAGGATACTGTCGACTCAACGCCGTATGCACGAGACTTCACGATCACTCTCACTCTGCACACTTGGCGAGTGGACCATTCATGCCTATCTTTCAATCTGTCAATTGCTACACACGACAGAACCAGACAATGGTGAATTTCCCTGTCCCGGTATTGAGTGCATGAACCACAACTGATACCATTATAGGTGTCCCCTTTTATCCCACATCATCAGCATCCCTCGTCCATAATTTACCTGGCCTCCCCGAATCATTGATTTCACTTGTGGAAACAGCCCTCATCTCACTTGAGGAGCGGTCTCTGTTGGTCACCAAGGGAGCCAAGGATTACTTCTTCTTATCTACGATTGTCGCTTTGGTCAAAGCACGACTTTGGCCTGCCCAGGCAATAGTATATAAGCAACAAGTCGTCGAACGGATCCTGGCATTTGCTCAAGCTCTCTTCTCTCGTCACACTGGCTGCGAGCACCTTGGTCCGCATGGGATGGGTAATTTCAAGAACAACCAGGTTGCTGCGTTCACGGCGACGCCAGCCATGGTTCCTATAATATCAAATGAATTTGATCCCAATGGAATGCTTCCACCGCCACATCTGGGCGTTACAGTGAGTCGCGAATCTCTTGATTCTGGTTTGATAGCTCACACTTTCTCGCAGCCGCCCGGCGATTTCGATCCTTTCTTAGAGATCTTCGATTGGGAAGATCTCACAGGTATGACCCTCCCTTGTTAATAGCACACGGTGGAATATGCTTGGGTCTTTTCAATGCACAGTGTAACATACTCTCCAAGATATCCCCTTGCCACAACCACATACACGCTTCTAGTATCGATACCATGTGATGATCAGATACGTCCCAACACATGTGATACGAGATGTACAAGCACTTGACTTTGGATATTAGACAGGGCATCAATGAACCTCCGTTGCGCAATACATATTACAAGACGTCCTCTGTTGATCAAATTGTTCGGTTCCACCATGAGATCATGATCGGAGAGATCGGAGATTATGATGCAAGGGAGACGGGTCGAAGACTTTAACCGCGCCCTTGCCTTTCCTTGCCGAGCTTATGGCAGGAACCTACTCGTACTATTCTCTCTATCAATATCTCCCGGCTGATCTTCGTGCCAAGTAAGTTGTTGTTTGTTGTTTGCTAAAAAAAAGCCTTGCGTATAAGCGACTGTTGATCCTGGTCGATCAACCTGACAAGTTTGTGGGGGCCGCAGTTGACAACTCAGTCGACCACGCCCAAGCATCACTTGTAGAGGCGTATGTATTGAGTCGGACTGGGCTTATATAGCCCTCCGTACTCCGTACTTGACTACTTTATTGGCCATCAAGCATATATGCGCGTAAACCCCAGGACAACATCAAGTGGGCCGTGCGGCTGTGCCGGTACCTAAAAATACCCGTGCACCCTATCAAACTCTGCCTGCAGTCCAGGTACCCAAAGGTACCAGTCAAAAATAGCAGCCTAAAGCGCCCCCTAAAACGCTTAGCACCGATCGACCAAGAGGCTCGCACTGCCTTTTTCATGTCTGTTGGACCCTTTCCCTTACCTCTTCCCCATGTGCGTCTCGCTTGAACCCTCCAATTCCCCAAATTGACCCATCATCTTTGGCCTCTTGAATATAAACATCGTGAGCCGTTTCATAACAAGCGCCAAAGACATGTGAAAGTCAATTCGATCCCAATTCCAGCCAACTCATTCGCATTGGAACTTGGACCTCGGTCAAACAAGAGATCCAGTCATTGTACTCCGTAAATAGCGATGCATCTCTCACTCTTATCAATATTGCTTGCGATCGCTGCCTCGCTGGTCGCGGCGGTGCCAGCACAATCATGGAGCCACAAGCCATCGCAAGTATACGAAACAACCGACAAGCTACCCCTCGCAAATGAAGGGCATCTACAAGTACACGACCCAAATATTATCATCTTTGATGATAGCTACTACCTCTTCAAAGGCGGGATCAATATCCCAATCTTCAAATCCGCCAACATGTCAGGGCCATGGGAAAAGATCGGCACAGTTTTGAACGGTGATAGCATCATCGACAAAGGCAACCGGTCACGGCCATGGGCACCAACAACCATCGAAAAAGACGGCACCTTTTACTGCTACTATACGCTTAGCTCACCCGGGTCACGCAACAGCGCGATCGGCGTCGCAACAACAACGCAACTCGGCAGCGCATGGACGGACCACGGGGCCATCATGAACACGGGAACCGGACCAGGCTCAGACGTATACCCATATACGATCACGAATGCGATTGACGCATCCTTCATCATGGACCAGGAGTCCGGGCAGGCGTATTTGAATTACGGCAGCTTCTGGCATGATATCTGGCAGGTGCCGCTGGCCGATGACTTGCTTTCTGTACGAAATGCAGAACACCCAGATGCAAAACAGTTGACTTTTCTCCCGCATGCCAAACCGAAGCCGGAGGAAGGATCTTGGGTAAGTTACCATGATGGCTATTACTACGCTTGGTTTAGCCATGGGAAGTGTTGTAAGTTCCAAAATGGATTTCCCAAGCGTGGCAAAGAGTATAGCATCCGGGTTGGGCGATCGAAGAATGTCCGAGGTCCTTTCTCGGACAAAGACGGCGTTGGTTTGCTGGATGGCGGCGGTACGGTGGTCTACGCATCTAACCATGGCACGGTGTATGCTCCTGGTGGACTTGGGGTTTTACCTGGGAGTAATGATTCCACTCCTGATATCCTTTATTACCATTACTTGAATACCTCAATCGGTTTCAAGGATGGGGTGAGTCTCACTTCTGTGCTGCAAAAGGGATTCAAGACTAATCAGTCTCGCAGCAAGCTCAACTGGGCTGGAACTATCTGAACTATGAGGATGGGTGGCCAGTACCCCGTGGAGGCCAGAATGCCACTTCTGCCAGTCCTGCCTCGATCTATACACTTCCCAGCTGGAACTCTGTCACATTCCTTGTTGGTGAGCTCAGATCCTTATCTTTGCTGTGAATTTCTCCCCCTTTAAACTAACCGCTGAAAACTTCTGGTAGGCTTATGGTTTTGCATTTGATGCAACGAGTAAATCCATTTCCACATGACCCATTTGTTTTTATTTTATTTTATTTTCACTTATCGTGGGCGTTCATACCATAGCGATGGCGTTTTGATATCTCTCTGGGTATAGCAAACTTCATTTATCGAACATTCATTCCACTGTGACTTCGATCATCAACTCATCCGATAGAACATGACCAAGCCGACCAGTCCTCACTCTCAGGATCTGCACTCACTCCCTTTCCCTCCCTTATGAGTCCCAGCCACCGTCAACGCTAACAATTTGACCTGTTGTATATGAAGCAGCATCGCTTAGGAGAAACACAACTGTCTGTGCAACCTCCTCAGCTCTCCCAATGCGTGGGATGGCAGTTGGTGGTGCACTGATTTCGCCTTGGATCTCCTTGGCCATGTCAAGCAAGGGAGTTTGAATAGACCCACTAAAAGGTATCATCAGCCGGCGGTTCTTCACGACAACATCCCAACGAAGCTAATCCAAACAAGACAATACTCACGGTGCGACGGCATTTATCCTAATATTGGGTCCAACTTCCTTGGCGACCGACTTTGTAAGCCCAACCACAGCGTGCTTGGTCGTCGAGTAAGCGGCATGCAGTGCAAATCCTCGAATTCCTTGGATACTCGACGCATTGACGATACTGCCTTGACCACCGGGAGCAGTCTCCATGATGGCCTTCAGTTCCGCACGCAAACAGTACATCAATCCCGTCACGTTCACCCTCATCAACATGTCCCACTCGGCATCATCCTGGTCGATAAACTTGCCCGTCCCATGGTGTTTGCCAATCGTGCCAGCCATGTTGGCGGCGCCGTCCAGGCGACCGAAATGGGAGACTGTAGATGCGATCCACTCCTTCACTGAGGATGTGTCGCTGATATCCAAGGCGGTTGTCATGATTGTGGAGGTCGTCGAGGTACCAAAATCAGCCTCAATTGTATGCTGTGCTGTGTTTAGAACTTCTCGGCTCAAGTCTGCTAGCGAGAGAAGGGCGCCCTGGGCGTGGAGTTGGCGGGCGACGGCTAAGCCGATACCTCCCAGTCCGGTCACAGCGTAGACTTTGCCCTTTCCGGAGTCCATTTTGATTATCACTTGAACTTTTTTTTTTTTTCAAGAGACGCAGTTTCAAGGTTGAAGAGTCAAAAGAAACCTTGAAATAGAGAAAACCCCGTGGGGTGGCCAGGTGGCACAACGTGGGGTCGAACTGTTTAATTTCCCGGGTATAGTGGCGTTGCATCGCATCGTCGGCTAAATACGGAGTTTATCTGAGCTACTTATATTTCCCCGCGATCTCCGCTGATTTGACGAGAAGATTGAAAACAATATTCGAACCTTGCCTATACTTAAGTATCACTTTACAACGGAATCCATTGCAGTCTCACTCTTTTGGGTTCCCGGACTTGCAACGTCAACTTGACAATCGAGTCCGCCATTGCATCGCATATGTTCTTCCTCGATGCTTCTACACCTTCAAGCTCTGTAGAGAGAGGCTCACATTTAGCAGACCGAAATAGCGTTGCAAAAGTTGCAACAAATTCTACCTGTGCCATCTTGACGCCCGGGCAGATCCGTGGACCAGACGACCAAGGTATAAAAGTGCCCTTGGCTGGAGTGATAATATGCCCAGCGCTGTCAATCCACCGAGAGGGCTTGAACTCCATAACATCGTCTCCCCATATAAAATGATCCTTATGGATGCTTTGGTGGGAGACATAAACCTCCATTGAGGCCGTGAGAACATGTGTGCCAGTCAGGTCGGCGACTTCTTGTGTTTGTGCTACGCAGCGAGTGGAATGTAGCACTGGTGGGAAGAGGCGAAGTGTCTCATGCTGTGAGTGGAATTAGTATATCATTCAGAGTACAGTAGAAACCATAGTAGCTTGGTACTTGAGCCTTACCATCACAGATAGAATGCGTGGACATTTTGAGTAAACGCTACCGTATTTCCATTTTGACACATCTTCATCAAGGCTCTCGAGTTCCTCGCGGATCCAGTCCTGCCATTCTGGGTACGCAGTGAGTAATATCACAGCGTAACCCATTGTATTGGCGGTGGTGTCGAATCCAGCAGCGGTGAATGTGAAAAGATTTCCACTGATCTCTTGCTCGGTCAAGAACTTCCCTGATGACATCTTTTCTTGGTCTGAGAGTCGCACGAGCATGCTCAAGAAATTATCGCGTGGTTTTTCAGAGGCTGCTTCTCTCTCTGCTGCTAACATTGTCTGGATGTATCGTGGAACCCTGTTCATCTGTACGCCAAGTAGTTGTAGCGAAGTTGGCATGATTGGCAGTCTCATGAACCAGGTCGGGAGCAATGCCGCTGGGATGATATTGTTGGCGATCAGAGACATTGTGTGAAAATAACCCCCCGATCCATTGCTCAGCCCATCCGGCAGATGTTGTTCATTCGGGCTCCATGCTGTGTCGGTGTCATATCCTGCCTTGCCGATCACATTTTTGGCAATGACTCGAAGGCCATTTAGTGTTTGATCACCGGGATGTTGCACCATGTAATTGAGCATAGCTTTGGCCTGTAGACAGCTTTCATCCCAAACGGTCTCGCTGATCTTTTCGTTGAGATTAGGTGCGACTATTCTTCGTTGTCGTTGCCTTCATCTAGTTAGTATTGGTTTTTTTTTTTTTTTTGGCAAGAATGTAGATATCACCAGTCCTCTCCATTCGTCTGGATAGTTCATCAGCAAAATCCACTCATCTTCCTCGATCCTGAACTCACCGTAAGCACACTTGGTCCAAGAAGACCAACAATCTTCGCCGTAATTGGAGGTTGCTCGAAATCTTTCCTACGCTGCAGGATCACGTTTCCAAGATCTGGATCTGCCACCCTAAACTTCGATGTCAGCGCTGAACCTGAGCTGACTGAATACGCAATTACCAAAGGGAGCACTCATCCGGTGTGACCAAGACAAATGCTTTACCGAGCTTATCATGATATTCCGTCCTGCGGTGAAACTCCCATCCGTGGGTGATGATGTCTAGTCGATCAAAAAGCCAAACTGGAAGATATTTTTTGTACTGCAGCCGCAGGGCTGGACCAAGAATCATCCATGCTATGCTCCTGCTTGGGATAGGAGAAACATACAATGGGAACTTGGAGCGTCGGGCATTCGTGTAGTTCTTCAGCAAGGTGACTGATTTGAAGACAACATAAGCAGTGACGACAATCGCAACGGACGTTCCAATCTGGAGTGGCATTCTGCTGCTGGTATTCAACAAGCGAAGCCCTGGAGAGAGAAAAAGAAAACTATTTCACCACCTCTGAAAAAAGCCAATTGCAAGCGCTTGCCAGCTATCCACTTGGGCACTGGCTTTATGGGATCTCACTGCCAAGGGCGATTTGGCCCCCAAGCCATCTGATTAGCCTGCTCGTATAATCCAGTGCGGGGCTTCTGGTTATTTCTGACACCTTTGATTCGTGTTCCCGAATTGAATCTGGGAATGTCTTCACTGGCCTCGGGAAGCTTCTGAGACTGCGTTTGTGCTCGTGTTAGGGCACTTCTAGAGTTACTCGAACGACCGCATATGTACTCCGCACGGAGTAGAGATTCCGCCATTCCTATTATAACACATAGGAACATATAAGTACTCTCAGTAAAAAGTCGTGGTCCGTGGATATCAACTAATAATGGATCTATTGAGTACAGATAGTCCACAATTTTCGCTGAGTCTGGAAATCTTTTAATACAAGCGCTCTTCAGTAATCTGTACAGCCCACCTGGGCAGGTTCCCTTAATATACACATCCTCATCTCACCAACTCAACTCCGCAATCACAAATGGGTATCTTTAAGTGCAAATCCAAAATAAAACGCCGGGAACCAATTGTGCTGTGTGTTCCCCAATCAAAGCACCGAAAGGAGCAAACCTCCAACCACTAAAGACATCAGAGAGCATCGCAGGGTCGGCCCTGGGATTTGCATCGCCCCCGATCTATATTCCGCGCTGCTCCCATGCATGACGCCCTCGGCATTCAAGCAATACATGACCTTCTTCGTCTCTGCTGAAGAAGACGAGCGACAGACCGCCGTGCAGGGGTCCGGGTCCTCGTAGATCCATACGCCATTGGAACAGCACGATTGTAAAATTGCCTCCATGTCTCGGTGTGGGTTTTGCGTTTGGTACAGCGGTACCTGGTTGTAGTAGTTGATATTCGAGGGCAGAGTGGACATCACGTCGCGCGAATGATAGCAGTGCACGGGTTGCGAGAAGCTCGTTCCATTGGAGTTGGTCATCGTGAAACAAGAGATGATATGCGGTGATGTGCGGTGATTTGCACTTTCCGGGGCGATCCGAGACGCGTCGCGATTTGTAGCGGTGGTTTTGCGTATGGAGTATATATGGATGGTCGCCGATAGTGTCTTCGGCAATGTATCGCGTAGGCACGAAGTACAGAGAACTTGTAAACCAGTAGAAAAGCAAAGGGATCAAAATTTTGGCGAATCGAAGAAGCCAAGACCGGCGCTCGCGGCCAAGGGACCCTTTTAACTCCTGAACATCTGTGGGGAATAGCGCCAAGGCGCTATGGGGATATTGACTGCAAAGTGGAGGCTTCAACTCCCGAATACGGACTATGGAGTACACTGATTTCAATAGTTCCGACGTATCAGCGTTCATTGGAGAGAGTGTCAGAGAGTGTCAGAGTGAGACAGATTGAAAAAAGGGTTGTCAAATGCTTATAATTCCAGTCTCTCCTTGCTTGGCTAATGTGATCTCTAATGTGATCTATATGCAATGTTTCATCCCCCTTCTCAGCCCTTACGCCATTAAATTTACAATCGAGCGGCCGCGTTACTTTTCCGCCACATTTGCTTGCGACGCTCTGCGCCTTCATTGAAATCATCGAGCCATTTTTGCTCGAATTGAGGCAAACGGCGTCCAGTACCGTCCTTGGGTTCGCCGGCAAGCGCCCGGAGAGTCTCAAAGTAGGCTTCAAAGTCGGGATTGAGAACTGTGAATGCGGGACCGTCGGTCTTCTCGGCGATCCGGTCGGTTTCCCACTTCTCCTGTTCCGCAACAGACGGTAAAGACACCTTGCCAGCCAACACACGAGCAGCCGCGACTGCCTGCCATTCAAAGACTTTGAAGGTCAGACCAGCACCGACCTGGGAATCAACCATTAGTACTCAATGCTTGCGAGGTTACCGGTGTCAACTTACCGCGCCCACAAAGGCTAGCGTTGGATCATGTCGGTAGAAGACGTGCTGGTACAAATCGGGAACCCGATTGTTGCGTGTCGCGACTTGTGGCAAGAAAGGTAGTGTCCAACTGAAGCCAGTTCCAAAGATTATATGATCCACACCGGTCTCAGCGGTCCCATCTTCGAAGTGCACAGTGCGCTCGCCTTGGTCATCACTTGTGATGTGCGAGATAGGCGTGCGACGCTGAATCCTGGGGTGTTGGAAGGCCAAGTCTCCAAAGTATGTGTTGTAACGACCACGTACAACGGCGATCACTGGTGTTTGCGCGCTGTCAACCAAGCTCACTGCTGTGTCCGCGGCAGACACCGACGCGCCGACGGTGATCACTTTCTACCGAGTGTCAGAAATGAACCTCATTGCCTCGTCAAAGCCACAATGGTACATACCTTTCCAGAGTACTTCTCGGGGCCGCGGTACTGTTTTGTGTGTATCACACTGCCAGGATACCTCTCTGCAAATTCTTGCAATCCTGCAATTGCCGGGATCCAGGGCACAGCGTAGTGGCCCGTGGCCACAACGACAGCGTCAAACTCTTCGGACCACCAGTAATCAGAACGAGTGCCGTTATGGTCTTCCGTTCGTCTTAATGTCAGCACCCATTTCTGAGTCTGAGGGTCTTTAATAGCGCGTTCAACAGTCGTGTTATACTGGACAAGATCCTGATAGCCCTTCCGGTAGAACAGATCTTCAATAAACTTCCGGATCACCGTGTGATGTCTGAATGGTGTATCTTCACCATGACGCTCAATTGACCATTGCGAGCGGACTGTAGGAATGACCTCTTGAGAAAATGACATGGCTCCTGCGTCCACGTTGGTCTCTAATCCCGGATACACGGGAGAATCCATGAACCGGTCCTGAAAGCTGACTGGCGTCCAACATGGGAGCTTCTCGGGGATTTGAAGTGGAGCATCTGCTGTCCGAGCAGAAAGTGCATCAAAATCAAATGACCGAGGCGGCTCTTCCTCTCTAGACACCCTATTGACAGTTAGATCCAGAATCTGTCGATGAAAATCCAACATACCAACACCCGCCGGCGTGTTCTTGTCTATCAAAAACACGAATGACATCAAATGCTTTCTCTTGTGCTAGTGCATCAACTGTAATAGCGCCGCCGGGGCCAGCCCCGATGACAGCAACACTTTTCGGCATTATCCTACTAATAAGAAGTTTGCACGCTTCAAACTGGCTATAGGTCACTTTTTAAACGGGACGTCTCGGCCGACTCAAAAATGGGGGACAATCTGGAGAAAGTTAGGTGTCACGCCATCGGGCTTGATTTGTCGCAAAAATCAGGTGTCACCAATTTAGGGATCTGTAACGCTGTCTGATATACGAGTCTGCAATGAAACAACCGAGGCTCTGACTTACTTGAAACAGTCTATCAAATCGAAAATCAAAATCCTAACAGCCGAAGCTTTACTCTGCAGAACTTTCCAATTTCCTTCTTGCTCGGCAATGATCCCGTTCTTCTGATTGGTCCGTCGTCGCCTATTCCATGCTGCCACGTGCCCTGGGCAAGGCACAGTACTCTGATTGGCTCTTTGTGTTTATGCCTCACGAATCAGGCAGAAGAGCCCGATGTGCTCCAGTGCTGTCAACTAGTGAACCACCAAGCTAGACGTTATATACGAATGATTGCGGAGTATATCATGAGAATTATATTACAAGCGATCAAATTGAGATTGTACAGTTTATGGCCCCGGGGCCAATCTAATGACTTAGGTAAACACATCGGTAGCGTACCGCTCCTTCGTACGCAAGTTGTCAAAGAACTGCTCAGCAGCCTGATCCTCATCAAGGTCAGCACCATCCGGTGTCTCCCCCTTCTCCTTGAGCTCGCAGTGCTTGGCACGACGCTTTTCAATGTACATCTCCTTGCAAGCCTCGCGAATACCGGCACCGACGCTGGTACTGCCGCAGACATAGATGTTAGCGCCCTCTTCGAACAGCTTCACCAGTTCTTCGCGGTCCTCAAGCATGACATCTTGCACATGCTGGCCCTTTCCTTCCACGGGGCGACTGAAGGCCCATCGAACATCGACAGCACCAAGCTCTGCCCACTCGGCCAATTCCGCGGCGTGAATGTCATCCTGGCCCTTGGTCCGGCATCCAACGTACAGAATGGCCTTTGCGGGCTTGACGGCGTCAGAATGCAGCTCCTCCGAATCGGGGGAAGTACGGCGACCACGGATCTTCTCGGCCCGATCCATGACGAACCCACGGAAGGGAGCCAGGCCGCTACCTGCGCAAGCCATGATCATGGGGGTGTCCAGGTCCATGGGGGGCTTGAAGCCGGAGTGAGAGGGGCGGACGGTGATGTGGGCACGTTCGCCGACCTGGAGTTCAGAAAGATAGTTTGATGCCACGCCGAGGTACTGCTCGCTGCTTTCGGTGTCGGCATTTGCCAGCGCGGGAGCACTCAGGACACTGAATGTGATTGAGCATTCAGATGGGTCCACCAGAGGAGATGAGGAGATGGAGTATTGGCGCACACGCATCGGAGGGAGCATGGCGAGGAAGTCACCAATGGGGAGCTTGATTGCAGGGTAGCGGGTGAGGAGGTCCAAGGGACTCACGCGCTTCTTGACGATTTCCGCGGTGAAGCGACTTGGGCTGGAGGCGAGGTAGCGCAGTTCGGCCTGTGTCTCGGCATCAGCGAGAGCAGCGTCGGCGAGGACGTTCAGATCACGCTTTGATGCGGGTTGTGAGAGCTCGATGTAGGTAGATAGCAGTTCAAATGCGGAGATCGGGGTGTCAATGGGGATAGAGGGGGAGGAGGTCGAGCCAGGGGGCTTCTGAACACGGAGCACTGCGTCCCAGGGGAGGTCAAATCGACGAATCGCCCGGCGGACGACCGAGCTAGGGTTCACCGGAAGGACGGCAAGGTAGTCACCACACTGGTATGTCATGTCTGATGGTAGCTTGAACTTGACGACTCGCTTGGCCGGGGCTTCTGGGGGTGTCAGGACCTGGTTCTCAATAACAAATCCTTCTTCAAGCTGAAGTCCAAGGGTGGAAGCACGCATGCCCGAGCTGACTTCGACCTGCAATGACGATTTCGATTTCGCCGCCTGTTCAGGACCGGCCCCACCGAACTTAGCCATCACGGCCGGCCAGAATGAGCTTTCACCCCAGCCATCGAAATCCGTGAACATGTCAGAGTTTGCTGCATCAGCAAGACCGATGTCGCAGAGCTTGTTGGCTCCATTCTTGTTCGCCAGCTCGTCGATAGCCTTGGGAATACGGTAGAAAGTCGTGGACCAGTCATGGTGACCACAACCAAAAGTGGCATAGTTGACACCTTCCAACTCGTTGCCCTTCAGCTCACTGAACCACTCGTAGAAGTGAGCAGCGTTGTCCGGTGGTTGTCCCTCGTACGAAGCCGAGATGAAGACCACGGGGCCATCCTTGGGAAGATTTTGCATGGTCGAGTCCAAAGACCCAGTCTTGGCTGCGTATCCGTAGCCGGTGGCATCGTCAGCCAGTCTCCGGGCCAAAGCCTCACAAGTTCCAGTGTTGCTGCCATAGAAAACGTGCATGGGCTTGAGCTTTCCATCGACGGGGGCGACCTTGGGCTTGCGTTCCCGGCTACCAGCACCATTTTCAGTGGGCGCCGCAGCCGAGCCACTGATGGTCGCGCTGAGTTGAGTAGGGTCAAGACCGTCTCTCAGAGTTGCCCTCATATGGAAATCCTTGGGTTTGATGGTAAGGGTCTGCTTGATGCGGAGGTCATAGGTAGGGTTGTCCATCTGGAAATTGAAGTTCTGAAGCAAGATTGCAACCACAAGGAGAGCCTCTTGCCAGGCAAAGGGTCTTCCAATGCAGCCTCGCATACCATTTCCAAATGGCTTCCAAGCATTCTTGGGCAGTTTCTCGAAGTTTTCATCAAGCATTCGCTCGGGTTTGAATTCATCAGCATCGGGACCATACACCTTGGGGTCACGATGCATCTTAGTGAGAACGAGGGCAATAGTCTCGTCCTTGTTGAGGACATATTTGCCACCTCCCAGTGTGACAGGGTCCTCGTGGTTCTTAGTAGGGTTGGGGTGCAAGGCGATCATTGGGGCAGTTGGCTTAAGACGCAGCGTCTCACGCATCACAGCAGTGATGTACGGCAGTTTCGACATATCTTCAACAGTGATCTTGCGCTTGCCGATCACACGGTCCACTTCCTCTTGCGCCTTCTTGTATGCATTGGGGCTCTTCAGCAGATAGTAGAACAAGAAGGACAACATGCCAGAAGTCGTCTCGTGGCCTATTGGATCCAGGGTCAGTTCTAGCATCATACAGTTCAAAATCATAAGCACGTACCAGCAATCAAAAATGTAATCATGTTGTCGACAATCGATTCGTCTGTCATGCCCTGACCGGTTTGGGGGTCCCGGCCCAAAATCAGCGCATTGAGAAGATCCTTCTTCTCGACGGGGTTCTCTTTTCGTGAATCGACCAGCTCACGAGCAAGATTTCGCAGGTACTCAATGTCACTCCAGTACTTGGAGTTCTCTGCAGTGGGCAGGCTGTTCAGCAAAGCAGGCTTCAAAGCTCGGCTGCCGGACCCAGCCAGCAATCCCACCATCGATTCGACAAACGGATGCATTTCATCGTGGTAGAAGGAGTTAAAGCGGGTACCCATTGCACAAAGGGCAATGGTATCCAAAGTTAAGCGGGTGAAGTCGTCCGTGACCATGACCGGTGTGGCAGGGCCCTGACGCGCCCACTTCATGACGAGCTGTGTAGCGATATCATACATTTCTAGATGTATTGTGAGTTATTCCATTTCATTTTTAGGTTTCCCTTGTGCGCCGAAGGTTTCCTCTTCACTCACCATCGAACATTCCGCGGATCATGAGCGGGCCAAACGCCGGAACGAGCACACGGTGGGCAATTGCCCAGTTCTCTTCGCCGGGGTAGTTGGCCGTGAAGAGACCATCGTTCACACCGTTGCGGATCTCATGCAGACCGGCTGAGACCATTTTGCTGAACCGTTCTTCATTACACACTTCGTCCACCAACTCATGCGAGCTGACAAACACTCGAGGTCTGCCGAATGTGGTCAATCGAAAAATGGGGCCTAACCAAATCCACCGTCAGTTTGTCTATCTCGATATCGAATGAGTCTCAGTTTGTACCATAGTTCTCAGCCAGTCGTTCGAAGCTATTCACGGGGAGCTCGGGCTCGATATCGTAGATATTTCCCAAGAACGGAACTCCCTTAGGGCCCGGGATGGGGATCTGATTGGAGCTCATGACGATTGAGTGATATCAGATGAGTTCAATAGTGAAGCCTTAATCTGAAAGGACTTCATCCACGGTGATGTGACAGGAAAAGTCAAGTTGAAGTTAAAAATGGCGGGGTTTTGTGTTACCAAATCCGGCTGACGTCGACTTGGACTGGTAGATCGGAGATCGGAGGTCGGAGGTATTACTTGGTAGAGAGGAGGTGACAGTACAAATGTCTTATGTAGATCGAAGAGATTCTGGATGAGGGTGTCTTATATGAAAGGGAAAAAAAAAACCAAGGTCCCAAAAAAAAAAGGTAATCGTTATAATCTCACCGACTGTTGTTACCTCGGCTTCTTCAATGTTGGAACTCCATTGTGCACAACTATTCTTCACGGGGTTTCACTCCTTGTACTCGTACTTGGTTCAAGGATTGTGAGTTCCACTCTTGGCTCGGCGTTATTCCCTGAAGCCCAATCACGCTGTGCATCAATCGGCCATCCCGAGACCTGGCCCTGAGTGTGGCCTCTCGGGGCCGCTCTAATGGGGTTGACAACTGGATCCCGACCGTCTTGAACGGGCCGTATGCACAAATGAATGCACAAAGAGACGAGCTCCGGCGCCGTCGCGCAGGAATATCCTCATCGGGAGACGGACACGGACACGGACAAGGAGAGTGGAGCCACCGTGCCGGTGTTGTGCGTGTCGCGGGATTAGTGATTAGTATATTAAGACTTGACGGGCGTATCTTGATCCGTGTCAACGATCCATGTCTATGAAATCATTCAAACATCCTGCGATGGGAAATACATTGGTTGTGATAGGCTGGGATGGATGATCGACGATGAGAGGTTACATCATGTGACCATGTCTCTGGCAATGAAATGAAACTTCGTGTTTTTATATGGCAAGATATGTACATGGATATGGCCGGTGAATAGATTGCAAAGCTCACGGCTCAAACGCCAACGAAGGACAATTTTGGTCGGAACCAAAATGTGAGGGATATCAACAGAAAAGGGGAGCGGGTGCTCAAGGAAGGAAAAAGAGAATATAGAAGAACAGCTAAGCCAGGACGAGAGGAAAAGGTTCATTATTCCGAAGCCCCAGCCGACCATCGCAGTTGCCTGCGGTCAGCAATATCTGACCAGAGCCGAGCATTGCGCATGGGGGGAAAATAAAGGAAAAAAGGAAGCGAGTCATTAGGGAGGCGAACAGGTCAAGTCTGCTAATTGTTGACTTGCTTGTAGCCACCGTTCTTGAACTCGCTAGCTTTCCAGTCGTTCTGGAAGTTCTGCATCTCGGTGCGGTTCTCGGCGTATTGGTTGTTGTCAAGGGCGTGCTCGAGACGGCCCTTGCGACGCTGGCGCAGGCAGAAGATCAAGAATCCTGCGATGGCGATCACGGCGGCAGCAGCAGCACCGCAGTAGATTCCAATGTGAGCACCCTCACCGAGGTCATCCCATTTCTCGGCGGTCGTCTTGGCGGGGGGTTTGTTGAGTTCTTCCACGGTGGTCGAGTTTCCGCTGCGAGGCCCAGTTAGTAAAGCTTTCAAATGACGAACGCTCTGCGCTGATCCACTTACTCTACAACCTTGATGCTGTCGAAGGAACCAGAGTGGTCCCCGTAGGTGTACTCCTTGCCGGAGTGGAAATCCTTGACACGAAGCTTTCCGAGGACCATGGTGAAGGGAGCGGCATCCCAATCGACCAGACCACCAGCCCAGTCAATAGTACCTTGAGCAGCCTTCTTGGTACCGGCAGGCCAAAGACTGAACTTCACCCGACAGGGGGTTTGTGGGTAATTCTCTCCACCCACTGTACCCTCGTCGTCGTACTTGAGCTCGCGAACCATGTCTCCATCGATCCACCATTGAAGCTTCTCCTCGTCCCAGTAGGTGGTGTAGTTGTGGAATTCGGTGTCGGCATTCGACACGAGGTGGGTACCACCACGATCGAAGGAAGTATCGTTACCCTTGCCAAAGAAGTTGGATTGGACGGCGCTAGTGTTGTATCCAACCCACTCCCAATCGATCTCGTCGAGGTCATCGGACTCCAAAACGACACTGCTGACGAGACCGGCACCCTTCGCCATCTTCACGTGGGATTCCACGACACCGAAGAAGATGTAGAAGTTCGATGAAAGAAGGGTGGAGGTGCCTTCACCAGTCAATGTGAACTCAGCGCCATCGTCGCCGTATTCATAGTCACCAGTTTGCATATCCCAGATCTTATCGTCCAACGTCGTGTTGAAGTTCCAGGTGTGCTCGGTGCCAAGGGCAGAATCCGCGGGGCATGTTGTGTTCAACGGGTTACAATCGGTCGAGGTTTGGGCGTAGGCATAGCTCGCCAAAGCCGCCAACAAGGCGGTGCGGGCGAAGAACATGATGTATATAAGCGATTGCTCTCTGAGATTCGAACGGAAATCTGCTGCTGGACAATTCCAAGAGGTGAATAAAGAGTGGACTCGAGTAGTCTCGAAATGTCGTAAGGACTGTAATGTGCTATTGCACTAATGAACGGAAGGGTTTCTGCCAGCAGCGAGACGAGAGAGATGGTGAGAAAGGGAAACGGGGGGTGGGAGAGAGACCCAATTTAGGCGCAGGTGGGTTCGTGACATGTTGGGCTAGTGGTGTTTTAGGCCAAGTTGATTATTTTTGTTCGAGTGAGCGAGAGCAAAGGAGTTAGCGTAAGGGGAAACCTGCAGAGATTGTGGTTGAGTTAGACACGCTAAGCCGTTTAGAGTTAGCAATCATCCATTGGTCTCCGCTTCGGTGCAGCCCGCTCCCTTTCATTGGCAGTTCCAGAGGCCCCATGCTTAGTGCCTTACCTGATTGGGTTAGATTAGCAGACCCCCCAAAAGCTACCATGAAGACCCTGATTGGTCCCTGGTTCGCGATTTGCTCGTACCCTGGATACTTGTACTAGTTAAGAGTATGGAGTACCTTCTTGGTGCATCAAGATCGGGACTATGCGCTTTGTACGAGTACTCCGAAGTAGTTACGAGTAGCTACCTCCAAACATACCAGTCCGTATCTGTATGTGTGGCTTTGTGTACAAACACAATAACTTGGCAGGACTAGGCTAGCGGCTTAGCCTCGTTCTGGGCCATTCGAGGAAAATCACCTCTGCAATGAAGATCTGATTCCGAATTGATAATGCCACGAGTGGATTGGGCTTACAGATCATCCATGCATACTCGTACGGAACACCCCTTGACCATCAAGAAAATTAATCTATTTTCAGTTCTTCGTTCATCTCGTTCCTGTTCATCATACCTGTTTCTCACAAACCGAAATTTATGAAAGCTCCGCAGACCCCGGCCAATAAAATGAACCTTCAAACAGCCAAGCCCCTCCCCCCAGTCCACGAGTGGAGTGGTCTATCCAAAGATGTCTTTTTCTGTTCTGTCCACTGTGGGCCTTTTCCCCCTGTCTCTGGTGCCTGCTGGCTACCATCCTTATCACACACTCGACCCTTGGACTTCATATCGTCTTCCTATTCGCTGATAAGAGGGAAATGACGGCTGCGGCGTTCCTGCCGTTGGAGTAAATTTGTCTTTCCCGAGTCGGTCTCCAGGGGGATTTTAGATGCTCGTAGTCTGATCGATCGAACGCCACTCCTCGTCCGTGACACACAGCCAAGTCCGAATTCATAGCCAAGTTTATCCAGACCAGAACAGACGCTAACTTCATATTTTTAGAGCCAGTAGACTCCATGCTCAAGTACGGAGTACCCGTCAGATACCTGCCTACTCCGTGCATCTGTCCTACCTATATGTACTTATACGGTTGGTAGCCACATATGCAGCGCGCAAACAAAGGCTTGATCGGGGTGTTGTTTGCGCTCTGAGATCGCAACTCAGGGGGCCCCATAGTCTCCACACCCCGTCAATTCCAAAGACAGAGAACCACAAAAAGTAAATCACTCAAAATTTTCATTGCGGCGTGTATCTCATCAAATCGTAGGATCATGCAGTCATCAAATACGGGTATATCATATCTCACAATGAACCTGGTTCTGCCGTATAAGACATGAGTAGTCCGTATAAGGATACCCCTTCGGATCAATAAAACCAGAAAACGCTGGCGCCAGACAATATCCACTCAACCAAAGATCACCATCGGACTTCTTTTCCATGTTGAACGAAGTACTCGTATTGGCACAACGTACTTTGTACCTGTACGGAGTACATTGAAACATGATTCAGGACTCAGTCATGTAGACCCTTGCCGGCCGACGCACGTCATCTCGATCTCTATGTCTGCGCGAACTTGTCGGCTTCTCAGCATACTCGATGTACGTGCCAGGTCCACGACGGCGTTTTTTCCGGCCACGCGTGCTTGCGCTACTGCGCACAATCGGAGGCCGGTAGCCGACATCTGGTTCGCCACCGGTCCACGTCCCGGGTGTTCGACACACTCGCCATAGCCAAAGAAGGAGAAGGGTCCCTGCAATCGAGCCAAGGACAATACCTGCAATTGCGCCGCCGCCAATTGTGCTGGGGCAATTGTCGCCGCTTGATTGCCTAGACTGTATTGGATATATCGGAGCCTGCAAATTACAAGATGAAGATAAGTGTCTGGGTCAAAGATCTGCGATCCATGGGTTTCTTTGTTCCGGCCCGCAAGGCAACCACAGGAGCCATGGAAATGAAAATCGCATCTATAAAAATTGCAACTCACCATTCTGTTCAATCTGTATTCCGTACGGAATCCTCCGCAAGGGTTCTGAATCGATCTCGGAGAATTGCGATCCCAAGTGGCTGGTTATGAGGTGCAGAATGGTGGGGCTGTCTGGATCTCGACTCCAGCGCAAAGAACGTGCGTTCTCCGTACGGCGTGTACTAGCAAAACCCGCAAAGCAAGTGAATTGAAAAGGGAAAAACATATCCAGAGTCGCATACCTTTTAAAGGCATAATACATTCGAGCTAATTCTCCTCAATTGCGCACCCCAACCTCCTCTCGTCCCGCTTCTGACGTCAATTAGACGTTGACCTTGGCGACCCGGAAAAGCAGCGATCTTCTTTTCTCAGACACAAACTTGAAATTCGACTCATTCAACTTTGCTTCAGAGCAAACCATTGGACCATGACTGTGCTTGTTCTTGATTCTATGGGTCAGGCCATTGCACTGGTGCCCAGGTGTCAAATCAGGAGCTACGGCATTGGACCTAGCACCCACATACACTTGTGCAGTAGGTACATTACCTTGCTTAGGCATATGCGTGTCATCCCATGGAAAGTCTTGTTTAATTCTAAAGTTGGCATGCGGGGTAGTAAAGTCTTAGTGGCTTTTTCTTATCTAGAGAATTAATACTTTCCAATTCAAGCCCAAGTCTCCGTACTATGTAGCCACTTCAGCATCAGACCTCGGGACGAGCATTTACTTTGATATGCTTTGAACTCCCTCTATCTGATATTTCAAGACCATCTGTCCCGATTTAATTGCACATGCCTCGGAGAGGGCGGCACCTCCCCAGTCTCCCACGCCTTCGCCTCGGCCCCAGGCTCAAATTCTATTGTGCCGCCGTTGATCATCACGTCGTCATGCTCAAACCAGTTCTTTGTCCAGCTTTTGCCATTTGTCTTCAGACTTTGCACGTAATATCCATCATCAAGGTACCGACACGAGAGACGATATGCAAAGCCGGTCCATGGTTCCATTAGCTTGGGTACCATGGCTTTGGTATCCATATTAGTCCTCGGATAGACCAGGTTTATTCTAAACTTTGAGTCCTCTACTCTTCTTCCAAATATTCCCTGTTCTTTTTAGCACATTTTCTCAGAACTATTTCATCATCTCCAATGTCTAAACTATCTGACGATCTTCCTCCGCCATACGAATCACACCATCAAAGCCAAGATAATATACTTATCACTGTCATTCAGAATGAAAGACGCTTGCGGGAATGGGCGCCAAAAATGGCGGAACTTGAACCTAGATTCCACAGGTTCTTCGATAGGCCATTTGAAGGCGGCGCGAGATGCCCAAATAAGTTCGAGTATATCCGTCAAGGGATTCCACTACTTGATGAAATGACAGACTTATACAAAGAGATTACGAATACAATCGAGGAAAGAGGAAAGAGCATCACACAGCCAGAACGAGCTCTATGATGCCATGAAAAAGCTTTCTGATACCGAGCTTGATCGCCTCTTTGCTTCTTCGAGTTTGGGCTCAGGATCGCATTTTCAACCTGAGCTGACTAGGAACCACAAAAACAAGCCATCCAGGGCGCGGATGCTTTTGTATGCTATCCAGGGGATATGGAAACATCTCAGGGGCCCGCCAGTCTGAGACTCTTACTCAGTTGGAGAAGGAACAGGGTCACGCCTCTCGTTCTTGACCAAAAATGTACTGATTTCCCAAATAAACATTCAATACCAAAGTGCTGTTCAAGGTCTCGTTTCTACAGTGGACGGCGTGAATGTAAAGAAAATGACATCTAAGAAAACCCCAGACTCCCGGCCCGTGATATCATCAAAAACAACAAGCAAACCCTAGAAAGCTGAATACTAGGACAGAAAGCACCAGACCTGTCATTACCGACCCGTGATATAGTCTCGGTTCTCGATTGTCACACTCTTGGTCATATGGTTGACCTTATAAACACCAACGAGTCGGGCGGCAAGTTCGAACTGGCACTAATGTTAGCAAAGTGGCTGAGAAAGATAGGAAATATGCAACACGAACCATGTTGTTTCGCAACGAGATCACAACGAACTGAGCATTCTTGGTACGCTCCTTGATGTAAGAGGCGACAATGGACACCTGAAGGACATAGTTAGCAGGCAGAACTACCGCAATGACAAAATTCCAACCCACATTTCGGAAATCCAAGGCAGCATCAATCTCGTCCATGACATAAAGGGGCGTGGGCTTGTAATGATGCAGGGCGAAGACCAGTGCCAGACTGGACAAAGTCTTTTCGCCACCGGACAAGTTACCAATGTTCTTCCAACTCTTCTTGGGTGGCATGACTGAGAATAGAATACCCTCAGAGAAAGGATCCAACGAGTCGACCAATTCTAGCTCAGCGTTACCACCCATCGTGATCATCTGGTACATCTCCTTGAGGCGCAAGGAGATGATACCAAATCCTTCCATGAAGCCATTCAAGCGGGAAGACCGAAGTCCGTCCAAGCGAGCCTTGGCCCCGTCTCGTGAAGTCAGAGCGGTGTTCAGATCTGCCGAACGAGATTCATGCTCGGCGGCTCGGCGGCGGTATTCCTCAATAACTGAAAGGTCGACAGAGGCATTTTGGACCTTCTCTTCCAGAGTAACAATGACCGCTTTCAAAGATTCCTTGTTCATGGCGTCCAACTCGTCCTTGGTGTACATTTGGAGTTCGGTAGGCTCTTGCTCTTCTCCAATGTCGCTGATGTTTTGAATAGTCAACTTTGAGAGCTTCTCCTCCCAGTAGCGGCTTCGCTTTTGGTTTTCGGACAAAGCCTTCTGGTTCTCCTCCAGTTTGTTACGCATCTCGATCTCAGTAGCACGCGTTTCATTCAGCTCAGTCACCTTTGCATCGAGCTCTTCCTTCATGGTTGAGAGCTCGCCCCGCTGAGATTCGAGTGCCTAGGAATCGAATAGTCAGTTACTATCCAACGTGGTTGTCAACAGATCATAACATACCTCTTGGGCCTCGTCGGCCTTTTGTCTCCAATCGGAAGATTCGTTGGCCTGGTTGGCAACATCCTCTTCGAGCTTCTCTAGCTCATCGGTGATTTGGCCAATCTCATTTTCGGAGACATCCCGGGCCTTCGAGTGCTTCTTGATGAGTTTCTCGTTCTTGGATTGTTGGCCCTCGGCGTTCGAAATTTCATCGGCAAGCAGGCCAATTTGCTCCTTTAGGCCATCAACCTTGGCCTTCTGGCCACGAAGTCGAACACCACCAACTTCCATGATCTTGCTCTGCAAGGTTTGAATCTCCTCCTCAATCCCGCTCTTTTCATCATTGAGCTTCTCGATCTCTCTCTGCGCCTTGCTGATTTGCTTCTCAAGCGCAGCAATTTGACCTTCGTCGGAGTCAGAGGGCTTGTGCTGCGCACCCAGTTCCTTCACACGGCGTTGAGCATCAACTAGACTGCGCTTTGTGCTGTCGATCTCAATGAGAATCTTCTGGATTTTGGTCTCGACACGTGGGATTTCTTCGGATCTTTCTTTCATCTGAGCCTCCACGTGACGCTGCTTCTCCTGGAAGGCCTGGAACTTCTTTTCAAGATCCTCGAGGTCTGACTCCAAGCGGGATACCTGCTCCTTGGTAGTATCGGCGACTTGCTTTGATGACATACCACCGCGAGCAACCCGGGTGCCACCACCACTCATAGTACCTGAAACGTCGATCAATTGGCCATCTTGAGTGACCACTCGCCAGCGCCGAGCTCCGTAGGCAATCCGGTTTGCTTGCTCCAGATCTTTAGCAACAAGGGTGTTTTGCATCACACTGTAAAAGGCCGGTGCAAACTTGGGATCCTTTGGCTTGACGAGATCGAACAGACGAGGGACACTCTCGGGGGTGTAAATAGTGGACATGTCCCGGCGAGGGAGACGATCGAGGAGAATAAAGTTTGCGCGTCCAAGGTTGTTTTTGCGCAGGTAGTCGATACACTGTTGACCAACCTCCACCGTTTCAACAACCATGTTGTCAAGAGCTGGACAAGCCGTGGAGATAGCAACATCATACTTCTCATCAATCGTACCCAGGTTGCCGAGGCGGCCATGGAAGCCATCGATACGACCCGACTCTTTGAGGCGCATCAATCCAGTCAAAACGCTTCCACGGTTCTGGGTGCTTGCCAAGCTGACTCGAGCTTCGTCTGCTTTCTGTCGGGCGCTGGATACGTGCGAACGAACCTCGGGCTCACGTGAAGCATACTTCTTGAGGTCATGTTGAAGCTTCTGGACTTCCGCCTCCAGAGTTTCCTTCTGGGATTGTCGCTCTTCCAGCTCGCCTTCCTTGGACTGTAGACTTTCCTCGATGGTGACAATCTTCCCTTGCGCCTCCTCGAGCAAAACTGCGCCAGCGTTTCCACGCTCTCGTAGAATGTCGAGCTCACTCTGGGCAACAGCAACAGCGGACTGTTTCTCATTGATCTTGGCGTTCCATGGCTCCAGTGACTTCTGTTTGGCAGCAATCTCATCCGAAAGGCCTTGGGTCTTGCCCTTGAGCCCCTCACGGATGGAGTTGAGTTCCTTCTCTTTAGTGACCATCTCACCCTCAAGTTGGGTTGTTTCGGCGGTCTTCTTTTCGATGTCTGAAGTGAACTTCTCAACTAAGCTTTGGCATTCGGAGGCCGCGAGGCGGCTGGTTTGCATGGCCTTTTCCAATTTCTTCTGTTTGCCGAGCAAGAACTTCTTCTTCTCTTCGAATTTGACGGATTCCTTGTCGTATTTCGCCATTTCCTTGAGCAGCCCTTGGGTATCCTTCTCCATTGACTCATAGTAGCGCATACCCTTTTTGTAGGCCTTCTCAAGTTCTTTGATGCCGGACTCATTTCCCTCGTGTTTTTCGAGCTCCATGTTGAGTAGTTCTTGCATTTGAAGAATCGCCTCTTCGGTGACGCGAACATTGTCAGAACATTCATCGATGTAAATTTGGTAGAGGGCGGATTGTTTCTGGGCCAATTCGTTTTCCTCGCGAACATAGGCCAGGGCCTTGTCTTTCTTGTCTACCAGAGCAGTCTTCTCCTTCTCCACGTGCTGAACACGATTGTTCTTCTCCACGCAGACATCGTTCAGGGTTTCAAGCTCTGTGGCTGCTTCGTCAATCGGGGTCTTGTACTTGGAGGTTCCGATGATGTCTTCCAAGTATTCCAGTAGGCCTTCGTCGTGCTCGTTGGCGGCTTTGGGTTTCATCTGGGCGATTGACTCAACTTCACCCTGCAAGATCAGGAATCGTTTGTGGTCGAGGTCAATACCGCGATCCCGGAGGAAGGTGGTCACAGCGGTAAAGTTGGTTTCTTTTTTGTTCATGTAGTATTTGCTGGTGTTGTTTTTGAACGCTCGTCGAGAAACAATCAGTTGGGAATCTGGGACTACTTCATGCCCCCCTTCGGGCAAATCAATCACCTGGGAGAAATGGACTTCCACTTCACAGTAAGCAAGGTTGGGGTACTGGGCAGAGTTGTGGATCAGTGCGGAAATCTTGCCCTGTCGCATCTTGCTGGCGCGGAAGCCGAACACGAAGAGTAGAGAGTCAATGACATTGGACTTTCCAGAACCATTGGGTCCGACAACAGATGAAAAGGAAGCGTGGAACGGTCCAACAATCTGTTGGCCCGCATAACTCTTGAAGTTTGTCAGAATAAGATTCTCAATGATCATGCGGGGTTTAGGCCCCTCAGGCTCCTCCGGTGTTTGGGGAGCCTGGGTTCTGGACTTCGCCACGATGTCCATAGGCCTCTCTAGCACTGTCGAATTGGGGTTGATAATATTGATCTGGGATGGGGCTTCTTCTGGCTGCTTCGATGGTGACTCGCTCTGGTTGACAGCGGATTCGGTAATATCGGCTAAAGGTGGTACGCTGGCTCGTTGTGCGTGCACCTGGGGCTCTGGGGACTGGGATGGCTCTGGAGTTGGGAGTGAGCCCTGTGCTGGTTTGGGTGTGATTGAGCCACTGCTCTTGCGGGAATGGGCCATACTTTTTCTCTTCAATGCCGCTTTGCTGGAAGGCGACTCTGGATCGGCTTCCATCGACGCAATACTAGCTCCTTCGTCGTTCTCGTCATTCTCGTCGTTCTCTTCGTTGACATCACTTTCATTGTCATCATCCGGTTCGTCCACGTCCATCGCATCAACGTCCACCAAATCGGCATCGGCATCCGTGTCCATCGCATCGGAATCGTCATGTGTTGCCGCTTGGGTTTTGCTGGTTGCGCGGACGGTCGCAGGTGTCACAGGCTCAAGTGTCATTCTTTGGCTAGATGCGCGCTTTGCTTTCTTGGGAACCGGTGTATATTCCTCCTGCTCATCCTCCTCGTCGTCATCCTGCGTATCTGGTGTTGGTGTTACATTTCCCGAGTCTTCCGATTCAGAAGTTTCGACGACATAACTCCGGCGGGGGGCAGACCGGCGTGAGGTCCGACCCTTTGCGACAGAGGCCATGGTGTGCGAATCAGTTGGGTGTCTGCTGCATGGAGGGGCGATGGGAGTTTGACGGAGTGTTTTGTCAATTAAAAGTGGGTTGTTTACCTCGTGCCCGAAGAGGCAAGGCGCCCGCTGTTCTGCCACAACACCCCCTTCACCGCCATGTCCCACCGTAACTTACCGTACGGTAATTACTCCTCCGCGGAGCTTCATTCGCAGCTAATTGGAATTATTCCATCACTTCTGTATACCACCTCCAATCCTGACCAATATGGCTCCTTGGGAGAGCTTCGACCAGGTCTTCGCCTTCAACAAGAAATATTCATACGAGCCAAAGGTCTATGATCAGATTCTCTCTAATCGGCGCTCTCTCGGTCAACTCTTTGCCGATCGACTCTTGTCACTCTTTGGCATCCAAGGAGGTACGGAGCATCTGATTTCGGAGTTTGGGGCCTTGTGCTAATTATCTTGACGTCTACAGTAACCAAGGTCTATCCACCCAAGAATAATGGAGACCTCCGAGCGCTGTTCAACCACATCGTACCCTCCGAACTTGACATCCACCACAAACAGTCTTTGATCTATTATATCCTCAAGGACTGTCGCGCTGCACCAGAAGCTCCTGCTCAGTTTGCGCAGCAATGCCACCTTCCGGAGAAGTACCGTCTTCTCATTGAAGGTCTGTGGCATATGGATCGACTTGACTTCAGGGTAAGTTTCCAAGGCTCCCCCAATGGCACTCTTTAACTGACGAGGGTGTGATATTTTAGAGGGCAGTCGAATTCCTTGCGGAGCCATCGCTCATTCCGACCTTCCCGGACGAAATTCTCTACGCGCTGACCCTCACCAAACTGCCCAAGCATGACAACAGTCTGGCGATTGCATACTACCTCACTGCGTCGCCTCCTCTCGCCACCACCAAAGTCCGCGCGGCTTTCTTTGAAGCGCTCGCTCGCTCTAACGTCACAGAGGCATTCTACTTCACGCGCAAGTATGACGAAGAACATCGTCAGGAACTTTTTGAGCAGCTGGTGGAGTTCGTGCACAAGGCCAGCCCCGGCCAAACTCGAAGTAGGCGGGCAATTGAACTTGTTGGTCTTCCGCTTGATGAGGACGAGGAACAGTGGTTCGAGGATGTTCTGCTCCGAGGCAATGCCAGCACTTTGCCGGGCTCCAAGGACACTGTGATGATGCGCCGTCTGGCAACTGGGCGACTGGAAGAAATTACACCGGAGCTAGAATCATTGGGTGGCAAGAAGATTGACGGTTTGAACTGGGATGATCTCCGGGGAAGCATACGACACATGTGAATGATATACCCAAGTGATACAACGTAATGATTCATTAGTTGCGGTTTAAATGGAAACTGGAGTTCAAGGTCTTAAATATTTACTCGAGCGAGTATCCATCTGAGGTGAAATCTTCGATGTAGACAGTCTGAAGTTTAAAAGAATCCTTTGCAGCTACTCAGTGTACCAACTTTGGAATGTATATATTTGGAGCTAAAGCGATGGGTAGTGTGTTGAATTTTTCTTACAGAACATTGATAGAACCATCAAACAAAGGTAATAGCCAAATCAACCTTGGAAACCACAGCATATATATGGTACAGGTAACTACTTAACTACCTAACTTTGTCTGTACCTTATATCAGCCCTGGAGCCAATTTATCGCATTGACGGAGTACACCTGGGCAGAGGCACACAGTAACCCGGGCGGGCGATAAGATACGGCGAACCTCCGTGAAAAGTCCCAACCACAGGAGTCTCCCTTTTATAACGCGTAACCCCCCCGAATTTCTTATTTTCACGTGAGAAAAACATCAGATATTGCCCTTGAAGTGAAAATACAGGCCTGGGGTCCGTGACTGTGCTAGTGGAGGACCCATTGTGCCGCAAAGATGGCTATATGTACCTTCTTCCAGCAAGGCCGCTGCAAGTATGGAGGTAGGTATTAATCGACTCGTCTGAAAGGAGGATGACTGATTTGTTCCTGTAGCCAGTTGCAGGTTTGAGCATCCTGGCCGAGGAAGTGCTGGTACATCGACGTCGACGAATCGATTCGGAGCCTTAGCTGGAGGATTCGGAGGTGAGTGAAACGACATCAATTGATGCTTCCTTATTGTTTTTATTAAGAAAAAGAACCAACTTTCAACGCCCAAAGCCTATTGATATCTCCTTCTAAGTTTTATGTTCCTCATTGATGTACTCCCTTGAATTCGTGAATTTTGTGTTCACTTACGCTCAGATCGGGGTTGGAGCTCCATCTGTTCAATTTTATCTACTTCGACCTTTTGCTTCTGCTCATCCTGTTCCACCTGATCCTGTCTTTGACCTGATCATCATATTCTGTCTTCCTTCTTATTCTTCCTGATCTTGCTTGGTTCCATTCGAACCTTTTCCCACTGCCAAGATGAAAGACCGCATCGGCCTGGCAGATTATTTGACACTTCTCCACGCTCGCAACCCTTCTCGCATTACTCCCTCACTCAATACTCCAGCACTGGTTGCTCCTTGTTCCTGGCCTAACACTCAGGTGAAAATAGGTAATCAGACAAATACTCGCACCCAACATCCCGCGGAGTAAGTCGCCTTAACCCTCCATCAAACCTGATACTAATTCAAAAACAGCTTTGGGGTGACAGCAGCAAACATCAAGGATGATTTGACTGTGCAAAAAGGTCGACCGGAATGGATCTTCTCTGCATACGCACCCGCCAAAGATGTTCCCCGCCTGCTGTTTGGCGGCCCCCACCGCGAGCGGAGTGTGGAAGAGATGCGACTGCGTCACTATGAACTCGCGGCTGCCGGGAAACTCAACGAAGCAGTACAAGAGGCCTCGAGCCTGTGGGCAGAATGTGTGCAGCAAACAGATGCCGCATTGAATGACCCGCAAGGTGCCGCCAAATATGTTATTGATGGCAAGAATGAACATCCCAACATTTTCGACATCATAGAGGGTAAAGCAAATGCCACCCCTAACCAAGGCTCATCCTTCAGCCAGCCAATTGCACCTAGCCAGCCCTCTCCATTTGGCCAGCAGAACACGAACTCGACACCAAATGCCGGCCCTGCACCCGGGGCATTCGCTGCTCCTTCTTCGACATTTGGCCGGAGCACAGCCTTTGGCCAACCATCTGGACTCGGTACTGCACCGGCACAACCGCAGATATCCGCCTTTGGCCAACCATCTGGACTCGGTGGCGCATCGGCACAATCGCAGACATCCGCCTTTGGACAGCCTTCGGCGTTCGGAAAGCCCTCTTCCATGGGTGGCTCCGGCTTCGGTCAACCCTCTGCTTTAGGAGGGCAATCCGCTCTCAATAAACCAGCATTTGGCCAGACAAGTCTTGGCCAGCAAGCTGCCAATCCGAGTCCTTTCGGCAAACCATCGACTCTGGGAGGTACCACAAATACTCCATTTGGTGCCCCTGCTGCCGCCTCCCCATTTGCTCAATTCTCACAACAAAAACCCGTCGCCGGTGGCTTCGGTCAGAGCTCAGGAGTAACCGGACCATCACCATTTGGCCAGAATACTGCGCAGCCCGCTGCACAACCCGCTGCTTCGCCATTCGGACAGGCCGGCCTGGCACAGCAACCAGCAGCTCCGTTTGGTGCCCCATCCGCCCCCGGTGGGTTTGGACAACCATCGCAACTGCAACCCTCCCAGCCTTCATCCTTCCCACCCGCTAATACTAATCCATTCGGAGCGCCTGCTGCAAAAACTTCAGCGCCGTCTCCCTTCGGAGCTCCTTCACAGCCAGCAGCGGCCCCATCTCCCTTCGGACAACCGGCTGCCGCTCAAGGTGTGCCAGTACAAAACGCTAATGCTGGACCAAATGCATTCATCAAACCCAATGTGTCCAACGAGCTCAACCCAATCCCACAGCTACAGGGTGAAACTCGGACTGATCCACAAACAAAGCGCCTCATAATGTGGAAGGGTCGCCCTGTCAACTATGTCAATGACCACCCCTGCTATCTCCACCCGCAAGACAACAAGACCTTTGTCCGCATCAACTTCCCCAATGGGCCTCCTGATGCAGCCAGTTTGAGGGACTCTCAGGGCAAACCAGAAGAATACACCGCAGAAGTGACAGAGGCTTACAAATTCTTCCTCGAGAATGGCCACTTCAAGGATGGCAGGATTCCAGTTGTACCTCCGCAGCGGGAGATGATCAGTTTCGACTTTTAGTTCTTATTGCTTCCATCAAGGAGTCACATCATGACCACAGCTTCCTGACATCGCCGAGACAAATGTGCATATTAGGGCTGGAAGCATTGGGAAGGGCAACACCACGCCCCCGTGATTGAGGGGTGGGAATGTCAACAAAAGATCCTTTCTTCACAGTTCAAACCTGCAACGCAGGCAAATCATTACGTATCATGGGTCATACTACGATCAGACTAAACTATAAATGAACAATAGCTTTTTTTTTTTTCAAGATGTTTCCATTTTTTTATTTTATATTCAGGTACCAACGAGATCGCCCGCAGCTTTGTACAAGCCGTGTGGACTTGAGCTGGTGTCAGACTAGTACAATGCACTATGCCTTCCCCAACCCATGATCCCTCCCTGAGGCAAGCCCAGCCTAGCACATTTATGCGGCAATGGTGACCTCAACCTCAACACCGGCCTCGATGTTGATGATGATCTGCTTGACGGTCTCGGTGGGGGCGAGGAGGCTGAACATATGTTAGAGGCTGCATAGCTAGCGGCAATAGCCGCGATCGGATCTGTTGATGGGGGAAAACTCACTCGATGAGACGCTTGTGGATGCGCATCTCGTACTTGTCCCAGGTCTTGGAACCCTCACCGTTGGGGGTCTTACGGGTGGAGATCTGGAGGGTCTTGGTGGGCAGACGGACGGGACCCTTGACCTGGAGAGACTTGCCGCGGGCACGGTCAATCAGCTCCTGGCAGACCTTCTCGAGAGAGGCGACCTTGCGGGAGGTGAGGGTGATGCGGATCTTGTGGACCTTCTGTAGAGCGGAAAGGCAATTAGCAATTGTTCTCGGTGAGGTACATTGTCACTTCGGACAGCGACAGCAATGCGCTGTGCGCGCGCCAGTGACAAATTTCAGGTACAACGTACAGGGCCCTCGCCGAAATCCTTCTCGGGCTTCTGGAAAGACATCTTGAATTGATATGAACTAAGTTGGGTTAGGAAGGAAAAGACCAAAAGGGGGAGAGAGCGCACAATTTAAAAGGCGTATGCCGTCAAGACCTGAACTGCTAGGCTCGGTAAAGTGATGATGGCTGTCGAAAAGTATTGTGGATCGAGGAAATCGATATCCAAAAAGTTCAGTGCGAAAGTCTTGGCACTTCGGCTATCGTTGCGCTAAACTCCTTTGGGTGGCCGTCGAGCCTCTGCTGAGTCATCACCTCTTTTGGGAAATCCAGACGTGAGGCTCTGAGATATTGGGGAGGAGAGAGCAGTTACTTGCTCTTGACTTTCGCTTTTTGCTTTCTTGACTACGCTACTTGCTACTGGAACTTCCATTACTACCAATTTTAATTTCCCCAGATGGCGGAGCTCCCACCGCTGGCCCCAGTGCCCTCCCCCGCAGTGAGGAGGACAATTCCACCGACTGACTGGGAAAACTGCTTGGATGCTTGGATGACTCTCTTGGGTATCCGACTGAACCTGTCCGATCAGCAGTTCAAAGGGACTGCCGCCGAAGATACATCAACACCCCCGTTTTTGGGGTCCTACTATCAATATGCGGCCGCGGGGGACTCCGGTCTCCAGAGTGGGCCTAAAGCACGACAGCTCCGGAAGCTTTGCTTTTTGGCGACAAGGCGATATTTGCTTGATCTGCCTAACCCACCAGAGGGCATTATAGATTGGAAGCTCCTTGGAAACCTTTCCTGCTGCTATCCTTCCAGTGCAGTTTTGAAGACGTCATTATCCAAGGCCTGGGAGCTCCATCAAGACACGATAACTTCAAGCATCGACAAAGCAAAAGCCATTGTGATTAAAAATTTGTGCTCAGCGAATCCATCCTCTAATCCTGGGCTTCTCTCTGACATCCGTTGCTTGACCATTTTGGCTTCTGTGCTGCCGGCATGTGGCCAGGCACTCATGGCGGGCTCCGACTTTCTGGACACAATAGCCGAAGCCTACCAGGCGAAAGGTGCAAGAGAAGAGCTTCGCAAGATTCTCGTTGCTAATATCTACGTTGCCATGATCTCTTTATTGAAGGAGCCTGTCAATATGTCCTTACTATTGGACCAATTGTTCAGCCTCAAGGCCGCAGCCCGAGTTGGAGCACCGAAGATGAAAAAGGAATCAACCATACTCTCCGATCTGGTCTGCAGCTCAGACCTGCTCGTTCGATTAGAAAAGCACCTCGCCAGCAATCCGCAGAAGCGAGGACAGGATCTTCTCGCCAGCTTGCGGGCCTATCAAGTTGAATCGCAATCTCTACACCATCGATACCAAAGGAAGAAGAAGGTGAACAAGGGCAAAGGAGTATCCAAGGATCCAATCATCTCGGGAGAGTTACATGCCCATAAGATGTCCCTGGTCACACAGGTGCAAGACCTCTTCCCTGACCTTGGGTCAGCCTTCGTTGTACGCCTTCTGGACTTTTACAACGACAACCCCGAAACAATCGTTGCTCAACTCCTGGATGATTCACTACCCTCTGAACTTCAAGCTCTAGACCGAACTGAGCAGCTGCCTCCCCCAGCCGAGCCTCACCACGTTCACATGTCACCTCAACCAACACCCCCGGCAATGCCATCACCACAACCTGAATACCTCCCGACCCGAAAGAATGTTTTCGACAACGACGTCGACATTGCTGAACTCAGTCGATCAGGCGACGCCGAAGGAAAATTGCACTTTGGCCACATCGATACAGATGAACCAGTCCCTATAGACAGCAGTCAACATGCAACCAACAAAGCAGCTATCCTCTCCGCACTGGCGACATTTGATTCTGACGATGATGAGCGTGATGACACCTACGACGCAACCGATGTAGGCGGTGCCATCGATGGCCCTACAGGTGCAGACAGCGAGGCCGACGCAGAGAAGCAGAGTCGACACCCAGTTGACACCGAAGCAACTCTGTTCCGAACATACAAGTCTAATCCTGGTCTGTTTGCCCGTGACTCGGCGACTCGGCGATCGCAACCGCGTCAATCATTGAAGCGCGAGACCGGGATGACGGATGAGGCCATCGAGGGCTGGGCAGTGATGCTGGCCCGGGATCCGAAGCGCCTCGCTAGACTTGAAGGTCAACTTGCTGTGGATGCTGGTGGACCCGGTGGTGGCGCACTCAACCAGCCCGAGTTGCGCTCTACTTCTTACAGACGACCGCAACCACGAGAGGATGGCGACGAGGGCTCGGATGAAGGCGAATCTTCTGGTCATACCGGTTCCAGGGGTAGAGGCGGCGGTGGGCGTGGCAGAGGACGCGGTGGTAGAGGGCGAGGTCGTGGAGGTGGCCCTCAACCTGCAGGCCAGGGACAGGCCGACAGTGCTGCTTCGAGGCAGAGGAAAGAAGAGAACAAGGGCAGTCGAGCAAACCACAATCGGCGGCAGCAACACGCAAAGAAGATGGCGCGTGGTGGAATGCCTGGTTAAGACCACAATTGGCCCCGCTGCTCCCAGGCCACAGCTGCTGGCTCTGACACCTCCATAATCCTCAATGTAATCTAGATACAGCATACGGAGTACTTAGAACGTCGGTTCAATCTCACCAGAGCTGAAATTTGAAAACATATTATTCATTGAGTCATTAATCAACGGCGGCACATGAGATATGGGGTGGGCGATCGTAACATTCTATTCAGATAGCTGGTTCACATGGCCAGCAAGGAACAAACACTTCTCACATCAGTGATGATCAGAGAACACACCTGCTTCGGCAATGGACTTGCGACATTCCTCCATGAGGCGCACTTGTTTCGCTACTTCACCCAGACGGCCGATAACCTCTTTGTTTCCATCGTAGAACGTGAAGATCGCGTAAGGGATACCAGTATCACGACAGAATTCAAGAACGAATTTCTGTGTGCGACGAAGGTTATGGCGGGGAATGCGAGGGTAGAGGTGGTGGATGGCCTGGAATTGCAAACCTCCATGGAAGAAATCGAGCCAAGTTGGGCAGTCGACATCCATAGTGGTGCGAAGCATTTTCTGGGGGAAAGACTCACCAACTCCGAGGTCAGCGGTTGACATTGCGAAGTGTGACAGGGTAATTTGAACATGTAGCGGTGAGGGGACGACATGGGAAATGAGAAGGAAAACAATGCGGCTGGTGGCGTCGGGAAGCGTTTTGTACATCACACCATAGCCGAACCATGTCCAGAAGAAGATTTGCCCGGCAAGCTCAAAATAGAGATGCCACCAAGCAGGCCCCTTTCTAGGAGCCTGGCGCTTGAGCAGATACTCCCAGCTCAAAGCGTAAAGATTGAAGCGTGCGAGCATCATGATAGGGTAGTAAGAGTAGTTTTGAATCTTGAGGAAGAAACGAGCCGGAGCGTCAAAAGTCATAATGCGGTCGTAGTAGGTGCTTTTCAGGCTCGTGAGGAAGCGATGCGAGATCGCAAAGAATGGAATATGTTCGATATCGGGATCATGCTCAGGCTCGTTGGTCACAATGTGATGAACATTATGACTTCGTTTCCACCAGCCGAGACTAAGTCCACCGAGAAAATCAGCGATGATCATTCCAATGACAGTGTCAACGTGGAAATTGTGTGTGATCCCCATGTGACCGGCATCATGAGCGGTGAAAACAAGCTGGTGCCAGAAACAGCCGAGGAAAAACGCAGAGCTCGCCCACCATCCCATGCGGAGGAACATGTAGGACAGGCCTGCGAAGAGTGTATATCGACAGCATTCTATAGCGTAACAGAAGTAGTTGCAATTGTAAAGGCCCTCGGCCTTGATGCGCTCGTTCAGTTCGCGGTACTTTCGTTTGATCTCTTCCTGCCTCGCGGTATCCAAGGATGGATATTTGGCAATGTCAAAGTCAATCTGTTCCTGGGTTCTGGCATCTAAAAAGGCGGGTTGCGGTTGAGTTCGTTCGTTCGTGGCTGAGGGAACAGCGTTGGAGCTGGGTGATTTCCTTTGCCTGACGGTGGAATTCGAATCGACGGGATCGAAGATGGGCGATGGAGGAGCTGACTCTCCTTGACTGGAGCCACTGGAGCTGTGCTCTGTTGATTCCTCCTCGCTCAAGCAAGTGTCTTCCGTGTACAGCCGGTACTTGCCGCCCTGGATTGGAGGGAGGAAGTTGATCCATGTTCCTTCAATTCGTCCAATTTGGTAGGCGGGCATGCGCTCACGAGCTTCCTGGGAGTGTAATCTGTAATGGTTGAAACATGGGTTAGATCAATCCAATATCATGCAGGTTCCCATTGCGGAACATACGCGTTGATCTCATCTGTCGCATCTCTGCCCACCATGTGCTTGATAGGCTTCTCACCTCCAGGGTGGTATTTGAGCCAGGCGTCAACCCTCAGGACACGGTTTTCATAAATCATAACATGCTTCCCTTCCGCAATGAGGCCTTCAATGTATCGTCGAGACAGGAGGGTGTCCTTTCGGGACGGTCGGTGTGCGGTTTGCTCCATGGTGAAGTGCGGTGAGGGTTGTATTTAATGCAGAAGAACGAAGGTGAAGGAGAATTTACAAGGCCATCGAGGCGGAATGTAAGTGCAAATGCAAAGGCGAACAGAAAACAAATGCAAGGCAGAAACGTGCAGGGGCGGAGCTGTGGAGGTTTAGCGGGGACCGATCGGCCGCCAACAATGTTACTCTTTCCACCTTGCGGATTGCATATGGCATGATGGCTGTGAGTCTACGGTAATTTCTAAGGGCTTTCTATCATTTCGTTCTAATTTTGCGCAGGAATCTCTCTCGTCTCTGACTCAAACATGGCTTCAGTGGGACCAGGTGAGTAAATCCCGTCCGGTGGCCTGATCCCACTGACTCGGATATAGGATCCTACTACTCGGGCGGAAATAGAGAAGCTTCGGGACTCAAATGCCACCGAGGAGCTAGAAAAGCGCCTGCGTAATCGTCCGTTAATCTCTTCGTATTGGCTGATGTATATGTCTGATCTGTATACATAGGCATCGAGTTCGGAACGGCCGGTCTTCGAGGTCGTATGGCTGCAGGGTTCTCATGCATGAACTCCTTGACTGTCATTCAAGCCTCACAGGGGCTGGCTAAGTTTATTCGAGACAAGCGTTCCGAGATTGCCGCCAGCGGCGTGGTCATTGGTCATGATGCACGGCATAACTCTGCGAGATTTGCTGCACTTGCTGCCAACGCTTTCATTGCGCAGAGAATCCCCGTCTGGTTCTTCAAGGAGGAGGGGCCAACTCCATTGGTGCCGTTTGGAGTGAATCACTTCCGTGCTGCCGCGGGTATTATGGTGACGGCAAGCCATGTAGGTCGGACCCAGACGAGATTAGATCTGAATTTACTAATCGAGGAGCTTGTAGAATCCACCCCAGGATAACGGTATGTACTTCAAACTGAATCTAGTTCCAAAGAATTTGCTGCTGACTTTTACACAGGCTACAAAGTGTAAGAAACATACACCCATTGCAAGGAAACATCTAACCAAATCACTCCATAGCTACTCGAGCAATGGCGCGCAAATCAACCGCCCTGAGGATGGAGAGATCGCACAGTCAATCCTAGAGAATCTCGAACCATGGCCAACCGCTTGGGCTGAATTACAGCCTAGTGAATACTTGCGCGCCGATTCATATCAGAATTTGTTACCTCACTATGGCAAACGAGTTGAGGAGTTCACGGTACGCTAATGAAGTTGACATTGTGTGGCCAACCTAACAACCACTAGAAAACCACCGTGACAGACTGGCAACCCCCTAGACCTTTCGTTTATACACCTCTGCATGGTGTAGGAGGCTTGGTACTTCCCAATGTCTGTAACTCCATCGGTATCCATGACTTCGTATCTGTCACTGCCCAAGAAAAGCCAGACCCGGACTTCCCCACCGTTAAGTTTCCCAACCCAGAAGAAAGTGGTGCTTTGAATCTTGCTATTCAGACCGCCGATCAGGAGGAGAAAACATTGATCATTGCAAATGACCCCGATGCGGACCGTTTTGCAGTAGCGGAAAAAATAGGGTATGTAAACCTCACGTCTCCTCCGTATTCATCCCTAATGTGCTTCCATCTTGATAGTGAGACTTGGTATACAATGAGCGGGAACCATGTTGGTGTGCTTTTGGCCTCCCATATCTTGGATTCCTACGATTCCGGCAACGACTGGTCTAATCTTGCCGTGTTGACTACAACTGTATCGAGCTCCATGCTCGGAAAGATGGCTGCTGCAAAAGGCATCCAATTTACTGAGACTTTGACCGGATTCAAGTGGATGGCCAATGTTGCGCGTGATCTGGAGAAAGAAGGAAAGACTGTCGTATTCTCCTATGAAGAGGCACTGGGTTATATGTTCCCTTCTGTTTGTTACGACAAAGACGGAATCACCGCAGCTACTGTATTCCTTGCAGCAGAGGCCAAGTGGAGGGCCCAAGGCTTGACTGCATATGGCAAACTCCAGAAACTCTTCACTGAATTTGGCCACCACGAGACGCTCAACAATTATTTCCGATCTCCCGACCCCCAGCTTACCTCAACCCTCTTCCAGGGAATCCGGGGCAGTTCCTGCCTCGCAGAAATGAAGTTTGGACCATTCAAGATCTTGCGATGGAGAGATTTGACCGAAGGGTACGACTCCAGCACCCCTGACAAGAAGCCAGACTTGCCCGAAGATCCCAGCAGTCAGATGCTTACGCTGTGGCTTGATGGTGGAGTTCGATTTACATTCCGAGGCTCGGGAACAGAGCCCAAGGTCAAGTGTATGATGAGCCAGTCCAAATATCATGAGCTACGCACTGACATCCTACATAGTCTACATCGAGAGTTGTGGCGAGTCTCGCGAGGATGCGGTGACGGCGGTGTGCGATGCATTCCTGGCCATTCAAGAGCACTGGGTTCAGCGCTTTACGCCTTCGATGACATACAGCAAACAGCTTCCTACTTCGTCGGGTCATGTCTTGGATTTGGAATAAGTAATGATGTTGATCATAGGAATATCAGAATGGATAACATAAAGGCTCGTTCGAGCAGACCATTGACCCCGGATAATAATAAACCCCGATAACAATGGGTAGGAACACCTGATAAGAATAGCTTCTCGTGATAATAGCCCCAGAAAATAACCGCTCCTGATATGGCCCCAGAGAGTTGTGAATTCCGATAACACCGTGGAATGATTGCATTTGGCATTTGGCGAATAGTCAGGAAAAAGGCTTGGCGAAAAGATGGAACAAAAGCAATGCAGGTGTACAAAGTGCATGAGACCAGCATGAGACCAGCATGAGACCGTTTGAGGGTCAATGTGTCAATTCCTCCATGCCCCTAAATTGGACACCCCCCCATCAAACCGCATAGCAGCATTGTGTAGTAGCCCATATCAGAATTGGAACAGCTCAGCAGTCCCCATAAGCCACGCCTTGATTTCGAACAATGCGGAATTGTCATTGCTCACCAGGGCTCTGTTGGTCTTTGGGTCGAACCAGCCATCTGTCTGCTTGACCCAGGTCAGATCACCGCCAATGACGCGGGCAGAATCAAAGTCAATGATGACTGGCGTATCCCCCTCAAACATGATGTTGTTCGGGTTAATATCATTATGAACGATCCCAAGGGAATGGAGATGATCCAAACCCGCCTGGATTCCTTGGACCCAGCGATCAATTTGGGCTAGATCGGGTTCAACGTTGTCCCAGGCGAACTCAAGCTTCGACAGTCGGGTGGGGTTAACTTTGTCCATCAACGTCTGGTCGTAACAGCTGAAATAAGCCCCTCTGATCTCATTATCTTCAGAAACAGAGCAACCGTGGTACACCGCAATGTTTGGGTGCGGGTTCTTCCTGATCAACTCGCAAATGGTGAGTTCGGTGTGCCATGTCTCCGCAATCAGGCCGGGATTTCTGGGAGTGTAGATGGTCAAGGTGGGGGTTTTGAAATGCAATTCCGCCAATTGCTCTGGAGAGCCCTCTGCCTTGGTAAAGGCCTCGTTGAACAGAGGGTAAATCCGCCCTCTGATCATGTTCGTGCTATACAAGTCGACGAATCGGATATCAGCTTCGCTTGCATATCGTTCACGTGAAAACGCCCGGTAATGAAGACCGTCTTCTTCATAAACGACGATGGTTTTTTGGAATTCGCTTAGGGGTCCGCCCCAGTCTTCTCTGAATTCGAGTACACGCATTTTGATGACGTTTGTGGTAGGGTATTGACGAACGAATTGGAAAGAGTCTGGAAGCAATGTTTCTGAATGAGGAAAGGTGGTTTTGGGCCAAGAGCTGCGATGATCACACGGCTTGATGTGGTGGATGGCCGCTTAGTCGTGATTTCAAGCTCCTATGGGGCGTTTGGCGACGTTTGCAATCGTCAGCCACGACTTGTACGATGGAAACTGGCTGTAGGCAACGATTAGGACCAGGTGAGTGTCAGCAGGACATCTCAATCGGTTCCCCGGTGTCGATTTCAATGGATATATTGCTTCCTATGCCAGCGAGTCTTTGTCTATGGATCTATACCCAATTCACGATTCCAGCATGCATCCCCTATCCATACATTGTCAGAGAAACCGCAGAATCAAGCAATTCTCTCATTGTATTCAATGGGATATTCACCAAACGGGTGAACATTACCTTCCGCATGGGCCGTGTCACGTACATGAAGCAGCACTTTGGACGAAAGACATATCTCACCACGATGAAGCCGAGCCCCACGAGCTGGATCATCAAAGTACATGGTCAAACGAGGCTAACCATGAGTCTTCTTGTCCTCGTTCCTCTAGGCAAGGCTCTATCCATCGCAAAGAGTGTCCTTTTTACCCTCAGAAGAGCCATTTGATCCATACCCACACCGAAACCGAGACGCAGCACCATCGATGGACCAAGACCAACAGCCATACCCATCATTCGAACAATTACAATGCCTACAAAGGGTCAATTCTTGGGGGAAGCGCCGGGTGTTTCGAAAAGTTCGAAGAATACCACCCCAGTCTGGGCGCAGTGCCAACGGCACATGGTCCTTGTGTTCGTACGACAATGCACCGGTCGGAGAGGAACAGGTGTGAGAATACAGCCAAATCTGTGAGATTCAGCGATCAGAATGATTTGATCTATGATTCTGGTGCGCAGTCTTCGGCCTGTCCTTTACACCATCGCCGATCCTCCGAAAGCCGACCGCATGATGTGGACGGGATTCTCATATCAACAACCAGCAAGCAAGCGAGGACTCATAACTGGGCTTGGGGACTACCGCTGTCGGATGGATTCCATGCTGGGAGGATGTGCTAGTCATCGTAGCTTGTACTTTGAGAATGATGGTTTCATCAAGCCTCTACCTACCCAGCATACTTCCATGCTCGTTGGTTCCTAGGTAGTATGCAGTGTCATTCAGCATCGGGGCTATCATCTCAAGCCTTCACCAAGTTCGAGTCCTCATTTATAACTTCACCCTTTGGCAAATTGGTCTGCAGTCATTGCGTTTATTCGATATTCGCTGCACGCCCTCCAGGTGTCCAGTTGAGAATCTTCGATCATGTTTAAACCGGGCAAAACGTTTCGATCAGAAAAGATTCTACCTGTCAGTCGAGTGCTAGTCTGTCTTTTGCCTTGGAGCGTCAATAATTTCCCTAAAACGTATTCTTATGTGACTATTAGATGCTCAAGTGGGTAGAGGTGGAGACACTGCGTCCGTAACAGAAGAAACCGCCCCGTAGCCTGTTCCCCTTTCCGGACCATCTATCATTCCTAGACGCCTTTGACTGTTTTGAACCAAGAGCCACCTGCAAGATTACATCCATGAATGAGAGCATTGGGCTTCAACAGCGACTTCAGGAGTTTTGGTCTGACAGGGTGATTATAAGACCGCTCTGCTCAGCAAGGGCGACAGCGATTTCTTCACGGAGATGCCCAGATGATTCAAGCCACCTGAGGATTACTGGTCAATTCTGCTTGCAGATGGATTTGAGGACTGACGCTCTCTAAAGTGAGCAAGCATCCGTTTAGCTGCAGCTTCTGTCAACGAAGATGGCATACACTCAGAATCGCCAAAGGCACTAACTCGTGGTGATTTTATCAGAGCTCCAGGGCAAAGAAGACAAACAGCAGCTAGTAGCTCTTTAATTGAGGCCTGATCCACATTTTCAACTTTAGAAAGAGAGCAATCGCCAAATGCTATCGCAGACTTCAGGAGGTAAACCCCCGCCATCTCCAGATGAAGGTGCTCCCGGATGGAACAACAACTTAGAAGGTCTTTTCCCATCACACTGGTTCAGTGCTCAAGTGGAACAGACATTTCCTTCAAAATGCTGAAGGATAAATATGTTACATCAAACAAATGAGACAAACATTTCACTCTCTGTGGCCTGCACACCTGGCTGCGCAACAGCGTGCTACTTACTTAAGTAAGCCCTGGAGTAGCAGTCAGCCAGGGTTTTAGAAGCAGTACTTAGTAGTAGCGGCAGCAGCACAGGATTGCAGCTCAATAGCGATTTACCACCCGGGCAGCACGAGCAGATCTACTTAAGTACAAATCCAGGAATGGACTACCTCTACCCAACTTTAGAAGTACTTAGGAGAGCTACTTAGTACATCTATAGATGCTGAATGCAAGCTTCTCAGGTTGTTTCTGAGATCATACAAGTAATCTGTATCTCCTGAAATAACTGATACGATAGGTACATTACTTCCAAAGTTACTTAGGCACCCTGCATCCATGAATCTCTATAGACACTGAAAGCGGTAATTTTCTAAAAGTTCAACAGGAAGTACTCAATCAGAAGAGACAAACTTCGAATTTCATTCTAAAGTTCTTGAAATTTATATCCAAGCCTTGGAGCCAAGTTCCAAGGTCCACGGTAAGAACTTTAGAAGCCATTCACGCCGTGGGATTCTCATTGGGTTGCCAGTACTTACGTATATATTCCCCGACATTTCAACTTGCTAAAGGTGTTTAACCCAGCAGTCCTAGATGATTTCTGAAGTTTGGCCCCACATTACGAGGGGACGAGAGGAGCCCTGGTATCACGACGCGTAATCAAACGATTATAGATCGCCGAAACCTTGGAAGTAATTCCAGGACTCCTTTTGGTATGGAGCAGTGAATTCGTCGGAAACAAAGGTACTAAGTAAGTATCCTTTTATTGCTGCTTGCACTTGGCAAAGGATTTACAAAGGCAGCTTTTTATTTAAGTAATGAAATGAAAGCAAGGCATCGACATCTTGACAGGGATCGGGTTCTAAAGTTGGAGCTGCCGGAAGAGTTTGTTGGGGGAACTACTTAAGTAATAAGGAGATGTTTGTAGTGTTCATGTTTGTAGCTTTCACAAAAGGGATGCTTCAGTGGTGACCTGACGGAAAGACAGCAAAGTATTTACTTCAGGATTTGTCTTAGGGATTAAAGTAGTAGCCTGAAATTTCTTTTCTCCATCTCAAAACGCTCCATTGAGTCTATTGAATAAGGCTTGGTTGGCACTCTGAAAATAATTCCAGGGTTACCAACACTGACTGCAAGCAAGCCCTGGGAGGATATGGCTGCCTTCCATCCGTATCCGTAATCTCGATTTACTATCACCGGCTTTGCACAGGGTTTCCGAAATTCAGCATACAGTAGAAAATAATAGAATCAATACTCTCACTCAAGCATGAATCAGATTTCGCGTAGGCAGTATCGCTGAGAATGAAGAAGCTGGGAAAATGCTATTGCACGACTTGGGCTTGTACGTAGTGCGAGTACTAAGTGACAGGCTACACTGTTCTTCGTACTCAAAAGAGGGTGAAAAACAGATACATAAATGGAAATTGGACGGGATGGGCTCAGTCGACCCTTTTGGTAGAAAAGAAAAAAGGAAATTTTTTTTGGAAAAGAGAAAAACAGAAACGTAATCACAAAAAGAAGAGACAGGAGCCAACCTATAAATCATAGACTTGAAGCCGAGGCAATCAAGTCCTAAACACTGTCATAATCCGTGAATGAGTGAAAAGCTGGGAAAAAACAACATTGAACCCGAAAACATATCATCCTTACTCGTCATCATCGTCCGACTGATGGGCAGTCCAGCGACGGGAGTTGCGCATCTTAGCGGCCTTCCGAGCACTTTGGCGATCCACGGAGCCAGAGCCCTGCTCAGCCATGCGCATCATGACCGGGAGACTGTTGAGAACGGAACGATTGCCCTGGAAGTAATGCTCAGCAAAGCCACCCTGCAAGACACGGCGCAGAGCAGTGAGACGTGTCCATTTCCACCAGCGGTCAATCGACATCACACCGTGGCGGCCAATCTTGACTGTCAGAGTGCTACCGTAATGGCGGTTGGTGTTCTGGTCAATGGCGGTATTATAGCGTGGACCACGGCGCGGGTTTTCGACTGTAGTGAGAATGGAGGCAAAGTTGCTGTGCAGGGACTTCTTGTCACGCTTGCTGATCTGCTTGGTATGGATATGCGCAAGACTCTGGAGTTGGCTTTCCAGCTCTGGCGTGTTGTGGTAGGCGTTATAGCGCTTGATGAGCTTGGGGCCAGCGGTCTGGTCATTGTTGTGCTCATCACTCTCGTCCGAGTCGCCACTCTCTTCATCTTCGTCTTCATCATCTTCTTCGGGGGTGTAGCTCTTCTCGTATAGCAGAGCAATGTTTTCACCTGAGGAGATCTGCACGTTGGCGTCGGAGCTGTCGAGCTGGTCCATAAAAATCTGAACTGCCTCCTCGCTTTCTTCTTCGAAATCATCAACTTCCGTGGCGAGGAAACCCCATTGCTGGATTGCAGCGGTTACAACGGCGGCATCATCTTTGGCTTCAATAGATTGCCCATCAGAGGCGACGATGTCCAGCAAGAAGGCCATTTGTTCAAGGATGCCATCGGTCCCGGCACCTCCGAAGATGGTGCACGCTCCCAGACATTGAATCGCGGCCGCTTTGAGGACCGGGGAGGTGGAGTCACGAATGGTGCGGGTGAGCAGGGGCTCGGCGTTTTCATAAATGGTGTTGTCGAAGGCTGAGATCGCGAGCAATTCAATGGCACGGAGTCCGAGTGTCGCTTCTCGCGTACTAATCTCGGCCCGCACGCTTCTCGCAAATGAAGCGAGTAGCTCGTCCACGGTACCGTTCAACTCTTCCACGGCGTAGTGGTACTTGGTCAAACGGCAGAAGGCCTGGAGGGCTTCCTCACGGCCCTGCACACTACTGCGCTTACGGTCGAGAATTTCTTGAATGCGATCGCCGAGCTCTTGTTCCCAATCGGGATTTTCAGTTTCGGGGTTTTCGTCGTCCAAGGAGCCGATGCTGTACCGATGTGGTTAGCGCGTTGATTGTAAAAATTCCCGACATCATTGGTAGTGATGTCATCCCGGGGTGTGGGGTGAACATATAACATGGAAAAAAAAAATAAAAAAATTAAGATGAAATAGAAAACATGCGAGTGTGCATGCGCGGATTTTAACATGACAGGAGCAAATCTAAACAGCAAGAAGCCAGAAGACATAGGGCTTACCTCATTGAAGTCTCATCAGAGAGGAAACCTGAGTCTTCTTCATCCGAAGGAGCTCTGCTGGCATTTCGGGAGCCTTGACGGGAGGACTGCTTTGAGCCGGTGCGCGAGTTGGTGCGCGAAGCCTCGCGAGAAGCAGCTTTACGCGAGACGGTCTTGCCGCTCTCAAAGATCTGGCGACGCAGGTCAGGCATGATGTGTGTCGAAAGGTGGGATGCGATGCTTGATGTTCGATGTTCGATAAGCCGATAAGAGTAAGAAAATAAAAAAAAAAGAGCCAGTTAACCTATAGGAACAGGACAGTATGTAAGATTCGGTGCAAGTAATAAGTAACTGGGCATGATATTTCAAAGAAGAAATTGTGTGAAAAAGAACAAGACGTAAGGGAGTCGACGCTCTTTTTGAACTTTGCTCAGGTAAGCCTGCGACGTCATGTGCTGGTGTTTCTATTCACGTTTTGCTTTCCACCAATCACAGTGTTGCTTTCTCGTATTGTCTTGACTCTTCATGATTGTTCGATTTGATAATTGTTCTCTTTCGAGTAGACAATAGAATTCTAGCTGCTTTTCTGTATTGTTCTCTGAATAAATCAATAATGATTCTCCCTGGTTCCATAATACCTGCCCAGGTGGGAAATAATCTTATTATCATTGGCCATTGGCTCCTCGCATTCGCTTAATCTAAAGTATCGAGATGTTTCACATGAAAAAGGGACTATGAGGACTATGCAGCTCTCGTATTACAGAGTATACTGGATGGCGTTCGTTGCCCTAACGCCATACATCAGCTGACACAGGCTGAAATGGTCTGCAATTATTCGAACTTTGGTATCATTATCATACATGAGAAGAATGCTGTGCTACTCCTTCTTCTGGTCCTTTTGCTTGACGAGGCGCTGAGCGAGCAACTCGATAATCCGCCGCGCCTTGGCGCCTTCCAGATATTCGCGGCCTTCCTGTCGCCATTCATCCTCCTCGTCCTCGTCGTCGCCAACCTCCAGATCCACCTGCAAGCTGACCTCGTAGGAGCCAGTCACAGTTTCTTCGTCCACACGCACTCCGTGTTGCACCAAGACTTGGATACATTGCGACAAACGTGCAATTTCCCGGCGGGTCTGGGGCGAGATGTCGTCGTTTTGGCTGGAGTAGATGGTACTAGATGCCATCTCTTCCAATCGACTAATCGAGACATTTTCCGTTGTCGAAGATGCCGCATCCGCTCCGTCGGTATGCTTGTAAATATAAATGTAGCCGTTGACTCCCAGGATAATATCCACTTCACCACCCCCGTTGGCAGTTTCCTGGGTCCAAACCTGACGTCGGGACCGAACCACACCACCAGTACCGGATCCTCCAGGTGCAGCCAGGGAGCTGTTTACAGCCGAGGAAGCTCCCACACCACCCTTAACGTTAGAGCCGGATGACCCACTGCCTCCGGTTCCTGTCACTGCGAGGAAGATACCATTCCGCAGCTTGCCGTACTTCAAAGAGCGCGTATGTAGTGATGCGGACCCATCCTGATGCACACTCTGCACCTCGGCAATCACCAGGTCACCCTCACTGAAGAATGTTCGGATCTGAAGCTCATCGGCACTCGTTCGTCGACGCAAGATACCGCCGGGCAAATTGATGGCTGAGAGAGGAAGCTGCGCAAGCAGCGGTGCAGCTACATCGACTTTCCAACGTCGAGATTGCACTTCGACAATACGGCCGACGACCAAATCTCCAATTTCGGGGGTGTAACGCGCACGCAGTGGCTGCACGGAGAGTAGCTTATTTGTCTTTTGAACATTTCCAGCAACAGTCGCGATAATTGATGTCGAGAGGGGGTTCATATAAGTACCGTGGCCTCTGCAAGCGGTTAGTCTGGGGCAAGTGGGAAAAAAAGATGAGGAGCCCCGCGCATCGTGTTCTACGCGGTCTCGAAGGAAACCCACCTCATCCATTGTGGATCAGATGTGACCACTTCACCTGGGGTGACAACTCCAGTGCTGATGCCTGAGTTTGGTTGTAAACGGGGGCGCTTGTGAGGCCGAGAGACACCAGTCATCTCGACGTCTTGGTCGGAGTCCACGGACATAGAATCGTCGGAGTCGGCGTGGTAGGGACCTAGGTCCTCTACTACCGGTGGCAGAATTGTGATGGCCATTGTGCTGTATTATGCCCGTCGTTTGGCGCAGATGGCTTGAAAATGACGATAGAGAAAGCTCAAGGCCGGGCAAGATCTGAGAAGGAAAATCTAGATCACGTGTGATTGATCCACTATTGTATAAAATGTTCGATGCACTCTTACCGCTTGGAATTCACTCGTCAGTTCGATGGATACTACTACTGGCTACAATTCGAAAATCAGATACTCTAAAATGCCAAGGCCTCAGTGATATTTTGCTATGCTGGTGATTAGCCTCCTTCAGAAAATTCAAACCCAACGCCCGTAATAATACAAATGGACAGAAATCCAAGTATCCAGTGCAATATAAGGGCTCAAGGCTTCTTGGCCGCTTTGCTGGCACTTGGATTGGTGTCTTCTTTCTTCTTTTTCGACCGGCTGCTGCCCCCCTTGGGTCGATACCCTGTGTCCTCTTCACGCTTGCGCTTGTTCTTGGGGGTGGGTTGCGTCTCTGTACCATCCTCGTCATACATTTCCTCGTCTTTGCGGTGGGCTGGTGCTCGCTTCGAAGAGCGCTGGTTGGAAGGGCGAGATGCTGACTTCTCGGATGCAACCTCATTATCTTGCAGGGTCTGGGGTTGGTTGCGGCGCAACCAATTGTAAACCGAGGCCGGGTTTCGGATTGATAGATCCCGCTCACGCTCTGCAAAGGTTGGGCGATCTGGGATGCGCGCAAGCTGCGCTGTGGCTGCTCCGTCGCCAAGCTTGGCATCCAATCCAAGATAGTACTCGGTTTCATGCTCGGGTGTGAAGTATCCAAGTCTGCGCTCGCTCTCATCCGATTTTTTGCCGTTGGAAGCAGCATCCGGGCTGGTATGATTGGTTTGTGACAAAGAACCATACTGTTGGGACGGTGCAAACACCTTGTTGCGCTTGATGTTATCTTCAATCATGCGATATGCGCTCGTGTCAATGCTGCCTGCTGCCAGACCAGCCTTGGCTTCACTCCATGCCTGCTTCGCCAATGTTGCATCATTGATCAAAGGTAAGATCTCTTGTTCCGGGGCGGGTTCCAAGGGCGGGTCATTTGGCATGCTTAATCCGAACCGCATTTCGGGAGGGACGTGAAGGCTTTCGTTAAACTCGAGAAGAACCTCCAGGAGTTGACTAAAAGAGTTAGAAGCTTCACACAAGGGGTGACGAATGCACATACTCATTTTGTTCCTGGATGCGTTTAGACAGGTCTTCGATGCGCAGTTCTTCCCGTATCAGCTTCTCGCTTTCACGTGTGCCCAATTCAAATTTGACTTTAAGTTTCGCATATTTCTTTCTAAGAAGGAGGTCGGTCAGCATTATGTTACGGGCTGAGTTGGGAGGGAACGTACTTGAAAGATCGGACCGATTGCTTCGTAGGCGCAGCTGCTGGATTAAGGGCATCCGGTTGGCGCCCAGCGAAAGATGCGTGCTCCTCAAGTTCTGTCATGGTGGGCCAGGATAGAGGTGGGTTGAAGAGACGGAAGGTTGAAGGGGTTGAGGTCCGGCGCAATCGCGCCAAGAGCTGGACCCGATGTCACGGGCTGCGTGTGAGGCGGGTCCGGTCCGCCGTAAAAAATTAAATTATCGCCGATCTGATTTCTTGTAGTGTCAAGCATTTTGTGACATTTGCTTTCCCTCATTTTGTTTTTTTCTACAATTCTTGCACAATGGCCGAATCACCCGACATCAGCCATAAGAAGCGCAAGCTGCAGGATGGCCCTGAACTAGAAATCGACATCGATGCACCCGAGCCAGTCTCCAAGAAGGCATTGCGCAAAGCGAAAAAGAACAAGGGAGGCGATGCTGGAGATGACGAGAAGACCAAGTCTAGCAAGTCCAGCAAATCCAGCAAGCCCGAAACCAAGGATCTTGAGGAGGACACAGCCACAGGCAAACGATCTGAATATGGCGTTTGGATTGGAAACTTGTCTTTCACAGTGACTAGAGATGAACTGCGCATGTTCTTCACGGCAAACTCCGACATTTCCGAGGCTGCAATCACCCGAATTCACCTTCCCAAGGGACCCGAGAAGTTCGGAAGGCCCCAGAACAGGGGCTTTGCTTACGTCGACTTCACCAACAAGAAAGCACTGAAAGAGGCAATGGGTCTGAGTGAGCAGCTCATGACTGGCCGCCGTGTGCTCATCAAGGACGCAAAGAACTTTGAAGGTCGCCCTGAGAAGTCTGAGAGAGAAGGAAACGCCGCCGGTGCCGCCGCCAAATCCGGTCACCCTCCGTCCAAGCGACTCTTTGTCGGTAACCTGAGCTTCGATGTCACCAAGGAATCACTCGAGGAAAACTTCAGCAAATGTGGAACGGTCACCAACGTGCATATGGCGACTTTCCAAGACACAGGGAAATGCAAGGGATACGCTTGGGTGGAATTCGAAGAGCTCGCCGCAGCAGAAGCAGCGGTGAGAGGGTTCATGCTCGTGAAGGAGGACGACGGCCAAGAGGACGATCCTTCTGATAGTGACTCTGACTCGGCCTCTGAAAAGAAGTCGAAAAAGCTCAAGCCCAAGATGCGCAGAGTCTGGGTAAACCAGCTCTTTGGTCGTCGTATGCGAATGGAGTTCGCCGAAGATGCTTCTACGCGATACAAGAAGCGCTTTGGTAAGGATGCCGAGAAGAAGGATGGTCCCGCTATCACCGAAGAAGGCGAATCACAAGAGAAGCCCCGATACAAGAAGAGACAGGAGCCTATTGACGAATCGCGCTACTCAAAGGAAACTGTGCAGAAGCTCAGCGGTGGCATTGTTGAGTCTCAGGGCAAGAAGGTCACATTTGATTGAGTGGTCGGCTATGTTTACTTTCTGTCTGATGTTATGTGGGAACATCATCTATGACCTTGTGCAGCATTAGATTTTAATTGTTGCTTTGTATACCCTGTGGATCAGTGTATTACCTCCAAAATTTGCTCTCTGTCTTCTATTTTCCAGAGCATTGACAACAATACTTCGCGAATATATTCATCAGTCAATATTACAGGTCATCGAGTCCTTGGTGGCACAGAAGTTGTGTGGCCAGACCATGTATACTTCGGTCCTAGCATATATCACAACGTCCTGCATAGAACAAATAGGTGCACTCAACTCTACCCCAGGTATCCAACAACCCACAACATCCCATAACCCTTATTTTACCACCAGTCAGCGGAGGGAGGTCGTCAATATTTAGTCGGACACTAACAAAAATAAGGTAAATAATTCTGGGCCCCAATTGGCAGAAACATACCGCCCGGGCTAGACCCGCCTGACGTCTCTGGCAATGGATGCCATTCTGGAGTGAATCTCTCTGTGCTTCTCATCTCTATTGGGCTGCATCTCCTTTCTTCTCGCCCCTTGCTCTTTTCTCTTCTCTTCTCCACCTCCCTGAAGGTGTCCTTTTTTATATTGACTTTGGATTTACTTATACAGTCTTTGTGTATTTTGGTTACTATCCGGTTCATCGTCCTTGCTTGCTCAACAGCGGTCACCCTCACCATATCTCGCTCATTTCACCTGGATTCCCTATCCTAATACACCGGTGCACTTGAATCCAGATCACCCACAAGAGTCATCCTAGCCGCCTCAAGCGTTCCCTTGTGTCTCCACCATGGCTCCTCCTCGACGTCATATCGGAGCCAGTCGCAGAAAGAGGCACGAGGAAGATGGAGAGGATGAGGGCTCAATGGCTGGAGACATGGGAGATGATTCTTTGAGTGAGGGCTCCGTTGATAGCAACCAAGAGGACGAGGATGCGGACGGAGAAGTCAGCGAAGAAAGCGAGGATGAGGCCCCTTCGTCGACGAAGAACAAATTGGTCAACGGCAACGAGAAGAAATCCAAGCGGAATAGATCTGCCCCTCCAGAAAAGCGAGGACCCAAGACAACGGTCTCGGATACAGAGACAATGTTGAATGGATTGAAGGTCTCAGACGGTAATGCTGCGGAGATCCATCTCGACCAACCCAAGGAACAGCGGGAGCCTCAAGCGGGCAGAACGCCGTCTGCCCCTCCAACCGAGCCGAGACAGAACAGTCTGGCATCCAGAAAACGCCGTGACAATGAGAAGTATGTCAAGGAACGAGAGCAGAATCCGGCTTTTGTCCCTACTCGTGGCAGCTTTTTCCTTCATGACAAACGATCAACGGAAAACGGCAATCGGTCTAGCAAGAGCAAGTCTCGACCTTACGGCCTTATTGTGGACGGGAACTCCCGTAGGTAAGTGTGCCGTCTCCAGCTTCATGCCATTTCCTACTAATATGTCTCGGTAGGTCGTCTAAAGCCGATGCCAGTGGAGGACAATGGGCACACGACCTTCACGATACCGTGGCCGGTGACGATAAATCCTTACAAAAACAGACCTCCGCAATTCCCAACCCCATCGCACCTGTTCCCACCGCGCCCAGATCCTCTCCACCGAACCGATCATTCTCTAGCACAACCTTAGTAGGAAGTGTACCGGTCGTCGTTTCTCTGCCCGGAATGGCCAGTCCAGTCCATTTCCCTGCGGTGCCCAAGAGATTACACACCCGGCTCCCTCAACACCGGCCTCCCCTCCGACGCGATAAGCCGGTCCGGATTTCTCTCCCTAGCCAGCCTCCCCGATATATATTCCCGTCGGTAGAGCGTTCATTCATTTTTATCCCTCGCGCGTTGCGGCCGAACCAGGTCTCTCGTGGTCGAGGAGGTCGTGGTGGTGGCGGCGGTTGGTACAGTGGACGTCGTCCCAGCTACTACCCCAACTCCTCGTACACGCCGAGCGTTGTCAGCCGCCGCTCTTCTTTTGGCATGCCTCCCTCTCAGGACGGGTGGCCATCACCTGCGGGGTCTGTCTACTCCAGACCCACAATCCCCACCGAACCGAAGCCCGTTGTCCGTCTTCCTCCTCCACCTCGTCCACCAGTTGGGATCCCACCATTCGGTCCCGCAATGGCCATGCCCCTTCCACACCCAGCCTACCGGGAAAGCCGACCGGCTCCAATCCCCATGCATCAACCTCGCCCTCAAAAGGCTGTCTCTGTGGCTGATATTGAAAGCCCGGTGACCTTCCCATTCCCTTTCAACCCGCCTCAACCCCAGCAAGAACAGCCTTTCCATCACCAGGTCCCTCTTTCGGCTCACGGCCCCCATGGTCATGAAGTCAATGCCCATGGGCCGCCTAGTCAGCCTTCGGCCACTCCACTCTCACAAATTCCGGAGCGAGCCATTCACGCTGCCCCTTTCCAACCGTACGCCTACCAGCAATCTGGATATTATCCTCCGAGTTATCCACCCAGTGGCATGTACTACCCGAGCTCGGGTCCTGAATACACGGGTTATAATGGACCCGTGGGGCCCGGGGCCTCCGTTCCAACCTTCCCGGGACAGCAGCACATGCCCTATGCAGCTGGTGAGCAACCATCACAGCCTGGAACTGTTGCCCATGAATCTGGTGGCACTGTCTACTTTTACGATGCCAATAACCCGTACGGAGGACCTGCTCCAGGACCAGGAACTGGTCCCGGCGGTGTTGTTGGCATGGGTGGAATGATGACTCCACCGGGTGCAATCTACTATCCTCAGCCTGGCCAGTACTATGGGCATTGAGATTGATCTCTCCCCCTCTCCCTCTCTCTCTCTCTCTCTCTCTCTCTATCTCTCTCTCTCTTGACTTATATCTTGCAATCCTTTCATCTTCCCCTCAATATCTCCTTTTCTTACTTTTTTTTCCACATGATTTCTGGGGGCTTCCAGCTTCGTCTTGCCATCACTTCCACATTCACTCGCCATGCCCGATCTCCCACCCTAATCCTGTGTTTTATGACTTATATTGGCCCTTGTTAGATCCATGCATTTGAGCGTCTTCCCCATCATGTCTCCGCACTTTTTTTTTTCTCCACATAACTGGAATCACGTAGCACACGGTTCTAGCCGTTTTCTCAATCTCGAGTATCCAATCGGGCAATCAAATCCCATATTATTATGCATGACCTCATAATCAGCGTCCTGTTTCCTATTTGATGATCTTCTGCACCCCTCCTCTCTCGGGCGTCCAGTCACGAATAAAAGACACATCCAACGCCTTGGCAATCGCGTTCTGACGCCATATTCTGCGGTCGCTCACCGCCTTCCCCATCAACACCGTCGGCAGCTGACCCCCCGGGGCCCGTCTCTCCACCTTTTTCCCTTCAGTTCGACTCTGTACAACTCCCCATCTCCACGATTCCTCTGGCTCTTCATCTGTTCCCACCATAGCTCTTCTTCTTGTATCCCTTGAACTTCCCTTCTTCCTTTGTAATCCTCAATACTATTTTTTCTTTTCTTAAACCCTTAAAAGGTGCCACTGCCTAGGCAGTTGTATCCACTTTTGCATTTCATCATACATCATGGCAACTCCAGCTCCTGCTCACCCGGGTCCAGAGCACTTGGTTACCGTCAAGGTTCTCTACAATGAGAGCAATCGACGCTTCAAGCTTCCTCTGAAGGACCTCAAGGCCCATGTCTTCCCCCGAATGGTAAGTCTCCACTCAAGCTCCCGACCGGGCCTCTAGTCTCCATTCCTTATCTTGATCATCGTGATCAAACCAAGCTCTGATCTTCTGCTTCGGTTCATCATATTCTCACTGTTCTTTGGCCTTGTCATCAATTTTTACTCGATTTTAGGAGCTAACTGATAATTCGGGCTTAGCTCAGAGCCCTTCTCGGCGTTCCGGCGGATGTTAACGTCATCCTCGAACGCTATTCCGACAGCGCCGGCTCTTACGTTCGCTTGGACTGTGACAACATCGTGGTTTACAAACAGCTTTACCGAGCGGCCAAGGCTAAGTCCAAGCTTCGTATCAAGGTTTCCTCACTCGACACATCACCGGCACCCGTACCTTCAGAGCCCACGCTGGAGTTCAATCAGCCTCGTCACAGTTACCTCGAGACCGTCTTGAGCCCTGCTGCCCCTCAAACTATTCCTATTTTCCCTGCTGTCGACCCGGTACAGACTCGTCACGAGACACAGCAACCCATCGGTCAACCTCGCCTCCGCAACTTCGAGATGGAGTCCGAAAAGCATCAATTCCCTATCATCTCTCACAACTCGCCCAACGGCATGTTCTGCATTGATTGCAATAAATGTGGCCGCTCCATCGCGAATGGCCATTATCACTGCAGCATTTGTGAGAATGGGGACTACGACTTGTGCCCCCAGTGTGTCACCGCAGGTGCGACTTGCGGCGGTGATGGTCACTGGCTGATCAAGAGGATCGTCAAGGACGGTGCTGTCACTAACAGCACCACTGAGATCATTCCTCCCCGTGATCAATCAACCGAGGCTCCCGTCCAGGTCAAGCGTGAAGTGATCACCAAGCCGGTGATTCACGTCCCTGAGTCAGTTCAAGAGTCAATCCCCAAGCCAGCCATCTCATCGCCCTGCTTGGATGCCGCCGTTCAAGGCGAAGACAAGCCAATTTGCAACGGATGCTGTCGTGGTAAGCCTTTCGCTAGCATTCTCTCTTGGCCCCCTTGTTAACAATGAACAGAAGCAGACGAGAGCAACCTCGTACGCTGCAACGATTGCGAAGACTACGACCTTTGCCTTCGCTGCCTTCTCCGGGACAAACATGGCCACCACCCCGGTCACACTTTCCATCTCGGATCCGACCGCAATTTCTGCCTGAAGAACCTCATCACATCTCGCTGTCTTCCTGGCCGCCAATTCCGCCATGCTGCTGTCTGCGACGGCTGTGACAAGGTATGTTCCAACCCACTTCCGGACAACCCCAATACTGATTTTATCCAGCGCATTGTTGGCGTCCGTCATAAATGCCTGGCCTGTCCTGACTGGGACTTCTGCCCTGAGTGCATTTTGACAGCCTCTGAGCACCACCCTGGCCATCGCTTTGTTCAAATCTACGATGCTATCGGCGAAGCTGCTCGTGAGCACGAAATTCACTATGGCATTTTCTGTGATGGTCCGCTCTGCAAGATCAAGCCTGCGCAGAGCTACATCACTGGAGTTCGCTACAAGTGTGCTGTGTGTGATGACACCGATTTCTGTGCCAGCTGTGAAGCCCTTCCTACGGATCACCACAATCACACCCACCCGCTGGTAAAGTTCAAGACCCCGGTTCGTAGCGTGACTGTGAGCACCATGGGAGATGACGGCTCCAACCGCGCAGTTTCTTTGGGCGACCAACTCCCTCCCCCTCCGAGCTGCTTCCAGTCTGCCACCCCGGCGAAGGAAATCATTGAGGAGAAGACTCCTGTTGTGAAGCAGGAGCCGGTCGAGATTGAGGATAACAAGCCCGTGGTTAAGGTTGAGCCGCAGCCACCCGTGGTCCAGAGCATCGAGACCGAAGCTCTTGACCAGGCCGACTTCAAAGCCTTCTTCCTTCGTGACACCATCACTGACGGTACTAAGATGGCACCCGACACCATGTTCCGCCAGACTTGGACTCTTTACAACCCTGGGCCTACAGCATGGCCTACTGGATGCGACGTGCGCTTTGTTGGTGGAGACACCATGTTCAACGTCGATTCTACCCATCCATCTAGTGTTGAGTCCATTCGCTCGGCGATGGAGAGCAACAAGCTGCCCGCCCCCGTGGAAGCGGGTGGCAGTGCGGACTTCTCTGTCAACCTACGCACCCCCAGCCGTGAGGGTAGCGCGATTTCCTACTGGCGCCTGAAACTCCCCAACGGCATGGCCATTGGCCACCGTCTTTGGTGTGACGTTGAGGTGCAGGCCGCTTTGGAAGCTGAAGCCGTTGTTGAGCCTGAACTAACCGGTAGTGCTATGATCTTCCCCAAGCTGGAGAAGGAATCTCCAACTTCGAGCACTTTGCAGTTTGAGGCCCCCGCTCCCCAGGCACCCACATTTTCCAACTCTTCGGAGTGTGATGTCCTGGATGGAGTCGAAAGCCTCAGTCTTGACGACGCCGACACCGACACCGGCTTTTTGACCGACGAAGAGTATGATGTTCTGGATGCCAGCGACCAGGAATTTCTGGATGCCAGACAATCCGCGAACTAAGGAGGACACAAGTTCATGATATTGCATGCTATGGGAATGGGAATTTGCACTTAATCTTTCGGAAATGCTAGGTCTAGTCCACCGTGGGGACTTAATGAAATTGATCTTTCTTGGACTTTCAACGGAAACAGAAAAACAAAAAGGTAAAAAAAAGGATCGTTAAAACAGATTTTTTTTTTCTTTCGATTTAGTTTCTCCAATGCCATTGCTGTTTCACTATGAAGGCTATCTAGGTGCTTGGATACTCTCTTGACCTTGCCGAGGGCCTCAAACGGACTCCAGTGCCCCCGCATCCAAGGCGATCTTTACTTAATGCTCCGAAGTATGTAACATTTCAAAAGATCCACGGGTTCCACCGAGACTCAATAATGACAAGGTGGGCCATGGCATTTTCTTTCCTCTTCAACCTCCTTCAAATCAATCAATGCCATGGGACTATCACCCACTCTCAAGCTCGGCCTTTTCGCTGCTCTGGTCTCCTACCTGGCTGGCCCTGTCAGTCACATCGTACGGATCAGTGGCGTCTTTCTTACGCCCAACCCGACAGTACTAGGCGAAGGTCAGGGTCCCATCTACATAGCTGATACCGTCCATTGTGAGGATGTGCATCACTACCGTCCCGCAAACTTGCTATTCACTGCGTGTGAAGACCACAAGAGCACTCGATTCAGCTGGTTCCCACCCCTCGGACACATGGCACAGCCGAGCACCCGCGGCTCTCTCCACGTTGTGGATCCCAAGGTTTGTTCGTCGGCCCCAGGTGGGACCTTCTCGCTAACTGCTATAGACCATGAAATCAAGTCGTCTGGCATTCTCCAACTTTGAAGGCCCCTTCACAACTCATGGTATTGATGTCATCGAGGATCCAGACGCAAATGCTGTCTATATTTTCGCCGTTAATCACCTCCCTAACCCGGCTTATTTCGAAGCCGGCGAGCCGGAAGGCGTGCACAAGGCCCGCTCCCAGATCGAGCTCTTCCACCATGTCCTAGGGTCCTCGACGGCACAGCATGTGCGCTCGATCTACCATCCACTCGTTGAGACCCCCAATGACGTCTACGCGGAGAGTCCAGTCTCATTCTACGTCACCAATGACCATTTCTACCGCGACGGTGTCATGCGTATGGTGGAGGACCTCTGGCCTTCTGCGAAATGGTCAAATATCATTCATGTACAGGTTGATAACCTGAGCAAGGAAGGCAATGTTAATGCCTCTGTTGCTCTGACAGGACTCTGGAATAACAATGGCCTCGGCCACGGACGCACAGACAAGGAAATGATCATTTCCAGTGCTGTTGGCGGCGAGCTCTACGTCTCTGCTCCGCAGTCAAACCGTACCATTGAGATCCAGGAGACGATTCCCTTTGAGACCGTCACCGATAATCCCAGTTACTATGCGGATCCTTACCGCACAGATGACGATGATGCCAGCGGCTTTGTTGTCGCCGGTATCTCGCAGGCTATCTACTTGCCCACCAACGCTAAGAATGAGGATGCCACTGATGCCTCGCAGGTGTGGTATACCAGATTCCTGCCGGATACCAGTGTCTGGGAGAGGAAATTATTGTTCGAGGATGATGGGCTGCGAATCCGGACTGCCAGTGCGGCTGTTTTGGTCCCCATTGAGCCAAAGGGTGGCAAGAAGCTGGCTTGGCTGTTTGTCACTGGGTTCATGTCAGAGAATATGATCGCTGTGCAGGTCGAGCTGTAGTGGTGAGCAGGATGGATTCGTAGAAATTTAGGGTAGGCTGGGCTTAGCTATCTGGACTCGGCAAAATGAGAAAGCTATCTGTACAACCAATGCAACTTGTGCTTTTAAATAGAAGGTCGAAAGGGCCCTGGTTCCTAAACCACGCTAAATGTGTACTCTATCACTTCTCGCTCTAATCGCTCACTTTGATTTCTTTCTTCACTTCCTTCCTTATCCTTCTTCAATCTCGGTTCATCTTGCCACAAACCAACCGCCATAGAGAGTCATGGAGCAGTCAGGATCAAATGCACAGTCCAGGACAAATCAATTTGATCTACCAACACAAAGGACAGGAAACATTCGAGCTGTTTCAGTAAAGACTGGATCGGCTACTGACTGTCCCCGCAAACCACATCGCTTCTCTCCGAACTACAAATAAAATGTCTCGCGAATCTCATCCGGCAGTCAGATCCCAGCGAAGATAGTAAGCTCCCAAAAAAGAGCCATCTAGGACTCTTCCGAATTGGGTCACAGAGGAAAGACATTTTGTCCAACCCACAGACACTCCCACCACTCACAAGGCTCGAGAAGTTACGAATAAAGACAGGGAGATCAAGCAAGGCGACGAAAGTTTCAAGATTACTCAAACCACTCGCCCCAAGTGTCAGACACAGACCGCGTTAAAAAGCGTGAAACCACATGGAATGCCTCTGTTTGTTAGAGAATCCAACTCGAAAACGGCTTCTGACCCCTGCTCATCCTCTGAGCCCACCACAAAGTCCGAACGCAGTTCTGGCCCGATGATAGAGGAGCGATCCTTCCCCATCGTTATTCAGATTGAATTGAATCAACCGTTGCCAATATTGACCTTGAAACGTTTAGAGTTGATGGGAACGAATCCTTGACCCTCAACCTCAATGCCGTACTTCATTTTGCTGATATAGGCGAGCGCGCTTCTACAAACCTAAGTTCGGTGACCAAGAAAGCTGGCATCGAGCACTGAATCCCCAAACTCCCATTGAATTCCTACCATGATTGACATTGATATGATTCATCGGCACAAGATGGGCTTAATCACGGCACGCTTACAAGCTAGGAGGCTCTACAACAAATCTCGCATTTCCCAGTTTGCCCACATCTTCAGGCCCAGACGCCATGTCCTCGACTCTATTGTGCCCGGTCTACGTCCTCGGGTGGCTTTACAGTTGGGTGGCCAGAGCCTTGAACAGTCTGTGATTCCACATTTTTCTGTGACCTTGAGCTACAATATTCTCTTCTAGGACTGAATCCAGTCTTTGCAATCAATACCTGCTGTCCAGCCCTATACAAAGTAGTAAGATGTGGGGCTTTGATAGGCCCCACACTCATGTGATCCACTAGACCCGATTTGGCGTTTGCTGTACATTGTGATTAGTAATCTCATCAGATCCGAGATTTGAACATTTGAAGATCGATGTCTTCAAGGTCGGTTAGCGTGCTTGTCCCATCTCTCGATGTCCAATAGTCTAACATCCATTAGATCATACTCCACAATCTGCAGTATAGCATGTTTTGTCACACTATGTCCAGGGCTGTACCCAGATAGCACACATCAAGGCAGGTGATCTATGGAAATTATGCATCACACGCAGACAGGTGGACTGTGTAAACATACTCGTAGATTGATCAATTAATCCTTTGTACTCCGTACGGAGTAATCATTACGGAGCTTGATGCAAACAGACCCCTTGAATTTTCATCTGCACCGGAGATCCCAACTGGACTTGAAAAAGGATTGAACACGCAAAGTGACGGTTGAAGCCTGAGGTGTCCACTGATAAACTCCAACAGTTCAGGTCTCTCCAGAGCTGCCCCTTCACCACCTCACAATGGCCTGCATAATACGGGGCCAGCGCGCCCTCCCAACCCAGATCCAGCATCTGAATCGCCAAGTCCCCATCTTACGCTACCTATCAACCTCCCCTCAATCTGGCAAACCATCTCCGACCACCGTCACAGTTCCCCCGAAGACCGACCTCAACGCCCCAATCAGCACTCTTCCCATCGAGCTCATCACTCCCCCTCCAGTCGCTGCCTCAGCAGGCCTCGCAGATAAATTGAAGCGCTATGTCGAATTCGGCCGCACATACTTGACCTTCTACAAAACTGGCCTGAAGAACGTGTACAGGAATTACCGCGCCTCACTTCCCCTACGATCCCAACTAGGTCTACCAGCCTACATCCCCATATCCCCACCTCGCAATGTCTCCGACTCCGAACCCAGTTCCAAATCCAAATATTCCCAACTTGGCCGCGGTCAATTCCAACTCGTCCGTCGTTCTGCTCGCGACGTCCGCCGCATGATCCCTTTCACATTAATTCTGATTGTGTGCGGGGAATTCACACCACTGATCATACCAATTTTCGGCTCAGCTATTACGCCCGCGACATGTCGGGTTCCGAGCCAGGTTGAGAAGGAGCGCGTGGGTGCTGCGAAGCGGAAAATCGCTGCATTGCGCTCCGCCGGACTCCCTGTCTCTGTAGATGCGGAGCAGATGGGTGTTTTGGGCAAGTTTGCGGATCTGGCTTGGGTTGCGCATGCTGATGCGGCGGAGGTTCTTAGGGCTTGTGCTGTCTTTGGACTCGTGAAGAGTCATGATAAGACAGGTGGGTCGCTTCTTACGGGCTTGATTTACCGTCCGCGACTGGTGCGGTATGCTCAGTATCTTGCTATTGACGATGCGATGATTCGGGCTGGAGGTGTAGCGGCGATGAATGCCACGGAGGTGCGCATTGCGGTCGAAGAGCGCGGTGGTGTTGATGTCTCGGGTGCTTTTGATCGGAAGCAGGCTGAGAACCTGGAGCGACGCTGGTTAGAGCAGTGGCTTGCTGCCAGGAAGAATGTACAATAAGCATAGAATTTAGACATTTGACATGTATTATATCCAAATTCGTTTGTTTCTCTTTTGCTAGGAACGAAAAATCACGCTAAGTAACATGACAATTTGACCGGGTATAAGAAGCCCAGATATATCCACATATAAAAAAAAGGTAAGGGGGAAAAAAAAAGAACCATTAAGCCGTTGCTTGCGCCTGTGATTGCGCCTGCCCACGGACTTGCTTGGCCCACCGCAGCCCACAGCTGTTGCAGAGATCACGATTCCCACTCGGTCCCCGCCGCCATTCAGGTGTGTTCTTGGTCTTGCACATGGCGCAAAACTTCTCGACGGAAATGGCCGTCTGCTTGCGCTTCCGCTTCTTCCGACGGGCCAGCAAGCGCTGAAGCTCATCGGACAGTGTGCGGTTTTGTTTCTCCAGCTCTCTCAGCTCAATCTGCCAGCTTGATCCGCGGGTTGGATTGAGCTCTGTGAAGAAGGTAGCCGGGTCAGAACTGGGGGAGACACTGCGGTTACCGGCTGGGAGACCGTTTAGGCCGATGAGGGTGGATAGATCGGGCATGCGTTGACCAAGTGCGCCGTACTGGCTGGGTGGAAGAGGGTCATCGACAGTGAGAGTTGAATTACGTGCAGTACCCGGGAGAGAAGCGAGCCTTTCGTCTGCAGCGGCTGAGACGGCGGTGGCGGATGGAGGGAACGATCGAGCGAATCGAATTTGGGCAACGAGGAAGGTAGGCTTGGACCCCTCCCGAGCGTCGCCGGTGTATATGGTTGTGTGTGCTGAGAGGACATGACCTTTCTTATGTCGCATTTGATGTCTAAATGATGGAGCTTCATCTTTGGGTGCGTTAGTTTTGGTAGTGGCCAGGCCAGCTCCCTGACCACGAGATGCTGCCTCCAGGGCCCGTGTGATGGTGGCAGAGCCCCCAGACTCGGGCTCCATAATTTCTTGCATACCCTTGCCAACCAGATCGTCCGGCGAGCGACCAAGTACTGGCTTCACCTTGGTGGTGATGAATAAGATCACGCCGGACAGGGAGACCTTGGCCCAGACATCATTCTCAGCCAGTGCGGCAGATGACCCCAGACGGGCAATTTGATCCAGTGCGTAGACTGGTCGTGGGCGGCCCGTCATAACCAAATGCTTTCGACCCTGATTGGGGTCAATGTGCCACGCACCATGACTCTCGAACCACATGTAGCCCTTGTACTTTTGTCTGATACGATACACCACGCTCACCGGAGCAGTAGTGGTGCTTGCTCTTAGATCACGTATCACAGGGCCAATATCGCTGGGGTGGCAGATGGTGGATAGCGTCTTGCCAACAAGCTCGACAGGTTCGTATTCCAGAACCCGGGAGCAAGAAGGCGAAAGGTACAAGAATTCGCCGTTGAAGGAAAGCACATGGATCACGTCGTCGGTGTTATCTACCAAGATGCGATCCAAGAAGTGTCGGTTGACTTCATTCCCTGCAGCAGTCGCTGCATTGAGAATAGCAGTCACTTCATCATGTCCGTAGCGCGCCATGAGGTCCGGGCGCGATGAATAGACATCTGGTGGGACCACATATTGGGGCAATTGATCCCGCTGGTAATTCACACTATAAGTGCCGTCTGCAGATCATTAGTCCCAAGGTTACTGGCCAACTACGTCCTAGGAGCATACCAGGATTTCTTCGACTGACAGCGTCTAGCTTCTCAACCAGATCCACCTGGAAGCCGACGTAGAACCGATACTCACCCGAGTCCCACTGAATGGGAATCATGGTGATGAGGTTCATAAAGGGCTGTCCGCCTTTGCGATAATTAATGATGCTGGCTTGGATCTCATTGCGATCATCAATGGTCGATCGCAGCCGGTGGACGGTCTGACCGTCCACAAAAGTTCGCTTTGCGCCCGGCGCAATCTTGCCATCGGGTCCTTGAAGGAACCGACAGTTACGGCCGACAATTTCGTCCTTAGTATAGCCCGTCAATCGTTCAAAGGCCTCTGAGACATATATAATTGGTTGATCCTCGCGGAGGATATCACACATGACAAAGGCACAGGACAGATCCACAGCGCCGATGTTGATTTTGGGGTTTGGCCTCATCGCCACGCGACCCTAGCATCATTAGTTAGCATGGCCCCTTCGGTGCAAAGGCGATGAAGATAAGGAAGAGTCTTACAAGGGCACCCAATACGTCAAAGCCACTGCTTGAGTAAATTCCGGTGTGCTCGGTCTTACCAATCTCTGGCTTTTCCAGTCCAGGAGAGATATCCTCTTTTTGTCGCGTCAGTGAGGGAGCAGGACCATCGACGCGACACATGCGCACTCACCTTGAGCGGGAGCGGGCTTCTTGGGCTGGATGGCTACGGGCTGTGAAGGACGTGGGCCGGGTTGTGGTCGGTCTACCCGCCGCGAAGCCCTCGCAGCCACTTGGGACCGGTCGCTGTTTCGGGCTGAAAAATCCGAATCCTCGAAATTGGCGGTGGAATCAGTGCTGGTATCATATTGTTCCCTCCTGGCAAGTGGGGGTCGGGAATAGACGGGCATGGACTGCTGAAAGGTCGCGTATGTGGTCTGGTACTGGGGCATCCCCATGGTGGAGGGCGGGTAGGCGGGGGCATCGTAGGCAAAGGCGTTGGTCGGATCCATGTTCATGGGCATGGAGACGGCGTTGGCACCTTCGTAGGCAAGCATCACATTTGACATGCGCCCTTCCAGACCGGGTTGGGTGCGTTCAAAATTCTGTAGTGGGAGGTTCGAATCCTGGGGGAGCATGGCACCGAAGGCATAGTTACCAACCTGGCCCGGAAAGGGCATATAGGAAGGATCAGGCAGTTCCTGGTCGTCGGCATAGTCAATATTGAAGTTGGAAGCCATTCTGACAGGGCCGATAAAGCCTCGGCCAGACGTGGGGGTGAATGCAACGCCCGGACAGAGTGTCCCAGAGCCCCGGTAACAACCAAATTCGTGGGAACCCAATAACGGTCTCTCTCTCTCCACTCCGCAACTTCGGTTCACAACGTCGCAAAGTGGTCGGGTGTGTCTTGTGTGTTTTGAATATTCTCTCCGTACTGTCCGTTCACTGCAAGTCTGGAGGTGCTGAACGAGTATAAGAAGTGCGAGGGGAAAAAAGGGTGTCACTCCTCTTTTCCCAAAAGTACAACCTTTTCCCGGTGGAGACCCGGAGGAAGACCAATTACCAATAAGCGACCGGTCGATCTCGAGTGCAGCTTGTGTGGGAGTTTGGTTGGGGGTTGGAGTTGGTGTTAGTTGTCTGTGTCTGTACAGAGTACTCTCTCTCTCTTGTCAAGTGCCGAGAATTGAGAGTCGAGAGTGGAGAGTTGAATGTCGAATGTCGAACGTTGGATGTCAGAGTGGAAGTGTCAAGCGGGCAAAAAGTGATGCATCACAAAGAATAGACTTTCGCGGAACACGACGTGTCTTCCCGACTTTGTACACATCGCGATGCACTGAAGTTATTTGCATGCAATTTCTATATAGTCTATACAGATCGCGATCTGTCAATATACTATTGATATTACAATTGTTCTTGTTTACTATGGAGTACATTGGATTGGATTGGACTGTGGTTCAATATGCCCAAAAATAGGGGCTGATCAATATTCCCCCATTGGCCCTGACTACTTATGTCTCCGACCTTTGCTACCTACGGGTATACTTCGTCCTACGGCTATGGACAAGATCTCAATCACCATCTGTGGGGATGGCGGGTGCGGTACGTTGCAGCAACCTTGTCTCCTGGAATTCCGGCCACCGTGATTCGGTGCCACCCTTGCGGGTTTTCGCGATCGAGATCTGATCAGATCGGGACACAGGCAAATCCTCCATCACCCTGCGGCTGGTCCGTAGTCAATGGGTTCACGAGTGAGACCCCTGACCCCTGCATTTGTCTCCAATTGCTGACTCGCCGTAGATATGATCCAACGATCGGTATCCGCCTCTCTCTTTGTCGCGCCATCCACTCTCTGCTGACCCGAATTCGTAGAGGATGCCTACTCCGTAACCCGCACTGTCGATGGTCGCCCCTACTTCCTCTCCATCACCGATACCGCCGGCCAGGAGGAGTACCGGGGGCTCTGGACAGCCTCGACACTGCAATCAGATGCATTCCTCCTGGTTTACGACATGACCAATCCCGCCAGCCTCGAGACCCTCGATTCCTTCCTCGACATGATTCGCATGGAGGCCGAGCAGCGCGTCGAGGATAACGAGCGCTTGCGCCAGAACAACGCCGGTCCAGGCAGGCCACCGCCGGCCATGATTGTTGCAGGCAACAAATGTGATCTCAAAGACAATCGCGCGGTGAGTTCGCGTCAGGGACTCGAGTATGCACGGAAGAACGGCTGTGGGTTCATGGAGACCAGCGCACGCGAGATGGTCAACATTGAGGAAACGTTTGCCCGTACGAACCCTTTTGTTGGGGGGTTTGAATTTTTGAATTTTATCTTTTTCAAACCCTCACATTGGAAGCAAATACTAATACCCTTTTATAGATCTCGTTCGCCGTGTAATCGAAGCTCGTCGAGTTGAGAGTAGTGGCGGTGTGTGTGGCGGACCCGAACCACCTGCGCTACCGGAGACGAGTGAAACAAACGAGCCTCGCCGTCGATGGAAGTTGTTCCGGAACAAAGGGCAGGGTCAGGCACCCGGCCAACGGAGACACGGGTGTGCCTGTCTATGTCTTCCGGGCAAATCAGGCTGAGCTCTTTGTAACACCTACGATAGAACGGAGTACAAAGATACGAGTGTACAAATTAAAGTCTCCGTGCTCCGAGCTTCAATGTCGTACCTATGAAGCGAAACACCGATTCGGAATAAGGCTCCGTGGCAATTACCCCGGACCATGCTGCTCGATCGAGAGAATACCCACGGAACGATCTGGCCAGACCTTACAGAGTAGTTCTCTTACAATTTCCTCCGTAACCAGTGTAGTGTTTCGGGCCAAGCTTTGGGTTCGATGAGGTCATGCATTCCGGAATGGTGGCCGGCAAACCGGATTAAGGCTACTACACTACACTAGACTATATGCACGTTAAACAGGATAGCTCGGCTTCAATAATAGGAACTACTCGTACACTGTAATTGATTATAGACCGTAAGGCTATCATGTCCCATACCTTCAGGATAATGTACCCATAGTTACTTACGACGAAGTCAGCCAAATGGTCACGTCATGGACTGGCACCCTCAATACGAGCCCTGGAGTGTCATGAGTGTCATGATTCATATTTATTCATGATTAGCAATCGCACTGGTTTTTTTGAGTCTAGCACCCCGAAGGCCGATCGAGTGTAAATCAGGTCCCACTCCTTTCCAGAAGACAAGAAAAATAGAGTAGATAATCGGCACCCCTATGCCGATTCAAACCCCTTTTATGCAGCGCACTTTCTAAAGTTGTGCGTAACGACCAAGTGAACGGCGAAGTTCGTCAAATAGAAAAGCGGAAGTGCAATCCACTCGGATATACGTCAAAGTCTCCGAACGGGCATGGATGTTCCGTCTTCCGTAAGCCAAATGCCGAGTCTTCCAGTGTATCGTATGGTATTGCCCCGTATGGCACTATTGTAGTCTTCTGGGCAGAAAAAGGAAATACGCAGAATATAATCTGTACAAAATAATTAAAATCCAAAATCTCGAGGAATTAAGGAATTAAAAATCAAAAAAGGAAAAATAAGAAAAATTAAAAGATTTATAATATTCTAAGCCCCCTCCTTTGGTTATATATGCGCCAGTCGCCCGTTAAAGACTTTAAATCTACACTCTGCATCCGTCCTTTTTCTTTGGAACCTCTTTTGACTCGACATCATTATATCATTGACCCCGATTGACGTCGATCAAACACGGTCATCGCCGCATCTGGAAGTATAGCTCAAAAGAGGGTTCAATCCCCCTCCAACTTCAAAGACTCCCATCCTTTCAACTCTTATCAATATATCATATAAACGCCATGGCAGCTCGGCAATCAACCCCCGCTTCGGAGCATTCGCATTCTGATAGCAATGTCCGAAAGAGAGTTTGCAAAGCATGCGATCGGTGTCGTTTGAAGAAATCCAAGGTATGTCGAGCTTCAAATTGAATATCGAGCTCCCAACTAATTCGGACCAGTGCGACGGTTCCAGTCCATGTTCACGGTGTCGCGCAGATAATGCAATCTGTGTCTTTGGGGAGCGCAAGAAGGCTCACGATAAAGTGTACCCGAAGGGGTAAGCTGATGCCTGATTCGCGCACATCGGATCTCAAAACTAACCACGGTTGATATAGATACGTTGAGATGTTAGAACAGCAACAATCATGGCTTGTTCACGGCCTCCAAGAACTATATCGACGCAACATCGAAGGCGAGGGCTGGCCCGGGGAGCTTCTCAAGCTTGAATCCAACGGCAACCCCCTCACGCACGACCTGCTTATGCGCTTAGGCGCCCTCGACGGGTCCAAGGGCGAACGATTCGAAGAGAACCCCGAATCTCTCCAGCAGGAAATGTGGCACTCCAACTCCGGCATGCAACGACAAGAGTCCTCCGACGGTGGATCCGATAGTCCCCAATCACCTGCTCGCTCAAGGTTCTCCGACGCTTTCTCTCACATGCCACCTACGCCTCCGACGTATAGCCCGCGACAGATCAAGCAGGAACAGATGCCCAGCACGCCCCAATTCGCGCCACCCTTGTCCATGCAAGGTGTGGTGAATCCGCTTGCCCTGCAGGACCCGCAACAATGGTCTGGGCAATTCAATCCATTTGATGAGATGGATTTGTTGCCAGGAGACTACACCAATATGCCATTCGATGATCAACAATTGTCCCCGATGTTCAACCGTCAAATGCCGAACTGCCTGTCGCAAGGGCCTTATATGGAACAAAAGAATGATTATGAGGACTTCAACCAGTTTCTCAACCCTAATCCTACGGAGATCACGTCGATCTAGGAGATTAGGAGATTCATTCGATCTATATGATAAGATCGGTTCTGTTCCTTTTTAACGCCGTATGATGTGATGCATGTATACTATACATGTCTGTTTTTTCTTTTCTTTTTCGGGGGCTACAGTCTCATTTTTTGTTTCATTTTTTTTTTTCCTTTTAATTATTGAGGGATTCTAATCTCTGTACAGTGATGGGGTTCGGGATTTGGAGTTGGGGTTTTAAAACGGGGTTTCAAGGAGGCGTCCTGTGTTGTTTTCTTTTTTTCATTTAATTCAATTGAAGTTTCCCCTTCATGACCGTTAGATCCCAAACGGGCAATGATCTCTACTCTTTTTATGTTCTCACTATCCATGATTATCCATGATTTACGGTTCACGATTCAAGATGCAATACTACCCGGAGGAAGATGCCGATGGAACTCCACCTGGCACATTTTGCATGCAATCGGACATAATTCGCATGACTCAGCGGCTGTAAGCAAAATCACTCAGTTGTTCTCCCGAGGTCCACTTGTATTTGTGAGCCATTTTCTGTTTTCTGTCTGTTTTCCTGTTTTTTTCCGATTTCATTGATTAGTTTTTTGAGCTCGATTTTATTTTCTTATTTTCTGATTTTCTAATTTTCTTACGTGAGACAAATCCTGTGAGGGACTTATACTCCGCCGAGACACCGCGGAGTTTTATATTCCTAACTCTGACTCGTATAAAGCGAATACGAAACAGGAACACGTATGGGGCTAGCCGATCAAAAAACCTGCCTGCCTAATTTCAATGCCAATGCCAATGCCGGCCAATGTTGGCCAATGGTCTTATCTTGGCAATTGTCCCCTTTTTTTGACGCTCTGCCCTGGTGTCTGGCGTCTGGGGTAACTTAGTCGAGATGATCTTTCGGACTCCCGGACCCCGTTTGGTCCGATTCGGATGACCTTAAGCCCGCTATTTCCGGACACCCGAGATTGCGGAGAACGGAGTAACTAAGAGCAAAGTAACGCTGACACTAGACCCTATGCACTATCACGGTGCGTTGTACCCTGCACAGACAATGCAATACGCGTACTCAGTATTGGCTGGTTAGTCAATGGAGGCTGTGCTCGTATACGTATAGAGAAAGAAGGTTAGAACTTTAGAAGATGAGAAGGTTTGTCGCAGGGTTTACCCTAAATAGTTATACGAATGGATAATAACAGCTTCGAGCTTCAAGCTCCTGTTTAGCCTATTATCCGAGCTTTGCAACGAGTAAAAAGTCCGACGGCCCTGGAGGGAAATGATTCTATTTATGCTAAAGGTGTCGGCGATGGATCCCGCAGATTGCGGGGTTCCGACCTCAACCCCTCAAAGCCGCCCTCAAACTCCTGCACTTCCCCCAAGAGAAAAGGACAAGAAAAGATAATCATGGCCGAACAAGCTGCTTTCACTTTCTTGCCTCTGGGCGCCATCATCCAAGAGTTCCGCGTGGGGGACAAGAATATTGTTCTTGGTTTCCCCACGCAGGAAGACTACGTCAAGCACAACACCCCGCATTACGGTGCAACCATCGGGCGCGTTGCCAATCGCATCAAAGACGGGATTATCCAAGATTTGAATGGACAGCAGGTGCGCCTGACCCAGAACAACGGCCCTAATGCCCTGCACGGGGGTGAGAAAGGCTGGGGCAAACGGGTCTTTGACGGCCCGCACACCGTCAAGCGTCATGGTCGGGACGCCCTGTTGTTCAAGTACCTGCACAAAGACGGCGAGGAGGGGTACCCTGGCACTGTCGAGGTGCGCGTGTGGTACACCGCCAGCAAGGAGGGGGACACTAAGACCGTGCTGACCGCCGAGTACGAGGTTGAGTTCATTGGGAACGAATGCGACGAGACAGTTGTCAACCTCACCAACCACAGGTAATTAACATCATTTTCCGCCCTTCTCTTATTGGATATCTTTTTTTTTTTAGTCTGGATGGATTTCCCTGACTGATTCCAAAATAGCTATTTCAACATTGGAGATGGCCTCGATGTTACTGGTACCAAGGCACAGCTCGCAACAGCCGATTACCTTCCTTTGGATGACACCGGCATTCCCACTGGAGGTGTGGCGCAGTTCCCTCGTGATGTGACCACACCCTTTGAGCTGGTTCCAACAGGAGCACACATCGACGACGTCTTCGTTCTAGAATCAGATGCCAGCAAGGTCCCACTCGACACTCGTGGGCTGCCGGTCCGACGCCTAGCGCAGTTCAGTAACTCGCGCACGGGTCTGCATCTGGAGGTCCACAGCACAGAACCTGCATTCCAATTCTACACGGGCAAGTACATTAATGTGCCGTCGATCAACGGCGCGCCGGCCCACGGCGAAGGCGCCGGGTTCTGCGTGGAGCCTAGTCGGTTCGTCAACGCGATCAACGAACCAGAGTGGCGGTCCATGGTGCTATTGAAGAAGGGCCAGATCTTCGGATGCAAGAATGTCTACAAGGCGTGGAAGGAGTGAGGCATTTACAGTGGGGACCTCGGTATCCGTGTACTGTAAGTCAGCTGAAAGAAAAATTGCAGTGCCGAGCCCGATTACTGTACTATCTCCGTACTCCGTCCGTAGTTACTCCGTATGCCGATCGGATGTTCGGCCTGAGACCGTGCCAAGTTGCCCAATGGAGGAACGCTCTTCGAGAACACTTCCTTTTTTGGGTGGCCGGTTTGCGGCACTTTTGATCGTTTTTGAAACGGAGTTTGACATGGGATGATCCGTCGATCGTACAATATATGAGCAGGCTAGTGGGCTAGTAGAGAGCTAGTCAAGATAATTCAGTGCTGACACACGGAATACTTGTTAACCAAATGATCTCCATACTTGTTACGTGCTAGGGAAAAGATGATGTTCTGCACTAAGAAGGGTCCTGTCCGTCACGTGTCGTCACAGTCACCTGACAGCCATTGTTGGTCTTTTATTCCTAGTTTGGGGTAAGATGTCGCCTAAACCTCCAGGACGAGAGTTGGCCATGTGCGATCACGATTTGCAGGAAGGACTCTTGGGATCCATCAGCGTCAGGTTCTTTGGATGTCAAGAACCCTTCAACTCCGCCAGCTCCAGAGGAAAGGAATTGTCGCGGTAGATTGGTATCATTCAGAGTATGAGCCAATCCTCAATGAATTTCAAATATCACCCTCATGAGGTTTTCCTGGAATTGTGACCACCAGGCACCGGCTTCTCAGGTCGTTCAGTTGTCCATGTCTTCGATTGCGAGGGGTGAACGGGTGGATGATACTGAGGCTCAGATTAACGAATCACTCTCAGTACCTAGGTACCTTTGTACTGATAAACATGAGAGAGGAGAAGCGCGGTGCAAGGTTGTTTACGACTTGGGATGTTCCTTCCATCAACGGTAATACCAGCTTGCCCACACTTTCCATTGTGACCAAAGCTCTTCTTCAGTTCTCTCTCTAGTTCACTTTTTAATTTCACTTTTTAATTTCACTTTCTAATTTCACTTTCTAATTTCACTTTCTAATTCTCTTTTCAATTCTTTCTTCAGTTCTCTTTTTAAAGAAAAGGTGACCAACGGCTAGGGCCCTGTCGTCGTTGACTTCTTCGCCACCTGGTGCTCCTGGGAAACCACGACTTTGACTAGCCCAGATGGATCAACCAAGCAGGCAGACGGGGGATGAAGTCCACGAAGACCACCCCGCGGTGCTCCCAAGAGACCATCGGTAGCTCTCCATTTACCTACCCGCACTTCGACGGTGACGATAACTGGATCGCACCACGGGACGAACTGCACTTTTCCGACCTCATAATTTACATCGCTGGGAAGAAGTTGAAAAACGAGGAGCTAGTCAAGCAGTACACTTATGATTTCTCGACACCAACAGAAATGTCCGGACTTTGCGCTCCAGAGCGTGTCACCTGCGTGAGTCAGATGACGTTAAAGGAGACATGAGTCTCTAACAGTACCTCCAACGTATAGAACACTGAAGGTCCACCAGCATCTCGACTCGATTCCCCTTTTATGTTAAGTGCGAAACTCTTCCTTCGCTCGAAAGGGTTATACAACCACTCTATCCTGCAATTCGTGCCATCCTACAAAGTGACATCTCGTCGGCACAAGCTATATTTGACCGTGTGAGAATGACGAAACCAGGATACCCGTGTGGTGATAACGTTTTCACAGTTGCGCTGGATAGCGTTCACTTGGGGGCCAGTCATGTATCACGGCCAGCCGCATATTTGTTCAGGTCGGGCAGATTATAGCCTTTTCTTTGGAGAGGATGACCATATGGCATGCCATGTTGTCATGGTTGAAGCCAAACAGGAAGGCTCCCAGGGTGGTGAGGGCCAAATTCTGGCGTACATGGCAATGGTTCAAGCCAATCGCAAAAAGCGTGGCCAAACCAATTGGATAGTGTACGGCATGCTAAGCAATGGCGAACAATTCTCTTTCTACCAGTTGAACCAGATGGGACATCCTGCGGCGCGATTTCTATATGCCAAGCGATATCTCATGTGACATTGTGATGGGAGGCGCTCCTCGTCTGGGCACACGGGCTCCCGTGGATTGTCGTCAATCGTGATACAGTGCCACTCGTCGGGAGCACGCTAGCGTGCGACGCAGTCACCCCCACAACCAAAAGCGACAAGAACGTCGCCGCAGCTGCGAGTGCCTAGACCGTGGGTCTAATCCCAACTCCCTCTTTCGTTGCCGAAAACCAAGACCACGCTCGACAGCTCGAAAGTCACACCGCTGAAACAACAAGTGGTAGCTTGTATTAAAACGTCCCGGATTTCGACAACTGCGCGGCTGGGGACTACAATACACGTTTCCCACCAAACACCACCTAGCAGGTAGCAATTTACCTAACTTTCCAATTGTATACTTGAATGCATTCTATCAATAATACTAATAGATAGGGTGTTTATATGTGATAACCCCTGCGAGTATGTGCCAGCATGCGGCAAAATGCAGAAGGGCATAGTGACACCTGCGTACACAGCTATTCGGCTGTTTTGACTGTTGAGACTGAGATTCCGAAGACAGGAAAGCTAGCAGTGTACGCTAGGTGGCGTATCATCACTATCGCCCGTTTACTGTTCTGCACGTGATGGTCCCGGGCCAACCCGAGTGCACCCCGCGCGGGGGATAAGCCTGCAGATGTCGCTTTGATCACTTCAAACATGGCTTCAGCACACGGGGACTTACGGCATCTACTGCCTGGCAATTACAAGCGCCACATCACTGCCTGGTTAGAGGAGGACTGTCCCAGTCTCGACTATGGCGGTTTCGTCGTCGGCGAGTCAGAAGGTGAAGCCCGACTCCTCGGCAAGAGCAAGGTACCACCATTCGCGCAGAACCAATTGACAAAGTCTAACAACCAGCAGGGTATCGTTGCAGGCATTCCATTCTTCGACGAAGTCTTCTCGCAACTAGGCTGCACGTATGTCACTCCAATCCGTCTGCCTAAACCCAATCTAACCCGACCAGGATCGAATGGCACATCAAAGAAGGCGAAGCAATCGCCCCAGTTCAACACTGCGCCACGGTCCGCGGACCAATCCGCAAGATCCTTCTCGGTGAACGCGTCGCCTTGAACATCCTCGCCCGATGCTCCGGCATCGCCAGCAAGAGCGCCACAATGCTATCTGCCCTGCGCGCACAAGGGTGGCAAGGAACATTGGCCGGCACACGCAAGACAACACCCGGATTCCGACTCGTAGAGAAATACGGCATGTTGGCCGGTGGTGCTGATCCTCACCGTCACGATCTGAGCTCCATGACCATGTTGAAGGATAATCACGTCTGGGCCTGTGCGAACAACCGCGCCGCTGCGGACGGGGGTGTTGCAGATCCCTCATCGATTGAGTCGATTGCGGCTGCCATCCCGCGTGCGGTGCAGGCTGCCAAGGCGACGGGGGGATTCTCGACGAAGGTTGAGGTGGAGTGTCGGAGTGTTGAGGAGGCCAATGCGGCGATTGGGGCGGGGGCGGATGTTATTATGTTGGATAACTTTACGCCGGAGGGGGTGCGGGCCGCTGCAAAGCAGCTTAAGTCTGAGTGGGCTTCCAAGAAGGCCTTCTTGATTGAGGTGAGTGGAGGATTGACGGAAGAGAATGCGCCGTCGTACGTCTGCGAGGATGTGGATATCCTTTCAACGAGCTCGATTCACCAGGGGACCGGCATTGTGGATTTCTCTCTCAAGGTTTCCTTGCGCTAGGCCACTCTGTATCATAACAAGATGATTCATTGATTGAATGGATATGTGGATGGACTTGTGTAAAATACAAAAACAATATTCCATAAACATGTTGCAAAACCGAAAAACACATAAACAAACGCCTGTCTTCGTCTCATAACTCTCGTGAATGACCATTAACCCATATGTGATAAACCTGATGCGGACGCCGGGATATATTGTACAAGAATACATGATAGCACGATCAAACCTCAACCTCAACAGTAATCCCTTCACCTTCACTAGAACTGGGTGCTTCGTCCGAAACAGGCGGGCGGTTGCGACTGCCATCAGTGATGGTGCCAGAGGGCCCCCGCCGTGTGCGCTCTCGGGTGAGCTGGTCTCGAAGCCTCTGGTTCTCGGCATCGCGCTCCTCAAGTCGCTTGCGAGCACCGCTGCGATCGAGAAGGCGGCCTTCACGCTCAGACTTCAATCGCCGCTCCAACTCATGCAGCCGGTGGACCCATTTTTCATCCTGGCCATCAAAGCCACTGTGAGAACTGCGGGTGCGTGGAACCATTGCCCCAGCATTGTTCGTCAATGTACTTGATGATGACTGAGAGGGAATCGGGAGACCCGTGGAACTGCGAGTGTGACCCTTCTCTGGCCGAGGCCGCTCGTTGCCGACTGTGGACCCAGAGCGCGCCAGGGACCGTTCTGACTCCGCTGCTGAGGCTCTAGAGGGAGAACGAGGTCCCGCTGAAGCAGGGCCATGTCCGCGTGAGTTGGATTGGAGCAAGTTCAGTTCTGCTTTCAGGAGTCGGTTCTCGCCACGAAGCTTAGACATCTCCGGCGACGAGCCCGATTGTCCACGGACTGGCCGCATATTTCTGACAGCTTCTTCGAGGCGCTCAAGCTTCTTAATTCGTCCGTTATACGAGATTTCAAGTGTATGATAACGCTTGGTCAACTCGTGGTCGACGCTCTTGATGCGATTCTTGAACCCTGCCATAACGGTCTCAACAGTCTTCATCGCAAGTACAAGATTGCGACTGAAGCCTGGCCAGAACAACATATTGCCAATGACCTCCTGGCTCGGGAGATTGCCGTTGATGAGACTGTTGGAGTGTGCCCAGTCCGGACCGCAAAGCCCCGACAGCCGGCTCCAAATGTTGAGGAACAGAGTGTTGCGCTCACTCAGCTGGTCCTTGAATTGCTGCTCCAGCGATGCGTATCGCTTACGGTCTTCGGTACGCGCCTTCTCCAGATCGGTGATACGCGAGTTACTCTGCGTGATTGTTCGCGAAGCCTGCTGGTGCGATTTGAGGGATGACTCAAAGGACTGCTTATCCGCTCGACGAGCATGTCGTTCACGATCTAGGAGTTCGGAAAGTTTGCGTGACTCAAGCCCGTGGCTTTCCAGCAGAGCGTCACGGTTGCGAAGCAGCGTCTCCTTTTCATCTAGCTGCGATCGAATGCTTTCCAATTCAAGCGCGGTTGACTCGAGCTCCTTCTGCAGCTTCATGATGTTGGTGATCAAGCTGGACCGGCTTCCACTGAGATCACCCAGGGTTTCTCGAAGATTGTTCTCTAGGTCCATCAGCCGTTCTCGCCAGGTAGAAGTTTCAATTTCCTGGGCAGCAAGACTCTTTTTCAGTCGTCGAACTTCCTCCTTCGAAGCAGAGGCTTCGCGGTTCAATTCGTTCATGATGCGCTGGACGTCTTGCTTCTCCTTGCTTCCAACAACCTCACGCTGATGCCGCTCGTCCGCCAATCTTTGCTCGAGTTCCCTGGTCTTTTCTTTCTCGCTGACCAGGCTGGTGTGGTAGTTCTTCAGATCAGACTCCAGGTCTCCGATGCGAATCTTGTCGCCGTCTTGCTCTTCACGCAAGAATGCAATTTCGTTCTGACTAGACTCGATTTGGACAGTCAAACGTTGCACCTTAGTATTGGCCTCGAACAAGCTCTTTTCAACGGACTCCATCTCCCGGTTGGTCTCCTCAAGCTCTTGTTGCACGGTCTTGTACGCAGACAAATTGTTTTGTGCGTCCTCCTCGAGGCGGATGATACCTTCGCTGGCGGACCTCATCTCGCCTTGCAGAATCTTGAGGTTTTCGTCTTGGTTTTTCAACTCCTCGTTCTGGCGCTGACACTCCAAGACTTTATGGTCAAGCTCATCACCAAGTGCATCTAGCTCCTCCTGTGCCTCGGCCCGCAAGTCCTGGAAAGCAGCATCTCGTTCATCGGCCATGTGTAAGGCTTGGTCTCGTTCCTGCTGTGCTGCAAGGATTTCCTCTTCGGCTTGATCCACGTCGGCTTGGTAAGCCTTGTCGAGGGCTTCAAGTTCTGCCATGTATTCCTCGAGCTGGGCTCGAATCGCTTGGTTATCAAGTTTGAGGGTCGCCACCATGTCCCGGAGCTGTCCATTTCTTGCCTCTAGCTCATCACGGTCCATATCACTACGCGAAATGGCACCATCGCTGGCCTGAGATGATGGTCTGATATGGGCGCGTGAGACAGAACGGTCAAAGATGCTATCTCCAGTCATTGATCGGGGGTGGCGACGTTCACCAAGCTTCAATTCCTCGATCTCTTGGTAGAGCCGCTCCTTTTCTCGGTTTCGAGACGTAAGCATGGATGTCTGAGCACTAACTTCTTTCCTCAACTCTGCATTCTCCTGCTTAAGGAGTCCCAGCTCTACCACAAGGGTGCTGGCAGAGCCGTGGTCAGTATTGCGGTCCGACCTGTACATCTCACTGCGAAGTCGGACAGATTCATCTCGAAGCCGTCGATTCTCCTCTTCGGCTTGTTCACGCGCTGATGTTTCTGCATCCAGGATGTCCTTCCACATTTCCTAATATGAGTTAGCCCTGGTCTATCTGATTACTTGCGCCTGTCTGTGACTTACTCGCTCCTCTCGTGCACCTGCCTCGGAATCTCCTGCGCGATTGTCCGTGAGCGACTTGACCATCTCGGCTAAGCGTCGCTTTTCGCTCTCTCGTGCGATGGTCTCTGACCTCATACGCTCAATCTCGAGTTCGTATGTGTCAACCCGCTCGCGCAAGAAGATGATTTCTTCATCTTGTGCCGATTCACGGTCACCCTCTTCTGACCCTTCGGGATCATGATTGACCATGGAGTCCTTGTCTGATTGGTGGTCTTTCACTTGCTTTTCCAAATCTCGAATCTTACGCTTGAGGCTTTGGTTATCTTTTGAGAGCTTGACCTTGTCAGACTTGAGCTCGACATTCTCGGAGATCATCTCCTTGATACCTTCTTCAGACCGCTTGTTCAATGCCTCGTTGAGGAAATGGATCCGCATCTTGAGGTCGAAGTTCTCCTTTGCCAGGCGATCTATCGTGCTGCTCTGTTCTTTCAGGGTCAGGTTCCGCCCACTCTTAGCAAACGGAGTCGAAGCCCCGGCACGCTTCTCCTGATTTGGCTGGAAGTCTTCGCGAAACCGTTGCGCAAAGGTTGTAGGGACCTGGATGCCCTTCACACGCTCAGCGATCACTGTGTCGGTGGGAACGGCGCTCTCTTGCGGCTTCGCCTTCGGTGTCGCCGGTGCTGACACGTCTTCTTCTTCCGCGGCAGGACCCGCGCGAGATTTGGGCGAGCTTTCCTCCTCCAGTGTCTGTAGGTTACTGTCGGCACCTGGCGTATTTCTTTTTTCAACTGAGTTTTCTTCGCTATATCCCGAGACTCCTGATGCCATGCTTCCCAAACTGGTCGTCCTTGCCACCTGAGCACGGCTCCCAGCATTAAGACTACCGTAGTTGTCAGAGATCGCCCCGCCGGATTGGAGAGCATAATCTGCACCCAATGTAGCATCACTGTTGGTCATTTCCGTATTGTTGCTTGCCATTGAGGAGCGAGACAGGCGATGCGATGACTGGCGGCTAGTCAAGTACTTGGGGCGGCTCGGTCTCCGACCGCTCCCCGCATTGTCGCTCTGGTCGCTAAACAGCCTTGATGCGCCGGGTGATAAGCTGCGGGAATTATTTTGCAGCTTCGAGGGCGTGAGTTGGGATTCGTTGTGGGCCATGGAGAAGTCGGATCTAAACGGGCGCTCATCGTGGGATAACTGGCTGTTGTCGCGCGCATTTTCAGACAGCGTAGATTGATTTCGGCGCAGCACAGCTGCTTCCGTAGGTGATGAGGAGAGAGAGTCTATCATTGAGTCGTTTTGCTCTATAGGGTCGTCGTCTTCGGGGGGGCCTGCTGTCTCTGGGTCCATTTGAGACCTTGGGTCCTCATCGTTCCGCTCGGTCTGGTCGGCCTCCGGTTCTGCGAATGACAGCTGTGACGAGTCTTGCGTGGTATCGGCGCCATCCTCCTTCGGCACTCCGACCAGGTATGTGTCGTCTGCGCCAACCATGGGGCCTTTGGCGGCGACGTCGATCGTGGATGGCTCCGGCAGGAAGCTGGACTCGATGTCCATCAACTTACGGCGCATCTCGTGCTCTTCGATTAGGGTTTGATTATTGACGCGTTCGTCGCCATTCTCGCTCGGCTGGAACAGGCTTTCGTCGGTGACGGAAGGAATAAAGCTGTGGTCGTCAAGGTCTAGTTGCGCCGAATTCATGGTGAAATCAGGGTCCTCGTCGGGCTCGGAGGGTTGCGCGTCATGTTCCGACCGTGTAACCGAAATCGGGGGGATCCCCCCAGGTATGTCCTCTGCCATGAAGTAGACGGAGCTGGAGTCGGCATCCAAGGCCACGGACTGATGGAATGTCGAGGGAGTCGCAGTTGGGGGTGTTTGGGTCTCCACCTCACCCGCTGTGATCGGCGAATGAGCGTCCACCATGACTATGAGATTGGGCTGGAAATGGGAGTCCACGCATCAACATAAGTTGAGAGAATAGTTACAAGTAACTCAACAGAGACTTCAGGAGCTACAGAAGCCGAAAGTCGAAGGAATCCAAAGTTGAGACATGGGAAAGAGCGACTGCGTGGCTTCCTATCCTAAAGTCGTTCATTTGGCGATCACATACCACCACAATCACGCATATATATTTCTCTTTCACCGCATCATTTCACATTTCATGCTGTCAATCAACTTTAGAAACTGTTGATCCCCGGGAAAAATGACTCGGACAGTCACTACGATCTCGACATCATTTCCACCTGGCGGGATCGCAGGCGTTTTTGAGATGAAGAGAAACCAAGCCAATCAGCTCATCGTCTACGACCCCTTCTTGCCAAGTAAATCCCAAGGCCAATTGGCCATCTCGGCCTGTCACGGCACTGATCTTGATCGCGGCGCTACAGGCACTGGAGCTCTGACTGAATAGCATGTCTTCAACCTCGAAGCACGATTCCTTGCGCAAAGGAGACCCCACACCGACGTTGGACAACTCAAAGGCAGCCATTCGTTTTCGACCTAACTTTCCCATCATCCAGTGGTGCTGATTCTCAATGAATCTCAAGTATCCAACAGCCATATCACCTCCTTTTTGCGCCATGGCGTGATTGATCACTGCTTTGGTCCGGCGAGCTTCGTGCCAGTCAAAGGGTGCTCGGTGATATACAGTGGATACTGATCCAACGTAGCAGCCCAGAGTTGCTGCTGTGACTGGATACGGGAGAAATCCCCGTAATGAGACTGCGCAGTCGGCTTGAAGGGTGTTATATTCTGGTGGCAGGTTTGAAAAAAGGCAGTCTGCGATAAGGGTTTGGAGGACTGCAGTGACCGATGAGCCTTCCTTCTTACTCAGTGCCACAAGAGCCTTTGTCTGAGACACGGAAAGCCATAAAGATTCAAAACGAGTTGTCACTGGTATGGTCTGCCGACTTCCTGTCCAGCTGTCGGGACTAGGCTCACTGTACTTCTCCTGGGATTCTATGAATTCTCGAGACATATGGAGAGTATACAGATCCTCTAGGGGAGGAATCAATTCACAGGATGGGGAATTGATGGTTCGCGGTGGGTCAACAATGCTAACGAGGTTGTTGATTTCACTCATGTGCGCCTCCAGCTCTTCATGCAAAGAAAGTGCACTTTTTGTATCCATGAGTGCATGATGGAATACGAACACAAGAGTGAAAGCCATGGGTGCCTTTGTGGTCTCCAGAATAAGCATTCTCCAGAAAGGAAGGGCTTTGTTGTGATCAAAACGGAAGGGACGATTATGTTGCTCTTCCAGCGTCTTGTCGAGAGCCTCCTTCCAACGTGGACTTGCAGGGTCAAGATCTTTGTTCACGAATGTGACAATATCGTCGAGGCAAATCTCCGGAAGTCGCACGAAGTAAGGGTTTGTTGTCTCGATGCCCAATGGAACGGCCGATAATATTGGGTGATTGTAAATGAGTTTGGAAAGAGCATGAAAGAGAGTCGACTTGACTGATGCTGGTAGTGCGACTGACCATTTGTATCGCGCTGTCAGTCCAACATTGTTATATATTCCCAGGTGACTCCGTGTCGTCGAGTATTTTTCGACGTGGCCTAATAAGAGTGAGAGGAGTCAAAGAAGATAAAGCTCCAAGCCCTACCTAGTGGCCTCAATGTAACAAACTGCTCGGGGGACACTTCATCCATGGCAAGTACTTAGTCAATATTCACACAAGGAGAAACCTTCACAACTTAGAAAACTGTTTGAAGTGATGGCGGTCTGGATGAAGCTCTTGGGTCTTGTCAATTAACTTTAGAAGTTACTAGTACTTAAGTAGAATTAAGAGATGCGAGTCTTTTATCGTCTTCGGGGCCGGGTACCCGTACCCGACTGAGTCCTCACGGACTTGACATCGTGTGTATTTGAAATACAGTCGGACACGAAAACAGATTCCCCTATACATACTGACGCTTTGTTTCTCAAATGGTACCATAACATGCCATAGCCTATTTAGGATTAGCTATAAGTTATTTTGTTTCCAAGAATAGCCTTTCTATTCTTCTAGAACGCAAGTTTTACGTATAATACTTTATATCACGGAAGAGTTCTATTTTCTTCTTGACGGCCTATCACCCTGAAATCGGTTTGTCCGGAGTCCGATTGTCATCTTCAAGTTGTATGGTACCGCACAAGAACGTCCTATCCTTTAAGAGAATGTCTTTTGAACATCTTCCTTCTTGCTTTGGAGATACTCATCAAAGCTAGTAAGCGTAATGGGATACCGCTTCAGAGCCTCCAGGTCCACCTGGTACCCGACATCGTTCGCCCACAGTTGTGCGGTGAGACGTGGGTTTGTTTTGGAAAGCGACATCACTTCTTCGGTGGTGTAGAACTTTGCTTTGATTTGCTTTCCACTAGCCCGACTCAAAGACCTAGCAATCTCCTCGGGCGTCAATGCCTGAACACCAAGGTCAATTTCACTTTGATGATAGGTATCCGGGTCAAGAATGGCTGCTGCGGCGAACTTTCCCACATCATCGGGGTCCAGTAAAGTCATTGCAATGTCTTCCTTGTATGCGGTGAGGAAGACATGACTCTGGGGCAATTCGGGAAACATATGATCAGCTCGAGGTGAGAGATAGTTGTACATAAGGAATGCGGGCCGAAGAATCGTCCAGTGCTGAAATCCTGAGCTTTTCACAGCTGACTCGATGGCTGCCTTTGAAGTCCAGTACCATGCCATCGGATAATCGGGACCCCACCCAGGGAACGTCTCATGTTTTCCGGTCATGGCCACGCTCGAGTACACGATGTGAGTGACGGTTCCGGACTGCCTGACAGCGTCAATGATGTTTTTGGCATATTGGACTTCGGAATCAAAGTTAGGAATGGTTGGCATCACATTCAGGAAGACGGCCGAGGTTCCTTTAGCTGCGGCCTTCAATGAGTCAAAATCATCGAAGGAACCAATGCATAGCCTAGCTCCGAGCTTTTCCAGTGCAGCTGCAGTTGGCTTCGATGGGTCGCGAACAAGAGCATTGACACCAATGCCGGCAGCTAGAAGGTGTCGAGCGGTCCCAAATCCTTGGTAGCCAGTTGCGCCTGTCACAAGGACAGTGGGTGCCATAGTACAGTTAAAAGTGCCCAATAAATATCGATTCAAAGGCGTAGGGAATGACCTTCAATTGTCGAAAGCTCCGTGAACTTGAGGAAAATAGATAAGAGGGAACTGCGCAGGACATGAAGGCGCTCTTTTCGGTCCTGGGTGCACATGCCTGGGATGGCATTATATATGGCGAAATATCAATAAAATAGAGTTATTCATTATTAATCACTTCTAGTACACTTCTCTGAATTCTACCGAATAGTGCCATAGTTATGCATTTCATAAAGTAGTGGAATCATAGGAAAGGGGAAAGACTGTGCAAAATGCGTGTGAGTGAGTCCCTTCCAAGGTTGGTGTCATTTATTACTAATGCCTAGCTTCATAAAGATTATGAAATGCATAAACACAAAGTGTGGCCGTCGCCCAGTATGGAACCCCAAGTTCGAATCCTCAACTCAATGATAGTGCGCTCATAATTCATCAATTGCAAAGAGCAATGGGATTTGTGCCTGAAGAGAATATTAATGATAAGTCTCTTGGTGCCTGGACATGATAACTTCTATGCGTCGTATAGATGTCTCGTTGATTACGTCATAGCGGCAAACCATGCAAACCGCACCAGCAGTATTCTCCGCGTTAATCCTCGTACCATTTACTTCATAAGGAGTATGAAGATCTTGTACAATGACCGAACCAAGTACCAGGATACATAAGGGCCGGCAAAAGCGACCTCGTGTACCTGATTCCCTGCGCAAGAGGGCAGCAAAAGCGTGAGCAACACATGCCAGTAAATGCTTGATCCTAGGGCTAACTGTCTACGCCCTAGATGTCTGCCTTGTCGCCAGCACAAGGAAAAATGTAACTTTAAATCAATTCCCTGCGATGTCGCTGACCGATTCTGACCGATTGATCAAGGTGGTGGAGGCAACCCATGCACTCGTTGCCAGCAACACCAAAGAGCATGTCATTTTGACAATGTTGGTAGACAGCCAACATCAGTCACAAGAAACGATCTGCCAGAGTGAGTCTTGATAAAAGAACTCGAGGTCGCTGATATTGACCTTGTATGAGATTGAAATCCCATCGTGTTGAAAACAGCGGACCTCAGACACAGTCTGCGAAAGAAATCCAAATGCAAAGAATCATCAAACATTTCGCGGGCGATATCTCTTTTGAGACCAGCGATCTAAAAGAGCTTGCAGACAAACTTACGCAAGACGATGACCGAGATCATCCGGACAGTGATTCGACCGAACCCCACATTGACACACCAACCAATGATTATTCTATAGATACTCTTTCCACCAGCACAATGCGTATGTATTTCATTGCCTCCAAGGATTGAAAAACTTCCAGCTGACAGAACCTCAAAGATTACTCCGGGGAACTATCTCATTGGAACTTCTCAAGAATGCTCGAGCGACGACTGCGAAGCCTTGGTGACCAGGCTGGGCAACGCAAGGTACTTTGACAAATACCACTGTGTACTGCTCACCAAGAGCACCAGTGGAAACATCAGAAAAATCTGCTGACTGAAACCAGGGCGTCGACCACACGCAGGGCTTCTTTCGCGCCACTGATCTGCAATCATCTGGATCCTGCATAACCCTCGCCAGGACATACTTCCCCCCAAAGCACATCGCCGAGTTCTTGACAAATGCTTTCATGAAATTTAGTGAAACAAACTACTTTTACTTCCATGAAGCGACATTTCGGAAAAAACTGAACTTTTATTATACCAACGAGCGACCACTTACTATTAATGACGCAGGGTGGATATGTACTCTTCTCATGACCTTTGCTATCGGCACGCAATTTGCACACATGCATGCCAAAGCAACATCTTCCAGTGAAAACCCCGTTGAAATGATACCCGATGATCAAATTGGCCTGGAACTCTATCGATACTCTTGTCGACTCATTCCAGATCTTATCACCGTTGCAAGCGTGGAAACAGTTCAGGCATTCTTGCTGCTGGGAGTTTATACATTCCCAATCGACACAGCCGGTCTGGCGTACGTATATTATGGCTTGGCCATCAAAATGGCCATCCAAAATGGCATGCACCGCAGGCTGATTGAAGGTAACATACCTGCGGAGATAATCGAGGTACGAAATCGACTTTGGTGGTCTGCACATTCTCTGGAAAGGTAAGGGCGTTTAGATAATTCTGCCATCCTTACGCTGAGCCACACAATTTTAACACCTCGAACAGTCGAATAGGCATTCTTCATGGTAGGCCTGTATCGGTATCGCCTTCTGACATCGATGCGCCCATGCCCGTGGATATTCCGGCCTTGCGACCAATCGATCAATATACCAATCTACCCAACTTTACCGCAGCAATAGTGTTGACCAACCACTTAGCCAAGGCATCAGAAGTGATGAAGTCTTTGCGGCATTTCCAGAAGCCCAACAAGAAGAAATACCTTCGACAACTTGCCGCATTGAGAAGTCGACTCAGCTCCTGGTGGGACAGTCTGCCCACAACAATCCACTGTCGAGATCTCGCTCCCGATGGCAAATTCTTCCGTTGTAATGTTCACCTGGAGATATACTACACAACGACCTTAATTTTCATGGGTCGACCATTCATCATATCCCAGAGTGCAACTGGGACCACATATGCCGAACCGGGATCACCAACCCACGAAGTTCCGGAAATCGTGAACATTCTCCGCCGTGACTCTTTCCACGCTGCAGTCAGAGTAATCGAACTTTGCCAACTCCTACATGACTCCGTCGGGTTGGCACGCGTCTCATACACCGAATTCAACGGATGTCGCGTTGCATTACTGGCTCTGATAGCCCATCGCATGAATGAGCCAACCCTCAAAATCTCCAGTACTTTGACTCAGGGAATGGGGCTTATCCGCCAAATCTGTACAGGATTGGAATCTGCGCGATCGGAAGTCGCCGTCATCGAAGCTCTTGAGCGTGCAAGGCAGCGCCTTCATAATCATACCGCCGAGGAAAAAGGTGAAAACACCGATGACGTTACTGGTTACGATCAGTTCAAAGAATGGGCTAAATTATGGCGAGGCGATCTCATGGAGGGTACCGATCTCCTTCCGTTGGATGATGTGGACTTGCAGTTCGAGGAACAGCCTCATGACTCTATTCCTCCTTTCGATGGATTTCTCTCGTCTTTTCCCAACGAGTTGGGTGAGTTTGCTGCCATCCCGGGTCTGAGCTATGACCTATCTCTAGCCCATAATTGGCTCGACAACCCACATACCGAGGACTCTGGATGGACTATAGATCATTCACTTTGATAATGCTTTCGGATGTATAGAACAAATCTTGAAGAGGCAGCAAAAACGTGACGCCGCAGCCCAAAAATTGGAATGTGTGTTTCCATCGATAGTCGTCAGCTTATTTCTCGTACAGAGTATCGATACATTTACTTGGCTTGTCAACAGAAGGATGCACATCGCTGGCTCTTTGGAGCTCCTGATCCAGAGTTTCCGTCAACGCCCCGAGCAGCCACTCAACTTCGCTTTTTCGACCGAGCAAGGGACTCTTCTTGTCAAGCCAGTCCCAGTCGCATGTTTTTGCCTGTGCCGCATCGCCATGCTCATCACCAGATATACTGGGTCGATTCTTACCCCCAATTAAACCAAGATAGTACTCCCATTCCACGTAATCAAACTCTCTTTCTGGGTTGCTTGAAGCCTGTTCCATCAATTTGCGCACCTCGCGGAAGAGGAGATAGTGATAGTGATGGATGTTTTCCGCTGCGACATCACCGCGTTCCTGGGCTTCGTTCTCTTTCTTCTTCTCTTCCGCCTCGAGGGGTGGACGGTCGCCTATATTCTCATCTGGGCACTGTTTCCTCTTCTCGCCTGTGGTTTCTTCCAACCACCACCCGGTCCAAGACACCTTGGTCAAATCTTTGGTCCGATCAATAAAAGATTGATCACCTGGTAGGATTGTGATTTCCCCAATGAACAAAGTAATATCTCGAATAAACCGGACAAGCGTATCACCGATACTCGAAATGAGAATGGTGATAGTTGGAACAGCAAGCAAAGACCAGAAAACGAAAAAAGACTTCCCCAAACTGCTCACTGGGTATATGTCACCATACCCTATGGTTAAAAGAGTTGTATATGCAAAATAGAGAGCCTGGAAATAAGACCATTGCGCATCTGACTCGGACCGCCAGAATACCACTCCACCAATAAGCCACATGGTCATCCAAAGAGTGAAAGACATGAGCAGGGATAACCACTTGTGTTGGATAGTGGCTAGTTGGCGAACCTGGCGCATTGCGATGAACTCTCTTTTGCGCTGTTCACGGTCACTCCGCCCTTCGTCTTTGGCGGTCTGATCATCCAACGGTGGAACGATTCCCTGCAAACGAGAATGATTCGAAAATGCTTCCTTGACCAGGAATTTGTGTGTATGAGCCGTTAAGACGTCACCAATCTTCTGCCGACCCTTTTCAAGCATCAGGGTTCGGATAGAAGAAATGATGAGGCCAAGGATGATAATACCTCCCACTGCATATGGGAACAAAAGTCCACGGCCAAGATGCGTGGTTGGCGCAAAGTTACCAACTCCAATAGTGAGCAGGGTATAATCTGCCCAGTAAACGGCATCCAGGAAGCGCCAGTGTTCTATCCTCGCGTACACGGCCGCACCGCCGAGAAGATAGATGAAGAAAATGATTGTCTGGAGCATCAAGGTCCGCTGGCTGGTTGTCAAGTTGTATTCGCGACTATAGTGGTCTCGCCAGGCGCCGTACCCGGTCACTGTCATTAAGGAAGAGATAATGAAGTAGATTCCCGCGGCAAAGGTGCCGTGGTAATAGCTCTGCGAGTATATCCTCCCATCGTTCTCGGGCTTGTACATCAATACACCGAATGGAATAAGTATACCGATTAACAGTGCCGATGAAATGTACCACCCAATGACGATGATTGGTTGGGCGATTTCAAAGCGAATGCGGCGCGCCATGTTCAGGGAGAGGGCGAGATTGGCGATAAGTGCGGACACTAGCGAAACCGCATTGATTGATGTGACCCTGCACGAAAACTTTAGCGGTATACTTGTAAGATTGATGGGTAAACGCATACCACTTTGGATCTGGAATGTCTAGTCCACCGCCGCTTGTAAGATCCATTCGCCATGGCTGTGAGAGGGAGCAAATGTTGAATGCGCTAGCCATGGGACCAAATGTACCCTAGAAGAAGTAGCACGTCAGAAATAGGATGTCGGAAGATGTTAGGAGCGTGTTGCCATGTCTGACATACTGCCATCAATGGATATGCGGTACTTGCAAGCCACCACCGAGCAGCTTGCGGATATTGGGAAGATAGCTTTCCTTCAGGGCCTCTCCGTTCTTTTGGATTAGTGGAGGCCTCGTCTAAAGCAACTGGCTCATCGGCGATAGCATCATCCAAGCCAGGGTCGTTCATTTCGCCCGAGAACGATCCACCACAAGGCTACGGTCTTCCTCGAAGAATTGTGAGAATCGAAACGCTCGGTAGTTGCATGGCGAGTGGAACAAAAGCGGGGAATCCAGCCGATTTGAGTGGCGTAGAAAGAAACCAAGCTTTTGGACAAGCCTAGTGACAAGCCTGGTGACATGGACATCAAAAGATCGGCCAAGATGGAAGATACGATCGACGTCATATCACGTGGATGCCATGTTTCAGGAAAGTTGGATCCAACATAAAGCTTGGAAGGAGCGAAGGGTAAGGTGGGCAGGTTCGATTGTTACTGGGAAAGAAAACTCCCGACCTTTGGTCACAGAAAGGAAATATATGACATTCCGATGGAAAATAATTGGGTCCAACCAGTGGAAGAGAAAAGAAGGCAGAAAAGAGTCAAACCAGAAGTAACATGAAGTGCTTTTGGTCTCAGAGAAAGCCAATAGAATGGGAAACCCATATCTGTACATCATCCATCCGTTGCTATACATGGAATTGCAGGTAGAGTGCAGCTGGGTAACTGGGACTCGCCTTGATCCAACATTTCAAAAAAAGACGAGGGGAAGAAGATGCGAAAAAACAGCTCAGAAGAGCAACTCCGTGATTCCACTCCTTAGATTGTCTCATGATGCGATAATATCGAACGGAAAAGGTATCCAAATTTGGCCAGAGAAGTGAAAGAAAGGGTATCGCGAAGTGTGTAAAGAAAGGGGAATATAGATCATGTCGAGAAGGACGTGGCATCTCCAAGCCAGCAGGAATCATTAGACTAGAAGATGTTTTAGTATGTGTCGATCAACATAACGGGTCGTCAATACTTACAGTGAGCACCTCCAGGTGTCAAAGAAGGGGGGATGGCCGTATCATTGTGAGGGGATGGCCGGCGAGCGAAACGAGGCTCTACGTCTTCGTAATAGGCCGTACCACCAGGACCAAGAGGGGGTGATGTGCCAGGAGGCCGAGGGGATACTGTGCGGGGGTCATTGGCACCCCAGCCTGCACGAGGGGGAATGTAAGACCTAGGTAGAGCATGTCAATAAGAGAAGAAAGAAACAGGAGTTGCAACATATAAACTTACTCGGGCCGACTGTACATGCTCGTTGGGCTTTCAAGGGGAGCATTGTAGTCAGTAGACAGCGCATGAGGAACACTACTCATGGGTTCTCGGTCGTCATATTGAGGCCGAGTCTGCGGTTGCATTTCAATGGCCTGGCCCACTGTTTCAGGTGAAACGGCCATGCCAATGGGCCCGGGAGAGGGTTGGCGCATTGGACCTGCTGAGGGTCCATATCCATAGGGATCATCCTGGGGAGGTGATGCAGGGCGGCCATATGCATCGAAGCTGTGGGCGGGGCCAGGTCCGTAACCAGCGGGCGGCCCTCGGCCTGGCGCCATTCCACCGCGGCCGCGACCGGGTATAGGTCCCACGTAGCCACCTCGTGCACCCGGGGAAGGCCCACGAGGGGGTCCCATATAAGGCCCTCCGCGTCCACCCCGAGGTGGGTAGCCACCTCGCCCGCGTCCATTGAAGCCAGGTGGTGCGCCGCCCCTTCGAGAACCCATGCTGCCATCCGAGTATTGAGGACGAAGGCGTGGATCAGAGGGGTTGCGCGACATAGAGCCTCCACCGTAGGGACTCGCGCCCTGGGGTGGAATATTGCCTAGTTCGTCTTGTTGGGCGCGGTAGGGGGTGTCGCGACGGTCCGGAGGTGGAGGAATGTCACTCATGGGCGTTCGTGAATTGAGTGGTGTGCGATCATCGTCGCTGCCACGCCTATCCGTTTGGAAGGTCGCGAACGTTGGACCAGAGTCGGACGTGAGAGAATTGGACACGAAAGGCTCCTTGGGCTCGGCGGGAGCTGGAGCCGGCGCGGCAGCTGCATTACCATTCTGTCGGTTGTAGTAATTCTCCCCACTCATTTCTGCGTTTTCAGCAATCCGGCGCTTTCTTGCCTTCCGGCTCACGAGGGTCCGGCGCATAGCGCAGGTGACCACCCCGCACGAGACGAGTAGGATGGTCGCCGCCAGGACGATCCAACCGCCCCATCCTAAATGCGGCACAAATAGCAAGATATCAACGAGGAAGGCCAAAAGTGTCACCAGCAGGGTCGGCAACAGCAGAATCAGCAATGCCAAGAGGAAGCGCGGTGAGTGGGAAGGGGCGTGGAAATGGGCGGCAGCAGCCAGGCATAGACAAATGAGGGTCAATAAGGCGGCGACTGGGTGGATGATCAGAATTGAAGAGAGCGACTTTCGCGTGCTGGACGGCAGATTGAAATCGTCACCGGTGCTACTGATATCATCTGCATGAAGGTTAGCCACGAGTAGGCAGAAACGAAAGGGGGGATACCTACTGCTAGTGTATCCCACATGAATATTGGTGCAGGTGTCCCCTTTGCAGTAGCCAAAGACGCCATAATCGACATCCTTGAAGGTTGCCAAGGGAATTCCTTTAATAATGGGCGTAGAAAGACATGAGAGGAGCAGTAGCGCAAAGGCGATCAGAAGCAATATGGTGAGGGGTGTCGCAGGCTTGAGCAACATGATGAGGGGGAGGCGACGCAGCGCCCAAACAGCCTTTAGAACCAGGAAGAATTAAAAAACGAATGAGTATTCCTTGGGAGATCTAATGCGGCACATTGGGAAGTCCGGGGGAAGAAAAGAAGCAAAGACGAAGAAAGGAATGGCAAATGAGGGGAAAGCCAAGCAATGGGAAAAATGGCCTCAGGCATTATTTCCATCTCTCTCTGTATGGCGTGGGGAGTACCGAGAGTACAAACTACAGGCTTCCAAGGTTGACTACATCATACATTCCTCTGGATTTGAATCTGTCTAGGGGGACTGCATCCGGTAACTCGTGTTGCCAAGCCCGGAGAAATCATCACTCGGGACCTGCGCTTCTCGTGTAATTGGCGTCAGGGCTACTCCGTACTCGTTATCTTTCTTGTCCACTTAGAGTCTCCAGCAATGGTACTGTGTTTCAGGATCATCATCTTAATGTTGAAACGAGATCGACGTTTCTGAATTCTACTCGTACGACACACGATGCCCCATCACGGACCACCGTTTCGCACATACTCGGATATCGCATAATCTCTGCCAGGCTTTCGCGCGCAATTACGCGACACGGCTCGATCTCTGGCCCCAGATGGCGCTTGGACCATTTGAATTGGCTGTCAAGGCCCACAATCGCCGTTTGTTCAAGATGAAACAAGTACGGAGTATCCACTCCAAAGATCTAGTCGGGGCCTCAAAACAGAAATTCATCTGAGATTTGGATTAACTTGATCGCAGCTGCTTAATTGCTGGCATTGAACACTGCTGGCTTCTTGAACCCAAGGAATTCTAATTGATTCGAGATTTTCGATTTAACCTCATACGCGGTGGCTCGTCTTTGCTACCATGTCACAGGTCGGCTGCTTACACTCCGGGTACACACACCACCCGTGGATGTCATTTGACCCTACAAACGCTGCGTCGAAAACTCACACATCTCACAGACACCGGTGTTTGCAAAGAGATGAATTTAGGGGTTAAGTCTTCCGCCGAGAGGCAATTACAAATTGGGGAAATGCGATGTTCATATCCCGCCGCAGAATCACAGCATAGAGACTGGGAGTAGCCAGACCTGATCTCTGGTGCACATCCAAGGTCGTACAATGTCTGGGTAACCCACTATGTCGATAAACACTGATCATTCATACGCAAATATTTTCTTCGGTTTGGGGCTATTTATGCCTGCTGGTCCTCCATTCCCCAAGTAGCCTGCAACATCATCTGGCTGCTTTCATTAATATTCCGAACTCGAGCGGGCGAGAAGAGTGATGATCGAACAATTGAGTGAACATACACCCAACACAAAGCCAACCACATTCACTCCCTGGTGGGGGATGCCTTGCCTCTGGGGGCTCTTCAAATGGAGAAAGCGTCGCAGATCGCACAAAGATGAGCGGGAACTATCACTGGAAAACCTGGACAGGGAAACGCTACTTCACTCGTGGGATAACACCCATAATGATGCAGCCCAGAGCGCTAGATCGCCATCAAATCTAGAAGAGCGCTACGTCAGGTTCGGGATCGGAGGAGCAGGGAATATGCGCAAGTCAGCCACTCTTATTTCCTAGAGGGTTTGAATTTCAATTTGCTTGTAGTTCGTGTTACTGACATGAGACTCTCGAGCAGAGTAACTACATACAACGGTCGAGAAATAGAGACAATCGCGCGTTGATCATTCTTGAAGGACAACTAGGCGGCTAGGGGGAGGTGGAAAGGGATCACGATCAAGTAATAAAAGGACATCATTTCTGAAATATTGAATGGAGGTTCCCAATCTTAGGGGTATGAGCGAAATAGAGCCTATGCTCACACCGTCAGATGTCCCCTATTGTATCTATATATGCTTATTCCGAAGATGTGCGAGTGTACCACGTGGAGAGAATAACCAGCAGTTCCCTCTGGTCGTCATTATTGGGTCCTCCTACCAAGTATCCATCAGGTGACTCGATTTGGTCGATTCGGTCAATCAGTCTCAGCTGGTAAAGCCTCTCTATCTATCGAAAAGAGGCAACCACAGTGGTCTGTAGGGACGGAGGTCCTCGATCACAAGCACGTCATCCGAAAACAGCCTCCATCCATCGTAGACCGGCCAGTCAAAAGGCAGATAGCTCCGCTCGACACGGGTCGCTGAAAGGCCTTGACCCCAAGCAAGAGATGCCATTCTTGTTGTGGTGTTAGAATTGCTGGAAGGGACAAGCATGCCTGGAGTTTCCATTCGTTTGGAGGTGAGACGTTGCAAACTGAAGGGATATCGGGACCAAGAGGATAGATTTGCGATGCCGCCATGTCCTTGATGCAGTCAGAAATTGTCTCAAACTCATGAAGCCTCTCCCAAATCGAGGTTAACTCTGCGCAGCAGAGAACAAACTCTTTGAGGTGTTCTTCAGACCACGACCAACTGGATCCCGCTATTTGGTAGACACGGTGTACTAACTCAAGATTCAGAGTACTCGGTGTGTATGAAAAGTTTCGATCTATGAAGGGACGTGCTGTCCCTGGAATAGATATGCAAGTCGGCCCATAGGGTATGTTCCACGTTGGTCTAGCCAAGCATCAAGTCTCGCCAACGATGCAGTCGACGTGCAGGGTCTGGCGGTTTCGAGGCGACTAAAGAACACCTGAAGGCAAGCACTAGAGTTGCCATGGATTTTAGCGGCTGTCCTTATTACCGACCGGGCAACAGCCGCGGTCATTGTTACCGGCAGGGGGTTTGTTATGTCATTGGTATCAGGCAGGGTGGAAGCTAGCCTAAGCAAGACCGTGCAAGTGAATGAATTCGTCTCCTTTTTCCTGAGGTTCATGTGTTTATAGCAAAGAAATCCCCGGGTCTATATGCGGGTGGGAATCTTGCAATACTCTTTGCAGCTTATATTTTTCTCTGCAAGTCAAGTATAATCAACTTTGTGCTGTTAATTGTGGGATCGAGTGATGAATGTAAGCCTGCAATGCTGTGATAGACTGCAGCTTGCAGGGGAGTAAGAAGAGGGGAGACACTCACCATTCACATAAGTGACCTCAATCTACCAGACTAATACTGTACATTATTTGAAAGCACCTGCACCCCGAGAGAAGATATTCTATACGTTGAGGATAGGATGGCAGGCACGCAACTTCATCCCAATGATTACACTATCGGCTGGATAAGTGCCCTGCCCATCGAGCTGGCTGCTGCTCAAGCGCTCCTGGACGAAACTCACACAGTCCCGTCACAAGGTCTCCTAGATACAAACATCTACACCTTCGGTAAGATTGTCGGCCATAACGTCGTTATTGCTGCTCTCCCGCATGCCCGCATCGGCCCCAGCCCCGCAGCATGGGTGGCGGCGGAGATGAAGGCCGCATTTCCGAACCTCCAATTTATGCTCATGGTTGGAGTCGGAGGTGGTGCCCCGCGAAGAGATGCGGATATTAGACTTGGCGATGTGGTGGTCGGTCTGCCAAATCAGGCCCATGGAGGCGTCGTACAATATGACTCGGGGAAGATGACGACGACTGGTTTTCAGCGGACGGGCTTCTTGAATAGCCCGCCGAGTAAATTGCTCAAGGCCATTACGCAGCTTATGGCAAGCCGCTTTCAGGGGCGAGACTTGATCGCAGAACACCTATTGCGAGTGAATAAGCTGGAAGGGCTTCGGCGAGAGAACGCAGGACCAGATGTTCTATTCCACGCAGCCTACGATCACGCTGGTGGAGAAACATGCGCTGAATGTGATGAGACTAAGTGTCTTACGAGGAAACCACGCGACAAAAATGTAGTCATACATTATGGAACCATCGCTTCAGGGAACAGGGTTATCAAAAATGCCCGTGAGAGAGAACAATTAAGTGAGGAACTCGGCGGAGTGATTTGCTTTGAAATGGAAGCCGCAGGACTTGTCAACGATTTCCATTGCCTTATCATTCGAGGGATATGTGATTACGCCGACTCACATAAGAACAAGAGCTGGCAAGGCTATGCTTCTGCCACAGCCGCTGCATATGCGAAGACTTTGATCTCCATGTTCCCTCCAATTGGGGATCTTAACGACAGTGTCAAAACTCTAAAAATCTCTACTTTGCGAACAAGCGTAGGCTTGAAAGTCTTGCTTGGCTCTCCTCGTCCCCTTATAGCAGAACACACCGACAGATCCGCCACTCGGCTGCTCCCAACACAGGCGCCTGGCCTTTTATGCGACAGGAATTTAGACAGTGGAAGGAACAACCGGATTCATCCGTCTTCTGGCTTCAGGGACTTCGTAGGTCCCCTGAGAACATCCTTAGCCCCAAAAGTTCGATACTAACACAACCGAAGCTGGCCATGGAAAAACATACATTGCGTGAGGAATTTTCTTAAGAGTGAATTGTTCGATTGCTAAAGAAATAAATCAGGTCCACTGTCATCGACCAAATCGCACACTGTATCGAGAACGACACCACCCAAATGCTGAATTATTTTTATTTCTCGAACATCAATTCCCCGAAAAATGCGTCAATTGTCCTCACATTTCTTCACCAACTTCTTTCCCGCATGTCCCTGGGCTATAACATCATCGAGGAAAGATATGATAAGTGGGTCGCTCAAGGACTATACCCCGAGTGTATTCAGCTGGACGAGCTTTGGGCCTTGTTCCGCGCAGCGACTAAGCCTTTTAAGCGGTTATATATGGTCATCGATGGTGTTGACCAATTTGAGCCCCAAGAACGATGGGATTTACACGTTACAATCGACCGCTTGTTCAAGGGTCTCAAACTGGAATTCAAAGTTTTGATTTCAAGTCGAGACTTTCCAGAGATCAACCGCCTTGGCAGATACCGACAACTTAAGATTCAGCCATCGGATACTGAAGATGACATTCGGAAGTTCGTGTACTTGAAGGTTGAATCGAACGAACTTTTCGCGAGGTCGGGACTAGACCTCAGCCCCGACACCAAGCAATATATCTGTCACAGTCTAATAAAACGTGTCCAGGGAATGTAGGTCGCTCGCTTTATCTTCCCTTTTTCCAAACTACTATTGACAGTTCTGACAAATATTAGGTTCCTATGGGTACATTTGCAACTGGAAGAGCTCACTCATGCAGCAACAGAAAATGAGATGATTGCCATGATTGACTATTTGCCGACGGATCTCCAACCTCTTTATCGCAGGCTTAAGCAAAATGTCGATCAGCAGACAATCTCGAGACGTCTCCTGGCCTACGCAATTCTGGAGTTTTTGACGTTCACAGATCAGCCTATGACACTAGATTCAGTCGTTCGGGGCATTAGCGGGAGACTGAAACCGGCAGGCCTGTATGCCGAAGATCTGAACTTAGCGCTAATTCTGTCTGTTTACCATGGCTTGGCTGTTTACGATGAAGGCCCGAACATACTTTGTTTAATTCATACAACGGCACGCGACTACCTGGCACGGAGATTTGATGCACATTTATGTCATGCCTGGATTGCAGAGGCTTGCTTAAGGGGTTTGCTACATTTTGCGAACAGCAGCCCATCTGAAAGTGACTGGACCAATCTCCGCGCATCGAAATCGGGGGATGAGACGACTGTCAGCCTCACATTATATGCTGCAATGACATGGCACTACCACAGCCGCAAGTGTTTACGAACACCGGAATACGGAGCAGTGGAACGGCATTTCCTGGGTCATAAAACGGCACCACGAGTCTGGATATGGATTCTCGAAGTTTCGAACGGTGTTCATGCTGCCAGACTTCGAACTTTATCTGGTTTTCTTCGGGTGCTTGTTGACCCATACACCACAGAGTCTATTTATCTCGCAGCTTGCTTCTTCGGACTTGATGATCTTTTCACAGATATCCTCATGAAAGGGGAGATGGCAATCCGTGACGACATAGTCATACCAGCGTTCCCAGATGTTCGACGGTGCATACCATGGATTTCTCAATGCAACGACATAGAGAAACTCGAGTTGACAACAAATTTATGCACTGGGCTGAGTGAGAAAGTCGTTGAAAAAGGCGCTGAAATTCAAGAATGCTCAGGACGCAGATGGGAGACCCCAAAAGAATATTTCGATTTATCTATAAGGGCAAGTGATTTGAGGGATACACTGCTGCTTGCAAGATTGATGGGAGATATTCGGTGCGCCGGTGCAATTTGTGCAGCCGAGCAGGGACACAGAAGCATCTTCGCCAGAATCTATGACGATTTATTGAGACGGAACCCAATGTCAAATTCTCAGTTTCGATACTTTGTTGATACTTGCCGCAGCCTCGCTTGTACTGGTGGGCACATCGGCGTGCTTCAGGTTATGGGCAGCCCAGAAAGATACTTCCCCCAATATGGTGTTTCTCCATTTGGTTGTGCGCGAGGCAGTCTTTTGGGTCTATCAGCATCCGTTGGAAATAGAGATATGCTTCTTTTTTGCAAGCAGGACCTTGAGCTCGTGGATGGCCTGGTCCCGGCCAAAGATTTGACCCTCGCAGCCATAAGAAATGACCAATGAGCGGCAGAGCTACTTTTGGAAAATTTTGAAATTGACATGCAGAAGCGGGTATTGGTGAGCGAGGATGAAGCGAGAGGTGATTTATCTGGTTGGCGCACGCCATTGATGGCCGCCGTGTTAGCGGACCACCATCGAATGGTCAGGATCCTTCTGCGGCATCCGAAAATCGATGTTAATCGGCGTGCAGGCTATGGAAATACCAATTTGATGATAGCGAGAAGTCGGCTAGTCGTCGCGGCATTGTGCAAACACCGGGACTTGGACATACATCTGTGCAATGATTTCGGCGAGACGGCGCTTGAAATTTTCATGAAGCTTGGGTACGCCAATGCAATCGAAGCACTGGCGAAGCATCCAGACTTCAATGCAAATCAGCGCAACAGATGGAATGAAACACCTCTGATCGCAGCGGTCCGAATGAGAGACGTTATGGTAGTAGAGGCTTTGCTTCGCATTCCATCTACCGATCTTGACGCCCGTGACGAAGACGGTCTAAATGCCATGGACATTGCTATCCGACTAGACCATAGCCCTCTCAGAAGGTTATTATCCACTCCTCCGGCAGCCGTTGGAGACTCGGTAGACTGGAGTGAAGATCTGTCAGTTGCTCTGATACAGGCTTGACGACGTGATCCTCGGGCTGTGAAGGCACTGTTGGAAGCGGGCAAGCATCAAGAGCGATAGTCTCTCGTTATTCAAACGGAAAAAGCGGAACTAAACGATAAACTAAACTGACAAATTATTTCAATTTGGGTTTTCTGAGATATTCCTGGGAATTGTAGAACCAAAAATTGAGGGACAACGGCCAAGAGTTCTGGGGAACTACTGCATTTAGATGGAGCTAGCGTGGTGCATACTTATTGAGGTGAGTTGCTGACTTAACTTCCTAATTCTCAAGCTAAATGGTGACGGCGGTCTATACGAACCGCCTCGACAAAGCCTGGCTAACCTGCACTCGTGAAATCGATCAGAGGCTTTAAGGCAGTACTCTATGATTATATCTTATTCGTAAACACCCGCATAGATACTTTGGAGAATGATTTGTATAGACGTCTACCCTGATGTTTCGTAGATGAAACAAATCAATCATTTCTCTCCGCCGTTGTGGACTCCGTAGGCAGTGAGCACAGCTACTAGCTTTGCTCAGTATTACACTGCCAGAATGCTGCTTTGACAATGTACTTTGAAATCGAATGCAAACCATAATTCTATTTGATTTTGATTCCGTGCAGCCCTAGATGCAGCCTTGGGGTTTTCACATTGTGTTCACCTCCCCCTTCGGTGCTGGGCCCAGCCTTAAACACCAGCAAGGGAGACAAAATTGCAACACCACACTGCATCATTGATCAAGGAGGAGACACAATTGTTTGAAGACACCCTACCTATGTATTGCTGATAGCAGAAATCTAGGAGGGCAATTGTTGGCAATTATTGCTTCAAGGGCTCAATGCTAAAGCTGTAGTGAAAATTTCCATGTTTGTAGTGGAGCGCCAACGACACGAGCATTGTTGATCAGAATGCAAAACGTGCGAACTACACAACTCAAGAGAACAAAACATCCGATAATCTTTGAGCAACTTCAAGGGTAAATAATGGTGACAAAATCTGGGTAGCAAAGAGCCAAGCTTTGGGCCGTCCGTGGATGAGGTTTTCGGGCCGCGAGTCGAACCTTGGGACTCAACAAAAACTAACGGATCAATGAATTCTGATTGGATCTCTATTTCTTGCAATCGGTGGAATTAATAGTGTCTAAGCTGTCAACCCCCATGTTTCAATTATTCTTATTGGTTTGGAGGTTGCAGACCTTGCTCTGGTGGCTGGGGAGGCTGGGAATGGCCGCCCAGCACGGTGACAGCTAGACAAAAGCCCACTGGGCAGCGATTGCTGGCTCTCAAAAATCCCTTCACATCGCCGCCAGGTCAAGGAATGCTTCTAGATTAAGTCTCATCGCGCGTGGTTTCAATATCCACATTCCAGCACCAGCATGACGAGCCCGACGAGAAACTTCAGCCTGCGCAACGTTAATTGTACGTGCATATGGAAAATCCCCCGCCTCGTTGTCATTTAAATGGCAGGAAATTCCCAGCTTTCAGGTCTTTCAATGTCAACTAACTCTTATACAGCAAGCAGGCCTCAACTTGCCCGGACAGAATCACGACAGTCCGTCGCTGCATCAGACGACTACTATTCATTCTCAGACAGAGCTTCCTCAAGTCCCGACAGTCAAGTAACTGTTATGAGATTCAGGACACCTGACTCTCGTCCCTCTTCCAACGCTTCTTCGCCCAACATGTCGCAGGACCACCCTACTGCAGAGGAGTTTGGGTCTCCTCGCCCACCGACAACTAGCACTGTCCGGTTTGGAGATGACCGAGTCACTCACATGCGACCTCACTCAGAGGCAGCAGCATCAGACGAGACTGCTCGTCGAGTTCCCAGTGACTACGCTGGCCCTGCACCCACTCCAGGCCTGGACGACTCTCCGTACGTCCGGTTTGCAATCGATCAACTCACCCAGGACAGATCTGGGGGTGTTTCAAGACACGACTCCCTCTCAACTACGACAACGGGTGACTATCCGACTGACCGAATGATTTGGGATGAAGGACTGGGCTATTTCACTCGCACACGTACTCCTCTTCGACACGACACGCCTCCTGTGAGACCGTCGTACACTTCTCCCTCACCACAGGCTTTACCGCAACCACCAATGTCTGTGGAACCTGAATCTTTCATGGCCGTTGACGTACCCGAGCAGAGCTTGTTATACCCTGCTTTGGACTATTTGCCCCTTGTGCTGCGGCCATGGGCCTTGGCACTGGCAATATTCGCTACTCTGCTCATGATTGCAGGAGTTGTTTTCTGCAATGTTTGGTCAAATGGCCATGAAGGAATTTGGAACTACAACGGCCAAGGTGGCGCACGGTACTTCGTTCTGCAATTTTTGCCGCAGATTTTGGCCTCTCTCCTCATCATGTGGCTGTTCGTTGTTCAAGCCGCCTTATATCGCATTGCACCTTTCTCCATGATGTCAGCCGAGCGACAAAAGGGTCTTGTCATGCAAGGCTTACCAATGCTCTCCAAAAGCTTTGTCTTTCCCGATCTTTCGCATTTCCGGAACGGAGAGCCGCTGTTTGGATTTGCTCTCTTCACGATCTGGCTTTCCAACTTCTTCGCCATTCCTCTCCTCAGCTGTCTGTTTCAAGCAAAGTACTATGTCATTGACGGAGAGGGTGTCTGGAGATGGGCATCCGTTCAGTCCATTGGCTGGACAGTTGTTGCTTTGTACGGTCTTCTGGTAATCGGTCTGCTATTGTTGTTTTTGCGATTCCTTCGCAGCACATCTGGCTTGATGTGGGATCCTGTGAGCATCGCAGATTTGATCTCAATCATTCAGCGATCAAACATCCTACATGATTTCGAGCACTCCGAGACCGTGCCTCTAGTCCGGGAATCCCTTGATCCTCGCGTTCTCCGATTGGGCTACTGGAAGTTGTCCAGCAAGCCCGAGGTGTTCTACGGAGTTGGTGAAGTCGATGCCCCAATTCGTACACCCTCTCTCCATCAAACCGAGAAGAACCGACAGAAGCAGCCAAATGGACTCGCCCGAGTCAACTTTGATCTTGAGAACCAGGCGGCATTTTCCAAGGATGCTGATAACCATCTGTATTCACAGACTATCCGCTACCGCTGGACCCCTTGGTTCCTCCGCAAGATTCCCGTTTGTCTCTTTGTGGTCATTGTTTTCGCTCTCTTCATTGCATTTGTCGCTGTTAGCTTCATTCACAACGGTATTGAAGGAGGCTTCCCCCCGAAGTTACCAACTCTTCCATCGACCAGTGCATTCTCCTCCTCCAACTTCCTATACAGCTTCATTCCAGCACTTATCGGAAATGTTCTTTTCCTGGTCTGGCAACCCATCGATGTTTACTTCCGTGCATTGCAGCCATTTGTCGAGCTCTCTTCTCCTAGTGGCGCATCGGCGGACAACAGCATTCTCCTCTCCTACCCATCCATGTTCCCATTCCAAGTCACCATCCGAGCGATCCTCAACCGACACTTCAAGGTCGCATTTATCTCCCTTATGAGCATGGTATCCCTGGCCATCCCCATCCTCGCCGGTGGTGTTTTTATCGCCCTTTGGTTCCCCACCCATGATGATATCCGTATCTCCGCTTTGATGCCTGCATTCTATGCCTTGATCGCTTTCTGCGCCTTATATGCGGTTTCTTTCCTGGCCATCTGGCCCGGTCGTCGCCGCTATCTCCCTCATGACATTACGACCCTCGCCGATCTGATGAGTTTTATCTACCAATCTCCTCTCCTGTCCGATAAGATTCTTCGAGAGCCCAGGAGTAAGACTGACCTGGTCACACGTCTTATTGTTGCCCCTCCTTCCGAACGCCAATTCCCTCAATATGGCTTTGGAGTATACATTGGTCGTGATGGCAAGGAGCACCTCGGTATCGACCGATTCTCTCGGCCCGGTCGGACCGATATGCTCATCACCACTGGCACTATGAAATGATTCCCCTGCTGAGCCCTGCTGGCTTAGACTTCTTACGTTTTGATGACTTACATTGATGTTACTATCTGCATATATTGACTATTTATAAGCGTGTCAGTTTGCAAATGTGTTAGATTTACGTTTTCGGTTTTTACTCTTTGCTCTTCTTATGATTGTGCGCTTTTGTTACCCTACCTAGCCTTCTGCATACTCGGTGTTATTGCTTGCTTGTGATGTTTACGATTTGTTATTTTAGATGGTCTTTACCGTATAACCTGCATAATAGTCAGACTTATTCTTTTGAATCAAATCCTATCTTAAAGAACATTCGAAATGTATTGAAATCTCAAACATTCATGGACTTAACAAGACAAGTAAGCTTCAGTAGTTGCACAGCATATGAAAACTCGCTGGTTTAATCAGTTTTGCCATTGAGCCCAGATTTCACGTTCCATCCACACTTTGAAGCAACTTGATACACGTCACCCAAAGTATTTGATAAAAAACAGACCCACCTCGCCATACCTATGTTCAGGGAAGTAGATGAGTGAGAATAGCCCCATGCAACATACTGCCAGGAACTCCGAAAAGAAAACAGAGAAAAACATTGCAACAAGTCTGGCTAAAGTAGACCATGACAAGGTGAGCCATGCACCTTTGATACTCAAGTGCCTAGTCGCCTGACTGTGACTAGCTTGGTCTGGATTCAAAGAGGCAGCAATGCGTAGGAAAATGGCGTACGCAGGAAGCAATCCACCCAGATAGGTGATTTCATAGATTGCAAGGACGATGTAAAGTGCTGTTTTCCGGGATACCACTGTAAATTGATGGTCCATAAATCCCAAGGCACGGAGGGCACAGATGGTGAGGTAGAAGCAGGTGTTTGACGCGGTCGCATAGAGTAATGTCGCCGGGAAGATGTCAAACCACATTGACTGATTGAAAGTGCGTCGGTACAAAGAGACTTGTGGATGAAGATTCAGAATGGCATGCACATTAGCCACCTTGAAGGTTGAAAGCACCAACTCAAATATCACGCTGAGAAGAAAGCACTTGGCCACACTGGATCCTTTTGCAGGAAACAGGGAAAGTAAAAGTATTTTCAAAAGTCGATGGATTATGATTATCGACAGGCCTCGAAAGTTCTGTCTGGAGACGAACCGACGTGGTTCGCCGGGCGTCGAGGTGGCAATGAACGCAACCTTGACTTTTCCTTCAACATACGCAGCCTTAGAGGAGTCAGTTCGCCATTCAGGGAATTCGTCCTCCATTTTCCAGGAATGCGAGGACAACTTACTAGGCAAAATCCAAGGGCTACTACGAGCAGGCCCAAACGAGCTAGCCGCACGTCAGGTTCGTCCATGGGTTTGTACATCAACAAGCCGTCGTCTTCGGCATAATTTGAGGACATGGTGGCAAGGTTGACCAGCACACCAACCCCAAGATAATGTGAAAACGGTGGTATGGGTAGATTTTTGCTGGTGAGATATTGAATCTCCTGAGTCTTGCAAATTTGAGGCTCAGGCTATTTTGATTTCAAAGTCAGTAACCAGTGTCATTGGGCAATGCGATGCTAGTCCGCTCCACTGATTTGGGGGCAAAGCTTGCGAGGCTCGGCGCCCCACTCTGGCCCTTCTAATGGCGGCTGTTGTCTTAAAGTGCCTGACTTGCTGCTTCTTTCGTTACAGTCAATACTTTACAATACTCCATAACTGCATCCTTCCTCAATATTAATTCGGAATCGGCTTGACCTTATCGCTGGAAATAAATGGTCAGAATACGCTCAATCTGGCTTTGTACCCATGAGGTTTGCTCCAGTGGCAGTCCTAACTCGGGCGATTGGAGGTTTCTCAAATATGGCGCAAGAAGCCAGGGACCCATGAGAGGAGCAACCTGATGGTGAGTCCAAGCTACCGGCCGCGTTTCGGCGAACGGATACTGAACAAGACCTGGTTTCATGCGAATTGATTCGATCTGGTTTCCAAGACAATAGGGCACACTGGCGCAAATATCGTCTGCGAGACGGTGTGCGATAGACAATGCCAACGTCGATCTAAGCCCGTTCAAATCGTGAAATGGCATCATGCGGAGACAGCCAAGGATGATGAGCTGTACAAGAATACGACAGTCGCGATACGTGTTCCAAGTGGTTGCAGTCCAAATATCAGTGTAGCAATCGCATCGGTTCTTGTACATCCCAGCCTCGCGGACGGATTGGGGAATGATGCTTGCTGCAACAGGAGCCCAATCTGATGGCAGGAGGTAGGACCATGTGGCCAGGTTTCGATCCGTGTTACAAGCTTGTTCAAGTATAGATGTGCCAACAGCTTCATCTAGCGGCTGGACTATCATCTGATCCCACGAATGGCGAAGATTGACGATGTCTGATGCAGCCGTGGCTAACAGTGTTCGGGGCTCTGGCTGGGCTGGTGGTAAGGACAATGGCCATACTTTGGGAGTTGGGACCATGGGACTGTCAAGTCCTCTGCTTGTTTTGATCTGCACGTAAAACGTAGGTAAAATTAACAATTGGTCCCCAAACGCACCGTTCAAAACTCACTATTTGTACTTGCACGGCGTCGTCGATCGTCTTTGATGACGGCGTCTCCAGCCGTTTTGCTTTTCTGTCATTGATGAGAGCGATTGCACCCCTGAGATGAGCTTTCAATGGATGCTCTTCATCTTTCATCGCAACGAATTCCTGAAAACTTCATTTAGCCTGAGAATCCCACGTAATTCAGACATCGTGCCCACCTCGTATGTAGACAGCAGAAGCGTAGACAACAGAACAGAGTCCAGGTCACTATGTTCATTTTTCACAAGAGCTTCACGTATCTTTGACAGTGCTTGGGTAAAATAGTGTTCCGCCGCACGAAGTAAAGGGAGTTTTCCGGTCCACGCAGCCACGGAGAAGAAAGCAACAGCCAAGGTGCTAGCGTGGAGATGAGATCCAGTTTTGGTATTGGAGAAGTTCACGGGCAGGATTTCCATGAATCCTTTTCTGGTTGCTTGATCTCTGGGGAGATATAGATAGGAATTGAAGAAAATTGGAACAACCGTATCTTCCATTGGCTGATACAAGTCAACTGGGGTTGGCAATGCAGGCCAAATGACTTTTGTTGGATGTATCTTCGCAGAAACGACGGCTTTTGAGTCTGTTTGGTTGTACTTTTCTGCCGTATGGGTATTTGGTGAACTCTTGCTGGAGTTTGCTCGACTACTTGTTGTAGGAGATGACCTGACCTCGACAGGCTTCCTGAATGATGGTGTTTGGTCACGTAGCATCAGATCAAACGGATCCGGATAACCTGGACAAGAGCGTTTTGTTCTTGTACATGCTCGGCAATGTGGTCGGGTTTCATCACACTTGAATATATCAGCAATCTCCTGCACAATGAGACTTGAAAAGGGCCAAGTACCTTGATATGTCGCTGCCGGCAAGTCCGGCAACCCGTGCTTGGCTTTCCGCCATAAACCATGATTATGGTTGGACTGAGCTACTTCTCAGTAAATAAATCATCTAGGGGAGCGGGAGTTAGCTGATATCGACTCGGATGTCTCGATCAGCCGCCATCTAGTCATGCATTGGGCGCTCATAGGGCATCACAACGTGAAATGTCTCAATATTTTCACCAGGATCGCGTCAGCAGTATCATTGATCTGTTCATTCATAAACAGTGCATATTTTCAAGATTCGTAAGAAGGCAGACGCCAAACCTTCTGAAGACCTGGTCACGTGCAAGGGATCGGCAATGTCGTCCGTCTCCGTCTCCGCACGGGTTTGCCTTTCTCGCGACAACATACCCCGCGCAGTCTTACTCTCCTTCTTAGGATCATCTCGCCGGCGAATACGGATTTCGGTGTCAAGATTCAGTCCAAGTGGCTCCTCAACCTCGATCCCTCAGAACTCGCTATCCTCGAGCTCGTTTTCAGCTCTGTCTCCGATTACAAACCAACCACTCCTCCCACACCACGCATAAACAATGGTATCAATATTCGGCTGGGGCTCAAGCCCAAAGCCTGAGTCGATTCAGTCAACACAAGAAAAACCCACACCAGAGCAACCCCAAGCACCGCCAAAAGAACAGGAGCTTCTTCCCCATCAGACTCCGCGACCTCCGCTCGGGTCCAACACGAACATCAAACTTCTCTTTGGAGGAATGACATTCTTCGCCTTGTCCATTCTCGTGACACGGCGTGCATTCAACAAGAAGCGCATCGCTTGCATCCCACCTTTTTACACAAGCTCCGTATACCACCAGCCCCACTCAAACTCTGCGATGGACGCCTTCGAGGCCCTAAACTTGGCCACCCTCAATGTGATTTCATTTGGCCTGATGGCTGGTGGAGCAGCTGGATATGCTCTGAACATCAACAACATTGATGATATGCGGAAGTTCGTGCGAGCTGGCTTGCGGGGCGGCAGTGACACGCCTGTGAAGAGCGACGAGGAGCTCGAAGAAGAGGTGACCGAGTGGGTCTCCAAGGTCCTTGGTGAAAAGTTCGAAAAGCAGTTGGAGAAGGAGAGAATGAAGAAGGCGTTCCAGCAGGCCAAGGCCGATGAAGCCGCTAAATAAAACTGATTTTGTTCATGGCATTGCTGGTGTTTTTGCCGTTTGTCTATAATATTGCGAACACTCTACTCATGATTTGATACCATCCTGTACATTATGCATTTACTGAGAGCATTGATTGTCGGCTACATTGGAAATAAATGTGCTAGTTAAGAATGATTGCATTCGACTGCTGGTTCGTACATTGCATTGGCCCTCAGGCAACGAACTATTCTGATCACTAGCTTGTAAGCTTGTAACCCCTTGTTCGCAAAGGAAACGGTGAATTTGTCAAATCGAAAATCGTGGATATCATTGTTGTACAGTCAATCAGCGAAAGTTCTCGCAGTGGAGGTCCTCCCGGTGCGATGTAGGTTCTCCCAGCGAGATCTCCCGATGACGAAATCTTCCGATGAATCTAAGAACGATCCATCTCCTCATAACGCTGACGGGCGGCATTTTTGGTCTTTTCCAAGAACTCATCGTACCGGCCACGCGTGTTTCGGGCTGCTTCCTCAGTTGCATCGCCGAGCTTGCCTCCCTGGGCCCCCAAGCCGACACCCTGGGCATAGACTTCGGTGGCAATAGGCTCAAGAACACCAGTTCCCTGTGCACCTAGACCGGTGCCCTCAGACCATCCCATCCTGCCGAGAAGAGAAGCACCCTTAGATGTCGATTTTGTCTGTGCAACAGGTTCGATGTCTTCCTTTGGTGCAGCCTTCTGATAAGCAGCGGGGACTGTAGGACCCAGTGCCTCGCGACGCTCCTTAGCACGGTCTCGATATTCTTCAATGGATGGCTTTTGGTAATTCTCGGGTACTTTGACGAGGTCATGTTTGATCAACTTGTACATGGCATAGTCGGTCAATTCTTTGTTCTGCAGGTTGGCTTTGTGCAGTTCGCTCAGTCGCTCGTGCTGTTTGAGCTTAGGAATATCCCTCAAGAGGCACATGCACAGCCAGCAGCATACTTTGTTGTAGTCGGCATAAGACTGAACTTCTTGAGCAGGTGCGTCCTCCACAGGCGTCCCATTGATATCGTTGGAGGTTCCATGAAGCTCAGCGTGGCGATCACTCCAGAATTGAAGCTGAGACGGCATGGCAAGCTTTTTGGTATTTGCGCCAGCAGCAGCATCGGCCTTTCTCTTCTTTGGTTTCTCTGAGTCCTTCGCACCCTTGTTCGCATTGCTCTGTTGAGAAGACTGCTCCAATGCGGTATCTTCTTCCTCCGTTGAAAGTGTCAGCTCAGTGACATAAGCCTCGTCGTCCCAGTACATCAGCTGCAAGGATCGGTTGTTCAGTGGACTGAATGTGAACCCATGGGTGCTACCCGATGGGTTTAAGACGGGGATAAACACTCCTGCGTGGATGTAGCTGACCATGACAGGCTTCGACGAGATAGTGAACTTTTCGAAAGACTTCAAGCGGGTCATCGCAGCTTGCGCGTCCTATTTCGGTCAGGTTGGAAGCGATTGGTAGAGACAAATGAACATACCATGACGCCAGCAAATTCCGCAAACCCATATCCCCAGCTTTCATTTGTCTTGCGATCACGCACAAGCAAGACACGACGAATGGAGCCCTCTCGTGCTCCGAGGTTGCTGTCACCAGTCGTGGAGGCCACTTTGGATCCTTTCTTGGAATTGTTGGGGGCAGTGTCATTGCCTCCGGATGGACGATACAATTTGGCAACGCCCTTACCAAGAAGCTGTTCAGTGACTGAGTGGTCCAGGCCACGGATCAGGAGGAATTGGGAGGGTTGGTTCTCGGGAGCAGCATCATTGTCGCCAAAGTTTATGACTTTGGGAGCCGAAGCTCCAAGTAGGCCAGCGGAAGCCATTTCTGCGTGAGAGGTTAGAATGGTTGAAAGTTTGTTGTCGTTTGGGTTCTGTCACGTACCAGGTCGTGGGGCGTTGCACTTGAAGCACTTTCCCCGTGTGGAATAATTGGAGATGGCGCACTAAACGGGTTAGCTCGATTCAGCTTCACGTAGGTGGTGATTGTAGCGTGTGACGTGGGCAGAAACATCGGAACCCGTGTTTAGCTTACCATACGACAAGTCCAATCTCCCTCTCCTTTAGGACGAGCTCTGTCTTCTCGCTCACGGCTGTATGCAATACGCACTTTGGTACTGCGGTCGTTTGGGCCGGCACTGGGTCCGTAAAAGAATATTTGTGGGTAATTCTTTTCCACAAACTCTCGCGATTGCTCAATGGTAGGAAAACGCAGGAACCCTAGCTGCTTTGACAGTTCTATGGGGCGATGCCAGGTCAAAAAGTGAACCACCTCGCCGAGACATGTCAGTATAACTCACTGGTCTGACGGTCACGAATGACACGGACATCTTCCAGTCCTTCAACGTGATAAGCTACCCTGAGCTCAGCAGTGATCTATGGTTCACAGAACATGACCCTGTTAGCCGATGTCCCAGGAAACGAAATATATGGGCAACTCGGCACCCTAGGCACATCGAGTTCAGTATATCTGACTCACATCATCTTCTGTCATATCCAAGGGAAATCCTTCCATCATGACTTCTCGGCTCTCATTCCCAGGATGGGGCTGGCCTCGTCGAGGACTTCGGCTGCGACTATGGCTCCCACTTCGATAGCCTTCGCGGTCGCGATCTTTGTATGAGTGTCTACCCCGACGAGGTGGTGATCGGGAGTCTCGGCGACGATAATCGTCTCGGCCATAGCCTCGAAACCCCGGACCAGGATCTCGGTCCCGAGGATAGTCGTGTCTGCGGTCTGCTGCTGGCCTTCGAGGAGAGCGAGGGCGGTCTTTGTTTCCTGATTGAATATCACGTTAACCACGATTCTATGCCACATGGAAAACTCGGTCCTGTGGCTAAGGTGTTTATAGCTCAGGCACCGTTACCGTGCGGGGAGGAGCTTGTACCGCCAGGTGAGCGTGAGCCGCTGCGATCATCATACATGCGAGCATCTCGAGCGTCGCGAGGTGGAAACGGTCTCTGACCCCATCCAGGGTATCTGTCATTCGAATACGAATGCGCCATTTCCTCCGGTGTGATGAAGGAGAAATGAGACTGAGAGAACAATCATGGAGTTGATGGAGTTGATCCCGATAACGATAACGATCTATCTACGGTGAATCTCACAGCCCAAGAGCGCACAATGCCAATGCGATAACGATAAGACTCGCGCTGTTGTCCACTTATCATGCATGCCTGCGCAATATGATCTACCATAGCTTCCTTATACCTGCCCAGGTGCCCAGGTGGATGCTCTGTACTGGATCCCAAAATCAAGTTCCTGTTCCAGAAGAGCAAAGTTGGAGGATGGATTCCAAAACAAATGGTTTTAATATTGCTAAATCATTGAGATTTATCTTCGAAAGGTCCTTTGGGGGGCTCATACTCAAGTAACTCATGCTCAAGTACTCTGTACTACCATTTACTTCAGTAGGCACTTCACAACAAGGTCTTTTCCAACAGAAAAAGAAACTTATATTCACATGTACAAAAGACGTCCCCCTGGATCTATAATGGTGAATGCTTTCAGGGCTTGGGATCATGGCCTAACCTGACCCAAATGCGAGAGTACAGTCCAGCACCGAGCAACCTCAATTTCCGTGCCATCGTCACCAGTCTAAGTGGAGCCCAATGATCCACTACGTATCGGAACATCTGATTCAATGCCCGAGCTGCAGTCGCAGAGTCCCTGTTTAGAAATGATCCAGTCGATCGAGCCATTTCATTCCCTGGGCGTCCGATGATTCCCCGCTGCCCCGCGGTGGGACTGTAGTATGAGCGATTGGAGTTCCAAGTGTCCTCATGTCTTTTCCCATATATGTAGGGCTAGTCACCACGTTTATTCCCATCTCTTATTGATACAATCCATTCACTTGACATATCTTGTCCATTTGTTTTACTATGACTGCACCTGGTAACTCCAATCACCGCGCTTGGTGGAAAGAAAGCTCGGTCTATCAGATTTGGCCCGCTTCCTTCAAGGATTCAAATGATGATGGCGTTGGTGATATTCCCGGCATCATTTCCAAGCTTGACTACATCAAGAATCTGGCGATAGACATTGTCTGGCTATGTCCATCGTATAAGTCGCCTCAGGTAGACATGGGATACGATATTTCCGACTATTACAGTATCGCCGATGAATATGGCACTGTTGCAGATGTCGAAAAGCTGATTGCTGGTTGCCACGAGCGCGGCATGAAGCTTTTGATGGATCTTGTCGTCAACCACACCAGCGACCAACACGAATGGTTCAAGCAGTCCCGAAGCTCTAAAGATAATGAGTATCGGAACTGGTACGTCTGGAAGCCTGCTAAATACGACGAGAACGGCAATCGCCAACCCCCCAATAACTGGGTTTCCCATTTCCAGGGTATTTATCAGACTTTACGTGAGTACATGAGGTTAGAATCATCATCTAATTCGATATTCACAGGAAATGTTTGGGAGTGGGACGAACATACCCAGGAGTATTATCTCCACCTCTATGCAGTTGAACAACCAGACCTCAACTGGGAACATCCGCCCGTACGGAAAGCAGTTCACGACATCATGCGTTTCTGGCTTGACAAAGGCTGCGATGGCTTCCGCATGGACGTCATCAACTTCATCAGCAAAGATCAGCGCTTCCCCGACGCACCGATCAAAGACCCACGTACACCCTGGCAGTGGGGTGACAAATGGTATGCCAACGGGCCGCGCTTGCACGAGTATCTCCAAGATCTAGGAAAGATCCTGAAAGAGTATGACGCGTTTAGCGTGGGCGAAATGCCTTTCGTCACGGACGAGAAGGAGGTACTCCGTGCAGTGCAATTCGAGCGTAACGAAATCAACATGATCTTCAACTTTGAGCATGTCGATATTGACCATGGCAAATACGATAAGTTTGAGCCTGGCAGCTGGAAACTCACTGATCTCAAGGACTTCTTTGAGCGTTGGCAGACCTTCATGTACGCCAACGACGGGTGGAATGCACTCTATTGGGAAAACCATGACCAACCACGCTCTATTGATCGCTACACCAATGCCAGTGAGGAATATCGACTGGTCGCATCCAAGATGTTGGCCACTGCTCTGGCATTGCAAGCTGGAACTCCATTCGTCTACCAAGGACAGGAGATCGGAACCAGGAATGTGCCCAAGGCATGGGGTATCGAGGAATACAAGGACATCGATTGTCTCAACCATTGGCACAGGTATGTGAAGCCTTATTTTGGCCTTTCTGCGTGCCATGAGTAACATTTTCTTTCATAGGCTGCCAAAGGACGATCCGAAAGCCCAAGCAATCGCACTTGGAGAGTACCAGAAGAAGTCCCGCGACAATGGACGTACACCAGTCCAATGGTCAGCTGCTGAGAATGCAGGATTTACTGGACCTGGTGTCAAACCTTGGATGTCTGTGAACACAGACTATCCCAATGTGAACGCCGAGGCTGCCATCAAGAACCCTAACTCGACGTACCACTACTGGGCTACTGTGCTGAAGCTGCGCAAGAAGTACCTTGACACCTTTGTGTATGGTGACTTCACCCTTCTGGACAAGCCAAACCAGGAGCTCTTCGCGTACACTCGACAGTACGGAGACCAGAAGATCTTGGTTGTGTGTCACTGGACTGAGAAGACCCTACAATGGGATGCAGCAGTCAATGGCATCACTGTGGTCAAGGATGTCTTGCTCAACACTTATGAGAGCGCTGATGACGCTCGTCCGCGCTTTTCTGATGGCAAGTGGACCCTCCGCCCATATGAGGCTGTGGTGCTGCTCTTGTAAATTGATAGTCAGGACTTCAAGTATATAGGCACTCTGTGAGAGGTGCGTGATGACTACAGGCCACCATAGACCAAATCATGATATAACCACCAGGCTCATCCAAGTCCCAAAATATGTTGTATACATATTGCCTCTGTATAAAATCCATCGGTGTTCTCCGCAGATCGGGGCCCTCTTATCCACCGATCCCCGCAGGCGATAAGCAACATCCCACTGTCACTGCCACTGCCACTTGAACACTTTCTGTGTCTTAAATGCCACAATGACCACCAACGAGCCTCTTCCAGCACACCTGGATCCGAAGACTTACCCGCGCATTCATCATGATGCAGCCCACAACATCCACATAACGCTCACCTACGACGTCCTGGACGCAAACACCTATCTGTCACAAACATCCTCCCCCGCAGCGGGCGCAAACATTCTCTTCCTCGGAACAACACGCGATACCTTTGAAGGCCGCCCGGTCTCTCAGCTCAGCTACACTACTTATCCACCTCTGGCGTTGAAAACGCTCGCCAAGATCGCGGAGGAGGCCGTTCAGACACATAAACTTGAGGGCGTGAGCATTGCACATCGGCTGGGCGTTGTGCCTATTGGGGAGGCTTCAATCGCCATTACTGTGAGCTCCGGGCATCGCGGGGCAGCCTGGAGAGCTGGCGAAGAGGTGCTGGAGGCTTGTAAAGAGAAGGCGGAGATTTGGAAGAGAGAGGAATTCGTTGATGGGGGAATGGAGTGGAGGGCGAATGCCGACAGAGATGCGGAAGGGAGGCCTTTGAAGAAAGCAGAAGCATGAGTGGCTCCCTCGGGTCTGTATTCTATGCTTTAAAATGTGGAAATGAGGATGGACATGGCTGGTGTGATCCAGTAGTCCACTAGAGTGTGTATATATTATGTGAGCGTAGCTCCTTGGGCTGTCTGCGAGGTGCATCCCGCAGTCAATTGACCTGGAACCCCCAAGAATTACAAGCATAAGGCTCTCCAATCAAGTTTTAAATTGAGTAGGGTATTCAGATATTCGAGTAACTATTGTACAGTTTCTATACATACACCTCACAGAAGACGCTTACTCGGTCTTCAAGGGTCTGCCCTCCCTCTTCCAGTCATTGATGTGCTCCAAGATGACCTTTGCTGCGGAATCGGGGGTATCTTGGCGACCAATGCACTCAACGAAGTCATTATCGGGGTCTATTTTCAATGGTCAGTTCGGCAACAAAACAAAGGATTGGGTAATTCACTTACCCATGAGGTAGAAGTAGATGCTGTGATCAACGAGGTAATCCTCACCGGGCTTCACATCCTTGGGAGTGCTGAAGTACACGCGGTATTGCTTGCAGACGTTCTTGATCTGCTCGTAAGTACCAGTCAAGCCAACAATGCCAGGGTGGAACTCCGCCAGGTAGTCGCGCAGGACCTCGGGTGTGTCGCGGACGGGATCGCAAGTTATGAAAACAGGCATGAAGAGCTTCTCATCTTTAGTAGAGGCTTTGACCTTCTCGATAATCTCGGCCATCTTGTCCAGCTCATCGGGGCAGATATCGGGGCAGTGAGTGAAGCCAAAGTAGACCTTCAAAGAAAAGCAGAGCGTTGTCAGCAAGCAATTCTCACCAATGTTCGTTTCTGAGTGGTCGGCATTCTCCGGATTGTGTAAGAAGCACTCACAAAGCTGTATTTTCCCTTCAAGTCCTCCGCTGTAAACTCCTTGCCCTCGAGATCCTTCAACACGAACGGACCGCCAACCTTGGGCTTTCCAACACCCTTGCTCATTTCTGTCATACGCTTTCGCTCCAAGCGAGCCTTCTCGACTCGGAAGTAAAGCATCATACCCGCACCGGTCAACACGAACAGTAAGGCGGCCTTCCAGGAGAATGGGCCGGTCGCGTTACGCTGTCGCAGCTGACCCATTGTCTTTTGCTTCTCGCGGATCGCAGAGGTAGAGAAGTGGTTCTGTGAGGTGATCATGCTGCGCATGCTTTGTTCGCATCGTGGGCGCTGTGCTTGGGTGTAGGCCCGGCATTGCGTGTTGTTTCGGAGAAGGCGTTGTGTGGGTGCGGATTCGATGGCAGCGGTGCGGATGGCCCGGGCCAGAAGCCCATTCGCCAGTCTCATCGGAGAGGGCATGTTGATTGTTTGTTTCGAGGCTTCAGCTGGGGGAAGAGAGGTTGATTATCAATTGCCGCGGAGGAATTCGAGAATCTCCAGATCGACACCCAATTGGGCTTAGCTTTGATGCCTTAAGGTGTCAATATCAACCACCTGGGTACCGTTTTTCTCTTTCTCTTCAGGATTTGACTTATGCTATGAAAGTGTGTTCTATGTTCTATTCCAAGCAGATTGGATTTTTCTCTTTACAAAAATTTGATTCATCGGGCTATGAAAGCATAGAATCAAATGGAGATATAAATACAGTCTCAAATATCAACAGCCTGCTCGAGCCATTTCTCCGCCATCTCGTCAAAGTTAGGACTATAAAGCCATTCCAGATCAAATGGCCTGGGTAAAATTTCCGAATCTGCTAGTCCAGGAGGCTTAGGAAGTCGCCGGGCATCGATTTGGGCATTGAGCTCCAAGATTCGGTCAATGCGTTCCTGGCGACCTTGCTGCCAAACCTTCAGTCCAAGCTGAAGTTCATGGGCCCTGCATCTGCGGAAAATAACTGCAAAAGTATAAACATCTTCGAATGCCTGGTTTATCCCCTGGCCAGCGGTAGGTGGTATGGCGTGTGCGGCATCGCCAAGAATAACCACACGGCAGTGCTTTGAAGTCCAGTCCTCCAATTTGGGAACAACATAGAAAGGCCAAAGATTGATTCGATCAAGCTCAATCTTCGAAACTGCATTTTGCACAACCTCGGGGAAGTCCTCAGCTCCCTGTCGAAGGAAGTTGACACACCACTGTTTGTCATCGAGCAGGGCGGCCCAGCCCTCACGGTCTAGTTCTGGGGCGCGCTTCTGCTTGCCGATAAAGGCTTCCGAGCCATCTGCGAGCTGCGGCGCGATAACAAAGGCACCATGCTTTGGGTTCATGATCGTTACCGGGATGTCGAAAGAGTCGGGGAGATTCAACTGAGCTGTTGGCACAGCAGCACTAACACCAACAGCATTGGTGAATTTGGGCTCCAGGTCCGGATACAGGTATTTGCGGACTCGGGAATGGATACCATCTGCTCCAATCAAGCATGCTGCCTGTCCGGTGGTGCCGTCCTCAAACCCCCAGGAGACTTCTGTTTCGGTCTCAGCGAGGACTCGGACGAACTTCTTGCCGTACTGAATTTGGATCCCCCGCTCTTTGGTCGCGTTCAATAGTACGTCGATCAATTCGTGCCGGAAGATACGGAGTCCATCATACCCGTACTTTCCTTCGTTTCCAAATTCGTATGAGTCCAAAGGAACGGCCGTGCGGAAGTGTAGGTCCTTGAAGTGGAACCCTTTAGCCTTGACCTTCTCGTAGACTTCTAGCGAATCCAGGATCCGTAGGGCGTTGGGGGAGAGCATGACCGCGCCACCAATGTCGAGCGAGGCGGAGCGGGACTCGTAGACTGAGCATGGTATGGATTGCTTGTGGAGAGCAAGCGCCAAAGTAAGACCTGATAAGCCTGCGCCAATAATGGCAATATCTCCTTGGGTCATTTTGTGAGATAGAGTGACTAAATGCGCTTTTTCAGGGTTGTCTGTATCGATGAAAAGTTGGGATTTAGACGAGGCTATTGATGACGGGGGTACTGGCCTTATACATGTGAGAAACGCGTTAGATCTCTACTCGAATACCCTTCTGCTTGGCTGTTTTTCCGTTGATTGGTCTATGGCTCCAGGGCTTACATCTAAAATGATGACTTGAGCTTGAGAGGGCCGGATCCGAGCCCGGATCCGGGTGGAGATAGGGTTGTCCATCTGTGAGCGATCCATATGTTCTTTCACCTCATTTCGAGAAATGAGAAAAGATACCATCATTAGTATCCACTTTGACCTTTCCCAGGTGGGGTACTGGCTACGGTTTGTTTTGGGTGTTACAAGGTTGAGCCTGAAGCCATCCACTTTGGCATTGTCTCGGTATACTCAAAAGAACCTTGGAAGCATCTTATGGAATAGGGTATCATGTAGTTTCGAATTCAGAGCTATACTTAAGTAGTTTTACCACCATACCACAACAACGTTTCATTAACAACAGAGAAAAAATCGACATCCACTCGTCACGCCTCAATTAAATTTTCAGAAATATCGCCCAAATGCACCAGACGGTCCTTTGATAGAAGCACTCGCCAGCTTTCAAATAGCATCGGGGAAAGTGTGGGGGTTCTTAAGGACACCAGGCGCAGAACGCGCCTTAGGGCCGATAAGATGGTCAAATGCAGGAGAATGCTGCACACGAGGGCTCATGTCCTCGAGATCCCATAGGTAACCAAGAGTCTTCAGCACCGAAGTGGCACTGTACGAGGTTGATTCCCCAGAGACAGGATCGGTTCCATAGTTCTCAACGTGACCACGAGGAGCATAGGGAGACACCAACCAGGTGGGCATACGACCACCCAGACGGTCGAAGTTGAGGGTGTACTCACTGCCATCAGCAGCAGTCTCGGTGTAAGTCTTGTCATCTGGGCGCACGGCAAGAGGTGGAGCGACGTGGTCGAAGAATCCACCTGTTTCATCAAAGGTGATGAGGAGAAGAGTCTTGTCCCACTGTGGTCCTGTGCGGACGGCATCGTAGACCTGCTTCAGGAGGACTTGGCCGAAGGAAACATTGCCAGAGGGGTGCATGGAGTTGGTGTTCAGTCCGCAGCAGGATGGGTTGATGTATGACAGCTGAGGCAGCAGTCCGAGGTAGGCATCTTGGTAGAAGTTCTCGAGAGGTACGACATTGCTCTTGGCGTTCTGTGCTGTCCAGTTGAAGAACATGGAATCGGGCAGGAAGTCACCATTGGTACCGTCGTAGTTGCGCCACGAGATACCCTTCTCCGAGGCAACCTGGAAGATGCTGGATGTGTCAACACCGGAAACATCAAAGCTCTCGTCATTTTTGCCGTGACCATCGGCGGTACCGGAGACCGCACAAAGACGGTTCGGGTTGGTAGGCTGGTTGGGTGTTAGTTTGGTCTCCTATACATCTTGCAAGCTTGAGGTTACTCACACCAGGGACACAAGAGTGCCAGTAGTTGAATGTGGTGAATTCATCGACCAGATCGACAAGAGTTGGGATCTCATCTTCCGAGTAGTAACCCATTACCTCATCAGTGGCTCGCTGGGCTGAGATACTGGGGTAAGCCTGCATCTGACGGTTGACAAAGCCTCCTAGATTTGGCTTCAAGGTACCGTTGGCAATGGCCTCGTTGTCGGGGTTGTAGGTACCATAGAGTTCAAAGTTGACACCAGTGACCGAATGATCGGGGTCATGAATGACCGAGTCGTAATCTTTGTACTGACTGTACCACTTCTTGCTCTTGGTATCATTGAGATTCTCTTGATTCCAGAAGGGACCATTGTTGACGACATTGTCTAATCCTTCTTTCTTGACACCGCCGAGGATGTTGTCAAACCCACGATTTTCAAGGATAATCCACACCACGTTCTCAATCTTGTCTTTCATGTTGGCAACGGACTCCTTCGAGCCGGACTTGTATCCATAAGGTTCTTGGTTGCTTTTGCTCACAGCAGCGCTCAAGGCGCCGCTGGAAAGTCCCAACAAGGAAAGCAAGGTGTTGGTCTTCATCGTATCAGGGGATTGAGAAGGTAAGAGAATACTGAACTGCAATGATCAATTCGGCCGTTACCAAGCTTTTATATTCCTGTCATAGGGCAGCCGCAAAAGATAAGACGACATTCCTAGTCGAAAACGTGCAGGACTGGGCCGATTTGGACATGGTCTTCGCAGCAAATGAGAACCCATCATCACGAGCACATGTGCCTGCAGGGGACCTTCCGGTTGAACCGGCTTGCTAGAACTGTGCTTAGCGGGCCATGATAGCTGGTAGAGGTGGATGAAGTGGATTTGATACCCTCAATTTTGGTAGCCAAAACAGCAAATGCAGTCGCAACTCGCTGGAGAAAGAAAATAGCTCACGTTCCCGGAAAACAGTGGTGGGTCCGGAAGAGCTTAGCTCCACAGGTACACCAATCACATTCCTCAATTGAGCTTTAATTTGTGCCAAGCCACCAATCACGATTCAGCCTTGGCGCATGCGTCGAAGTATAAAGCACATGGGCATTGGAGTCCCGCTCCACATCGGCGAGTACGAGTATATGCTATCTCTTAAACGGTACAATGATAAACGCCGGTGAGTAATATTTCGATGACTATTGGTACATGGTAGTAAGAGCATAAGCCGAGAGCTCTCGACAGCGGACGATTAGCATAATCCTCGGGCGAGAAAGTACTCGTCTAGCTTCGATTCGACAGACAACCCCTCGAAAATTCCTGCAATGTATTGATCGGGACGGAGCAAGTAGACGGCGTCTTGAATCAGACCAGCTTCGGCGTATCGGACGTTCCATGGGAAGGTGAACAGTTTCACGCCGGCTTTCTGGGCCCACTGGTCAATTCGTGGCCCGGGATCTCCATAGACGTGGAGCTGCCAACAAAGATCGCGGAGGGTGGAGAAATTATCTTCCTTGTTTATCTGGACCCAGGGAAGACGGTCACCGGACTGTACCACTCCTGTGCTGGGTTGGCAAAGGCTGCTGCCTCGGTAATTGCATATGAGTTGAGATGCACCGCGGAAGATCTGTTTGCGGACGAATTCGAACCTCACAGCCAGGGGAATGAGGAACGGTATCAACCAGTTCCGAAGGATATACCCACGTATTCCTTGTGAGGTTAAGCTCGTGAATCCAGTGTCCGTCGATTTGAGGATTGCCAAAGCGAAGGCGCGCCGCTCGAACTCGTAGGATTCTAAAAGCTGATGTTGTGCTTCGTCACTCATTTGTGTCTGTTTGAGAACGGTTGCTAGTTTCCATGCTAGGTTGATCGAGTCCATAATTCCGGTGTTCATGCCCTGGCCGCCTACTGGACTGTGGATGTGGGCTGCATCTCCGACAAGAAACGCCCGGCCGCTGCGGAATTTGTCCGCGATACGGTGGTGGCTGCGATATGTGGAGAACCAGTTAACCTTTTTGATGTCAATCTGCATCGCCTCCATTATTTGAGGTCGAACGTCTTCGAAATTGATCTGGTTGTCGTGGTCGGGCGAGTCAATGTTGGGGTTATCATCGTTGTTCAGCCTTGTGATGCCAACCAGACGTGCATGGCCTTCTGTGTTGTACGGAATTATCAGGTTGAAGCTCCTGTTGGTGATCATCAGGTTCGCCTCCCCGTTAAAGACCATGCCACCTTTGCCTTCAATGTCGGCAATGTAGAAAAGGGGTTTGTATGTCTCCCCCTCGTACTTGGCACCAATACCATGACGAACAGCCGAGTGTGCTCCATCACATCCGACAATAAAGGATGCCTCATGCGTATATGAGCTCTCATCGCCCTCGTGGAACAAGGTAGCAGTGATGCTTGATCCGTGATCAACAAAGCCTTGCAATTTTGTGCCTCGTTGTACATGAACTCCAACACGGTTGAGGTGCCTCTCCAACATCTTCTCATGTTCATCTTGAGGGACGCTCAGCACGCAGGGGTAGGATGTCAGCTCGCGGCCAAAACTTTGGAAAGCTACCTGCGTTCTGTGTTGCCCGTGGACCCAGAGATTCGTCGCCGGGAGCTGGTATCCCAGAGCTAGAAGATCTTCGGCTATCCCAAGTTGTTGGTACAACTCGATTATACGTGCATGGACGACGATTGCCCGCGATTTGTCTGCTGGGGCGTGGGCCTGGTCAACAATGTGGACATTGATGCCTTGGTGTTGAAGCCATAACGCAAGGACGAGGCCAGTCGGACCTGCACCGATGATGAGTACCTCGGTTTGAGGGTTCATTCTCATGAAAGGGTTGTATGGATTCTGGCGTGGTAGCAATCAGAAAAGGATGTAGGTATGAGGTGTGTGTGTGTTCATTAGATACGAGACCCGGGGAATCGACTGTAAATAACATTTCGTTCTAGTCGGACTTCGTGACCTGGAGGGGGGAAAAGTAATCAACAATGAGCTGAGTAGCCTTTGCTGTCATTGCTCGGTCGGGTTAACCCCCGACCCCGAGAGTCGTATTCATGAGGTGTGAGGCCAAGGCGTCCATGCGGGATCGGAGGGTCGGGTTCCGATCGACGCGAAATCGCCCGATCTTACTCGTTTTGCCCAGGTTCTCGTGATCTACTAAGCCACGATGCGAGTATTCAATTTGTGCAGCAGCAGGTTTGAGTCATCGCCGTGCCATTCAACCTGTATCTGCGCAGTCGGGGTTAAAGCAACGTCCTCCTATCAGCCCAAATACGTTGCATCATCTACCAACGAGCTTTGGAATTGGTTCAGCAGATTATCCCATTCATTCCAATCCACTGGGCTGTCGCCAGTCATGAAATGGAGATTCTCTGGCTCGCCATCATAATGCGAAGTGGCAAAATCATAACCGGGTTGCGCATGTGGCTCCGTGTCACGTTCAACTTCAACTGCTCTTTCAGTGGTCTGCGGGTCAGGTAAACCCGGTCTATTCGCTAATAAAGAAGCAACGATGTTAGGGCAAGATGTAGGTGCACAGCGTTTCAGGCTGCACTCTCCAATGTAAGCCCGCCATGCCTTGACGATCAAGCTTTCGATGGCCGTGTGAAGAGGCGTGGAGGCTCTGTCGCCCGCCTCAAGTACATGTTCGGAATACACATTCCCGATCAACTGCCATACTGTGCTTTTCTCTTCTGGATTCGTCCGATGCCGCAGTTCCGAGAGCATGAATATCATGGCGTCCCATGGCATGTGATTCACAGTGTGCCACGAGAATCGTCGAACAACCGGGTTGTTTTGCGCATGATCGGCGTATTTGGTCATCTTGAGGGCGCTTTCAAAGATGATATTCTTCTCTGACGGGGAAAGTCGAATTTTCTGATCTTGATATTGTCGAGGGTGGTGTGCCATCAGCCGAGTGTAATGTACAGCCGAACGCACCATCAGTCTTGTCTGCATGTGGAGCGGAATGGATTTGTCGCAATAACGAAGGAACTCCTTTTCCATGAATTCCTCAAGCTGGTCAATCACCTTATCCTTTTCTTCCAAAGGCATTGATGAAGACGACAAATTTGCCCATGGACCAGTGTTGGAACCCGAAACATTCGTTGACAAACGACGAAGCCATTGTCCAAGCCCACTTCGAGCCAAAACGAAGATCATTTCTGTTGGTCCTTGCTTTTCGCAAGCCGGCTCTGTCATTCGAGGGTCGAGATCACTGTCGTTTGCATTCATTGGTGGTTGGACGTCAATGGAAGCTGGGAGTAGACTTGAAGCAACGCCACAAGATTGAGCAGAAGTGACATCTATTATCATGAGCTGAAACCAAACGCGGCGACGCATTTCTGTTTCGAAGACTGAGAGACCATGGTTGGAACCATCGCGGTGGACTCCGATCCGCTGCGCAATGCGTGTGGCAATCCCACAAAGGGTCCAGATAGTATGTGGATCAGAAAATGAGCGCATGCACAGCTATACAAATACAATTAGACCGACCCTTGAATGGACTAAGGACAGCTCAAGGGAATCGGAGCTCTGGTGTAAAAGATGAAAACATACCAAATACAACATGAACGCTTGAAGTACCGTTAAGCTTGACGTTCGAAGAAGTGATGCGTTCTTAAAAGCCAGCTGTGCTCCTTGCTTGTATCTTGATAGGAGTGTTCTTTTGCTTTCTCCAAATGATCTCTCAACATCCCCAGGCTCCATGGAAACTAAGGCGATACAGTATATCGCAAACATCAGTGTCTCGAGTTCCTTGCTGGCTTTTGGTAAGTCACTCATGGCTTCCAAGATTTGCTGTTGCACCGTAGGTACATGGATGACTTTAGTGAGTGGGTTCACATTCTCGAGGAACGCTTGCCATAACTTGAAGATATGCAACGGGCTCGGGTGGAGTTCGGCGAGAGATTTTTTCGCTGTGGTAGGAGATAGTATGGTATACTCGTCGTCCATATCTTGAGCAGGATTCTCTGTGCCTGTATCCGATACATCTCCCAAAACATCTGCTGCGTTGGGAAGCTAACAAAACGGTCAGAATCAGAATGGGTCAAAGATTAGCAAATTAGGCGCTGACCTCGTTGCTCACACTCGTCCACAAATTGCTAATAATTGAGTCAGCTATTCTGAGAGCCCATGCAAGCGCAAGACTCACTTATCCAAGTAGATGGAATTGCCGTCTTTCATGATCATCCTGCCAGATCCACTTTCCCTCGGATCTCGGCGCTCTTCCCTTGTTGGTGGTCTTTGAGGAACAATACTAGAACCCCTGGCAGGTATTGCATCGCGTCTGACGGACTTTGCGCGTTCTTGCGACACGCTCCCGTTCGCCTCCAACCCCCTTTTGCGGCGCGGCGGAGGAGCACGGTAAACACACTCCACATTCGCCTTTGCGCAATTGGAGCATGGCTCTTGCCTATCACATTTGACCTTTCGCTTGTGACAAACCACACATGAGAAAGGCGTGAGTTGTTTTGATGGTGAGTCTGTTTCCCGTGCGCCATTTAAGGCGTTGTTCGGGCTACCCATATCCATAACTGCAGGGTACTTGTCAAGCTGGCTGGCCCATGGAGTATGTGTCGCTAGTCCATCAGTGGGAATGGCGGGAAAGAGTGATACCTGTTACGATCGGCGAGGCCGAACGGCGCCGGGGCCGGTGGGTTTCTGCCTTATAATCCAGGCTCTCAAACCAATTCAAATGTTCCACCCATCTCCACCAAAGACATCATTTCAATCTCGGTTGGTGTGAATTATGAACTTCAATTGGCTTATTATGCTCCACTGCCATTGCTTGTTCTTAAGCTGACACAAAAACCCCTCGAATTTCCAAAGTTGTTCCTGCCAATGTCCAAAGTCTATTCGGTCCCATGACTGCGCCTTAGGCTGGGCATTGCCGGATATTCGTATCGCTGTCATTCACCCTTCTCTCTGTGTTTAGACTAGAGAAATACATCCTGAATATCTCCATGAATCCTTGAATGTATGAGCCATGGCACACTTTCTCAATCGAGTGAAAACAGTTCTTCGGAGAGGCAAACGGAGCTCAACTTGTGCAGGACCCAAGGAATCAGTATGGAAAAGACTTCCCTCTCATGTCTTGGTGAACATCTTGGCTTTTTGCGAGCTAAAGGACATCGGCTCTATATCTTTAAGCTGCCGATTGTTGCATGATCGAGTGGCTAAGCAGGAATTTTCCATTGCCTGGGCATATATTCAGCTTCGCAAACAGATGCACCAAACAGGCCATCCTCTCGATGGGTTCCTATCCCCAGGAGATGACATCGCCTTCATCTGCGAGCTGTTCCCACCTCCACCTCCAGAGTACAGTTCGGTCGTCGATGATAGCGCAGGATATTCTTTGGGATATCTCGGTGACCTGAAACGATGCTGGAATACTTGTATTCGTCTGTCCTATCATCTGGCGGCCCACGTAGTGGAGCATCATCTGGAAACCGATCCAATTGCTCAGCCTCTGTGGTCTTCTTCTAAAACGGAAAAAGAGCTTGTGTATAGCAGAGCAGTGGCAGCACTACAAGCCAAACTTGTGTACCCTATGTAATGTCCCCACTTATGTCTTTCCGGAGCAAATACTAACTCAATGTCAGCGCATATGCGGTATTCTTCCTGGAGGCTTCTGCTGTCTCGGCCCATGATTCGCATAATTCACATCATCATACACACGAGCTAGCGTCGTCCGTCAAACGGCAACAATCGATTCTCCAAAAGGCACCGTTCACGGATACACATATATTCCTCTCAACCCATCACTGCATGCAGCTCCTTTTCTCAACGGTACAGCGCCTAATGGGGCCGGAGATTCCCCATTCCTCTGCCGAAAGCTGGATAAGTCTTCTTCTCACTACCTCGACTATAGAAAGGATTGTCAGCTTCTTCCTTGCAATCGCGCAAGATGACCATAAAAAGCAGAAGGGCGCGCATGATTCTACGTGGTCCCATCGAAAAGAGTTCCTGTTACGGATGCGACAAGATCTGAACGACTATGTGGCAACAATGAGCAACCATGGCGAACACATGGATGATGGGCCAGAGCTAAATCATGTGTGGTTTCAAGCAGCATCTGATGAGATGGATCGACGAGGGGCGATTCCGCATACTGTTGAAGACACAGAAGTACATATTCTTCACGGCTCCGTCGTGAAGCTGCAGTGCGGGTCCTGTTACGACCATTATAACAAATGATTGTGGTTGAGTCTCCCGACCCAGGGTCTATGTATCTTGAATGGCCAGACGGGCTGGCTCTCAACCTATCCAAGCAATCTAAGAGCATCGGTAGCCTCAATGTTTAAGCCCTTTAAATCCCAAGTTTCCCCGTTTCCTTCTTTTCTTCACTCCACTCTCGCTGTGTCTTACCCCCAGGCTTAGTCGGAACTTTTCCGGAACTTTTCCTATTTTCGAAAAGCCACCAGATTCCAATCAAGCCAAGGTCTCTATAGCCCTCCTTGCCACCCGGTGAAATAGATTTCACGACTATAATTTTAAATGAATAGATGGGCATTCACGGAGTACGGCAGGACATGTAGCCCTGGAGACCATCACCTAGGGACGCTCGGACCGCGGAAATTCGGCCGCCGAACTTGCGAGCTGTACTCCGCTCGATGTACGGAGTACGTACAGTATCACCCCCAACACAGCTCTCTCCTCGGACAATATCTGTCATTCCGAGTTTAGTGAATATTTTGGGACCATGTCTGCGGTAAGTTACAAAACTTGGATTTGGGGTTGTTTCCTTCTACGCCTCTCCCCGAATTACATTCCACTGACGATGCAGACAGTGCGACCTATGCCACACTCGAAAGGTATAGGCAACAATTCAGACCATTTTAATGATGCTTCCAAACTCATCCGGGATTACGTCTTCATAGGTGAAATGCGATCGCCAAGATCCTTGTATGAACTGCAACGATGCAGGTGCAAAATGTCTCCGCAATCGTCAAGCGCGGGTTCACAGGCCACGAGTCTCTCGGTATGTGACTCCTAGTCTTGCAATACTATTTGCTGATCTATGAAAGACTGGACGCATTGAATGAGAGACTCGCAAGACTTGAAGAGTCCAGCAATAATGAGATAGTAGACTACCCGCCAAATCGACATGCGGCCAGCAGCACATCTACATCTACATCGCCTCTTGCTGGACTCACAGATGACACTGATGAAGCACACAAAGGGAAGAAGCGACATACAGCATATGACTCCCACTCATTCAGTCAGCCGCTGCTTCCAGCAATCAAGCGCCATAAGTCTCAGACGACGGCTTCATCCAATGCCCACCATGCGCATTCCCCAGGCTCCACGCACCATGTCAGCGAAGCCCGGGGGTATATCGAACATGAGCTCCAGTGTAACCCAGCACTGTCAAAAGATAGGCGGATTGCGCTTGAATCGGCTCGAAGGTTCGTTGGTCAGCTATCCAATCCGGCATTACACTTGGAAGAGACTGCAGCCATGGATGACATTGATGTGGAGGATAATGTGGAGCCTCCGGGCCTTACGCCGGAGCTACTTTATATGATGCTTCCTGGTAAGTGGCCATGAGTTTACTCCGGAGACACATGGAACAACACGCTGACCTTGGCAGGTCCCGACAAAAGAACAAATTCCCAAGGAACTATTTTATGGCCTGATCATATCTCTGACAAAGTCTTGGAGCAAATGGGACTTGCTATCATTGAGAGTAGTGAGTGTGAAGAAGTGCTTCAACATTATCGAATCAATGTTTGGGTCAAGGCTATGGGCTGTATATCGAAAATGGCACCCTTGATTACCAGTGAGCCGTTGAAGATTCATTTCCGGAAACTGAAAAAAAGATATGAAGCTGCTGCTGCAGAGCTATTGAATCAAATCCCTTTGGCGGCTGCCCCCAGTCTTCTTTTGCTCCAGTCTCTGCTGTCCGCGGTATGTAATCAGGATATCTTGACGAAACCTCGCTGATCTAATTAGGTACGACTGATGCAATACTTGGGTAATACGTCACGTTGCTGGATGTTGACAGCTCTAGCTTCGAAGGTGATTGTTTCTCTGAACTACCATAATATCACGAACGTCCATCCTGGGAGTGATATTGAGGAAAGCATCCATTCCTGTGTGTATATATGCTACTATTTCGACAAAACACTTAGTTTGCTGCTTCTTCGGCCTCCTTCTCTGCCAGACCTCAAAGTGGCCCCGACAAAGCTGATTCACATCGACCCTGATCTTCCGACGTCTCCTATCAAAAGAGGCATAGTTGAATATTCAGAGTTAAAGGATGTCTTGTTGAACATCCTACTCGACACAAAGAACCTAGAAGACACAGAAAAAGCCAACATGCTATCTGATTTAGTGGCACGAGCACATATAATACACTCCAACATGCAAAAGGTAGGCCCACGCAAAAGCCGCCATTCAGCAGCCATTAATCGAACTCATAGGTCCGTCAACGTCAGGAAAAAGAACTTCCACAATCATGGAACTATTTGCGACGCGAGTGGCTATCAATGGACTTCAACTACTATAGTGTTCTGACAACAATCATTCAAACTCGCTCCTCGGTGCTCAAATCGCGCTTGGTCTGTGAGGATTGCCTATACACAGCGCGAGAAGCGCTCACCACCCTTCATGCCTTACAAACGGCATTTTCAAGCCAACTCAACTCCGTCAACTCTTACCCTTATTTTCTTACCTGGTATGCCACAGCCTCGTCTACTGAATCTCCGCACTAACAAGTTTCAAGGACGATGCTTTTGTTTCCTCTAGCGCCATTTTTCGTCTTGTTCTGTAATGTGATCGCAACGTCAAACGAGAGAGATTTCAAGATGATCAAAAATATCACCGAGGACCTGCGTCAATTTGCTGAAGCGAATGCATCCATTGGCAAGCTGTACAAGCTTTTCTCCAGGTTTTTGGAACTCTGTGCGCCCCTGGTAAAAGCCCAGCTTGATCAGCCATCAGCATCGCTCTCTATGATGGAACCAACATACAAGCACGGTCAAGCAGCATCTTATACAGATATGTTTGATCGGGCTACGAATCAAGCTATCGCAGATCTTCCGGGCTTGGATCCTGCTGCGAAAGACTCAACATCCTCGCGTGCTGTAGAAGGTTGGGATGATAGCCTTGTGTGGGAACTGTTCGATAACCAACCCTCGCTGGGATGGGCAGAATCCGAGTTATGGAATGCTATGACGCAATTTGGCGCTACATAGAAAGGGCTAGACGGGGGTGCAATCAACGAGAAAGCAATATCCATGACTTCTCTGACGTTCATTCGTGGCTGGCAGTGCCATGCATGGTTTCAGTTCAATTAGTACGTGAGATGTATTTACTCAAGTAACTCTTCCGGGACGCAGTCCAAGATAACATAGAAAAGCAAAATGCAGGATAAAGAGCGTGAATGATCAGGACATCCCAGAGTCTAGCCAGAGAGCAAAGAGAAAGAAGAAAAAAGAGAGAAACGGTAGCTCCTCGATGAATGTGGACATGTGAAAGGGCCAAGTGTCGAAGTCAAACAGGCCTAGGATTATAATACAATAAAGGAGAAGAAGGGTGATGCCGTGTCTATCACGAAATCAGGACCCAGAGAAGGAAGAAAATCTATAACATCATGTTAGTAGAGCACACAACGATAATGCAATGGAGAGTCTTACCATCAGTACACCGAACATCTTGGCAACGAGCCAACGATTGCCGGACACACGCGTCCAATATTTCATGAGTTCACGCTGAGCGCCTTGGACGTTGTCCACGACATCCTCCGTGTTGGCATCAATACGTTGGATCATCTCCGACTGTTCGCTGACCATTTGTGCTAGCTGACCGAAAATTCCACCCAGTTCACTGATGGTTCGCTCGATGGCCTCGATGGCTTCGCCTCGGGCTTGAACATATGTGTTACTGGACTCGCCTTCTTCCATTACCATCAGTTGTTGGTCTGATTGGAAGGATGGGCGCCCGAGAGGTGAAGGGTTCGAGGGTTCGAGGGTCAATAAGTCGGCGGAGTTGCCTTGATATCCAGGCTGTGGTGTTCGTCGTCCCGCCGGATTATAGAGAGGAGAGTCTGAGCGCTGACTATCGAGTGCGTTCTGAGATTTGGAGGATACTGAGGAAACGAAGTTCTCGGTTCGTGTCCGGGATGCTTGAATGTTCTTGGTGCGCACCTCCAGCACCTCTTTGAAACTGGCGCCTACATCGGCCAGTTTTCCTTGAAGCATAACCACAACCTGCAAAGCATCAGTGAATGTCCCTCGTACATCTGCAGATAGTATCCCACTCACGTTGTCATTGTGTTCACCCTCTTGGTCAGTCTTGGAACGAGTCGACTTGGGATGCTGCGCATGGGTGAGCGCCTGCAATGAGGCAATGCTTTGGTTCAACCCGGCAAGATCTTGCTTAATCACGTATGTCAATTCGGATATTTCGACTGGTCGGTCATCAAAGAGTGATTTGCGTTTCGCCACTATGCAGCCATTAGAATGTCATCGAGGGGTTGCGCATTGCGGGTGGACTCACGTTCGGCCAATCGTTGCAGCTTTGCCATTGTCCCCGTAATACCCCGTCCAATATCACGAGCCCTCCGTGCGAATTCTGATCTGGCCATCTTGGCCTCCTGCGCCGCACCTTGCGGCGATGCATTGGCTTGTCGCCTTTGCGCGTCTGTCAATAATGCCTGGCGCTGTGAACCGACTTTCGAGGTGCCCATGCGTTTCTGGGCTTGGCCTAGAATAGCGCTGAACTCGCTGGTTCGATCTTGAATCGACGGGCCGGTCATTTTGTGAAGGATAGCGAGTGGGTTCTTGGGAAAGTCAGGCCTGTGGTCTTCGAGAGCGATGTCGAGAAGTGGGTTTGCGACGGAATCGGTAAACTGGGGTTTCCGAGCCTCTAATCGATAAGGGGTAAGACACAACCGGTTGCAGCAACAAGGTCTTTGAAAGATCAAAACAACACAATATGAAGTGAATGGAATCACGAAACCCCCAGAATATCTTCTGAAACAAGAACTACGCAATCCCAAAGACCCTGGCCACTCCAGGGCTGTCACGTTGTGTTACGTAATCCCTTGCACCGCCCGCGGGCCCGTCACAGCCCTGCCATCAGGCGCAAGGCAGCAATTATCTTGGGCTTCAACTACTCTCTCTCTTTCTTTGTCGCCTTCCTCTCACTCTCTCTTCAGTTCTCTCTTTTTGTGTGATCTAAGTTAAGAGTTAATGAAATTGTGTTCTCTGAGTGGATACACGTCATCCTTCTACACAGTACGGAGTACACTAGTCTTGTTTCCCGACTACTTTCGATCGGCGCCTTGACCACCGCGGGCCAAATCGCCACCTTCGTCCTCAATACCTTCATTGTGGGACAGGGGAACTGTCTTGGCTTCTTTTACTTAACTGCTCGTTTCGCGCGCCTATTTGGAGCTATCAAAAAGCTTCCAGTCGGTGCTGGTAGTCGCGCGGTCCCAAATAACTTGACGTCCTAATGGACCCCACCCAATCGCATGGGCAAGGAACCCAGAAAAAGTAAGGACCATATTCTGTCGCATATCCTGTCGCATAAACACTAAGACACAATTTAGCCCTTCTCCGTCAAATATCCGCAGTCCGCTTTCGCCGGGTAGCGGTAGCAGTGGAACCCCGATCTCGTTCCAACCGAACGTCAATCGATCCAAAACAAAAAGATGGGTAGAAGCGAGGCAGTACTCGTATGATGGAGGGGACTGGGGTGACGATGATGACGAGGAGGAAGAGGAAGATGAAGAAGCGCCTCCTCCAGTGCCTCGGGCCCCATATGCCACCCAACACAATGGAAGCTCGTCGGAGTTGAGCTCGCGTCGTTTGTCTGGTCTCGGGTTTGGGGCCGATGATTCGGCCTCGGCTGCAAAGAAGAATGTGGGGGAACAGAAAGCACTTCCCTTCGTAAGGCCAGCTGATCTCTACAAGCGGATGCGCGAAGACAAAGCTGCTCAGTCCCCCGCCACCGACGGCGCTTCGACCCCTGACGCCACCGGTGCTCCCCCGCAAACAGACCAACAGGCGCCCTCAGTTGGATTGCCAGAGGTCAAACGAATGTCTAGCTTTGGCACCGATTTCCTGGGCGGCGCAGACGCCGGTCAACCAGAAAATGCGAACACAGCCCAACCCGATTTGCAACACAATCCCTCCTCGGGATATCGATCCGTTGTTCACCAAGCCTTCGATGTTCCAGAAACCCCTCAGTCCTCCACAACAAGTGTTGAGAGATCGAACAGTGACGGCACTTCGGTAATCAGCCCTATCATAGGTAGCCGTGCTATAGATGATGAACGGACACCCACCATCTTGGAGGAGCCAAACGAATCAAGCCCTCCCAGGGGAACTGCCACCCAGGGACCGGTGTTCCATCCCGGCCATCGGCGAGACTTGAGCCTCCCCAGTTCAGACAACAGCCCTTCGAAGCGGCCCCAGGTCACCGATCAAGAAACACCAACTGGAGACCACGCAGAAATATCAGTCATCTCTCCACCACAACACGACATCCCTCACCCAAGTTTGGAAAATCATCCAATAATGCAACCATATCCGAACGACGGGCAGGATCGGCCTGCCCCTCTGAAGTTTGGAAGCGCGTCGGGCCCCGACAGCTTCCATGGCACAATCCCTACCATCATGGGAGCGGAGGAATCGCCGCAGAACACCGACAACGACCGCCTGAGAGAAGAAATTATCCAGTCGCTGAGCCGAGAAGCTACTCCCTCCGAGGAACCCGAGCAGAGAAATCAAGCTCAGTCGCAGACTGCCGAGTCTATCCCACAACAATTCGAGAAATATTGGAGTCCTACAGAAACCCCCAAGGCCCAGGTATCTAACAACCAGCCTGAATTGATGAACCCACCACCCTTGGCTTCCTATCATCCCTACGCAAACAGCCAGGGTAACTCATCATCCACAATCGTTGATCAACAAAAGAAGCCTAAATTGGAACGGCGATTTTCCTGGGAATCATCGGACGGCGAAGAACCCGAGCCTAAGATTCCCGGCAGCTATGCATCACCCCCTCACGACACATCGCTGGCTGTGCAAGAACCTGAGCCAATTGTTGAAGATACTCTCGCTATTCAACCCGATGTATCTCGCGATTTGGCCGCCTCCGATAATGAAAGTTCGGACAACCAACGTGCTGAAAGACCTCGACTTTCCCTCATCCTTCCTGTGCCCGAAAATGTCTCACCACCGGAGCAGGTTGCCGGACCAGGTACCACCCTACCTCAACAGACTCAAGTCCCTTCGATTACCAAAAACCCAGCTCTCGATGAGTCCCAACTTTTGGGCTTCCGTGATATTATTGGAATCACGTCTATTAATCAGCGCATCAAGTCCTTTGAACACACTCGTGACCAATTTGCGACTCTCGACACCGGTCTGAGTCAGTGGCTACAGTTCATGGTTAACGAACACTCTGAGCACACCGATGTGGTCCAGAAGAGTCAAACTCTCTCCCCTGCTGTAGCTGCATCATCTCCGTCCAGAAGCAGATTCCCCAAATTGCCTTCTCTTGCCAACCTCGCCTCCTCCAACGATGGCACCCCGAATAGCGGCAGCCATATGAGACGCCCGTCGGCACACCTTGGCTCTGTGATGAACAGGCAGAATGTCGGGGACAAAGGAAAGGAATTTCTTCACACTGCAGGCACTTTCAGTGGGAAGGCAAGTGGAGCAGCAAAGGGTCTGTTTGCAAAGGGCAGAAGCAAGTTCCGTCCCAGTGGAGGATCCGACAAGGTAGATACCTGATTTTCTTTTTCTTTCTCATCTGAGCGGGTTATTCATTTGGGTATGGACCATCGCTTTAATTGCTCCCTTCTTAATTCTGCGTTTTCTTTCTATTGGATACCACGATGTAATTCCGAGCGCCTTATGGCATTGAGCTCTAGAATGAGACACGAATGATGCTACCCTTCTACAATTCTCACACCCCGACCCTCTTCTCATTCTGATGTTGGTAATTGTAGGTTCAATCAACTCCGAGTGCTTCTCGACGCAGCCTCCAGTTATCCTTCCCAAGTGATGGCAAATCTGCTCGGAATTCTATGACTTTTGGCAGTTTGCCGATCTTCAGATCTGGAAAGGCTGGAGACTCTGCTCCGGACTCTGACCCGTCCAATCCGTCTCTAGACAGTTCACAGGAAGTTAATCGCGAACATGCCCGGGTTGCCAAATCGGGGGATAAGTTCAGGTCGCACAATTCCATCGAGGCGGCTGTGCAACCGAAGCACCTGTCAGCTTCCAACGCAAAGACTAGAGACTCCGATAAGTCAGCCGCTGCGGGAGATTTCGAGCAAGAAATGATAGCTGCTCTTGGACTTTTGCCGGAGCCTCGTCCACATAGGTCGGCAAGCACCCCTATGTCATTGCAGCCCAGTCAAATCAACGGCGAGAATAAGCGCCCCACGGGGCAGCCACAGGTACAGAGCAAAACGACTGGGATGCGGGCTGTCAGTGATATGCCGTCGAAGAGAGGGCCAGTCGAGAAGGGTCTGCCGGTTATTCCCACCGAGCCCTTCAATGTCCCTTTGAAGATGGAGGGCCAAGTAATCCCGGACCAAGGCAAGAACACTCAAAACATCACATTCCCGTCAATTCGTCCAGTGTTTGACGAAGATGTCAAGCCGCCTTCTCCCCCTCCGAAAGTTCCCGATGATGGACATATGTCGAATGGACATGCTATTCCACGACAGCCCTCCGTCTCGACGCTTGGACCCGACGAGGAAACCGGAAGGCGCTCATCTGAAGACGACTTCGAGAGGGATCCACCCTCTCCCTTGCAGCCGCCACAGACTGAGATTGAGCCGACCGCCCCCAAACAAAACGTTGAGGGTCCTGTGAATGGCAACCCAGTCTCCATACCCAAAGTTGAGCCTTCTGTTGACGAGCCTTCGCGGCCGTTTGCTCCTTCCAATCCATCCGAACAAGCGACTTCTGCTGAAATTCTCGAATTCAAGAGAAAATCAATCAGCGGCTTGCCCCCTTCGGTCCCGGGGGTGCAGAGCCCCTTGAGGAACGAAGTCAGGTACTCTCCAGGAACTCGGAGCAGCATGTTGAGCTTTGGTAGCTTTGGTAGACACAGTATCAACAGCAAGGGGACTCGCCCGACTACTCCTGCGAATGGTTTACAGAGTTCAGAATCGAGCTCTCCCGCTGGCAACGGGGAGTCTACGCTTGGGAAAATCGTGGGCTTCGGAAGACGTCGACGAGCTTCAGTAGGAGATTTATTGTCCAGCTTCCAGCTTCAGGGCACTCAGGCCTCCCAGGGTGGCCAACGGAAGCGGGCACTCAGTAGGATCAGCGTATGTCACACTCACAGTTCAATCGTTACAATTGACATTTACTAATTTTGATAGGGACTTTTCGGTCGGCAAGAGTCTCAAAAGCCGGAGGCTAAACCTTCTCAGCATGCGCGAACTGTCTCAGAACCGTTGCAGGTCAAAGATCGCCCACTCGCTCCGTCGACGAACGGAGATCTGGATATGGCCTCTCCTGTGAAAGATCAGCCACCGATTCTGAAGAACCCCTTTGAGCAAAAGCCTTTGCCAAATCAGCCTGATGAATCAACAGAGCCGCCAGCACCCCAGAGTGATGCTAACCCTCACGATACACATCAACAAGCCAGCATATCGCTCCCACCCAACTCATCGACTAACCCTCTGTTGACCGGTCGATTCTATTCCCAACTCCAAGCCGGAACTGTAAGTGAGACACCTGTTGGTTCTCGACAAACGAGATCACTCAGTCATCCCCTTCCTGGGCAATCTCGATCCCCATCCCCCTCATCAGTACATGAGAATCGACCCGTCCAGCCTTTGTCGCCATTGGAAGAAATCCAGGATCATCAAATCCAACAGTTGGAGGAAGATGAGGAAAGGCGACAGCCTCAACCAGCCGAAACTGTGGATCCGGCACTTGGTACGCTGAGCGAAAACCAGGAGCAGGAAGAGCAAGAGGAACACAAATACCGGGCGCTTGAAGAGCGACATGAACTACACGGGGAGCCCTCTCCATCTCCATTTCCATCCGAGCAATTCGGAGCTCCGACTAGATCAGAGCTCGGCCCCGAACACAACGTCCGATCCCGAAAGCCGACGGAGTCGGGCTCGTTCACTCCGGTCTTTGAAAATCGCGCAGTTTCGAACATCTCCGTCTTATCTTCGCATCCTCATCGTAGTGAGAGTGAGACTCGAGTGGTCAATGATAATCACGAACCGGTGGAACTGGCTATTACTGCCGACGACTCCAGTGAGGAAATCGTCATGTCCCCTACGTCTTACCCGGGACAGGAGTGGACGCCAATGCATTTGTGAGCGATGCTTTATTATCAAAATGTGTATAACGATGTATATGATATAGTCTTTGTTCAAATCCTCGTGATCTTTTAGTCAGGCTCTGTATAGAACCATGTCAGATTTGTATGCTACCCACTTTCATGCCTCAGCACTTCTATAACACAGCCCTGGGGGATGATCAGTAAAGTTCAAGCCCCCGCTCAGGGCTGCATCTTGATGCTCGATTTATTTCAAGCTCGAGGGTGCAAATTGCGCATTTCCAACCTTGGAACCTTGGAAAATTGGTGGTTCCATCATCCGAGGACTCCATTATATATCACCACGCGGCTCACGACGCATCTCCTCAATCCCCTTCTCCGAAGTCCCATACGTATCTGCATATCGTCCAACCATCCACTCATGAACAGTCACAGGAGGATACTTCGCCCCGAAGACCGAATCCTCACAATTTGGAAGACACCGAATGGTGAAGTTCGGGTTCCCCGAGTAGAAGAAAGGCACGCTAAATCGTTCCTTGCCACTTCTGTTGATCACCCGATGCAGATTCGACAAATATCGATCATTCGTCCATTGCATCATCATATCCCCCAGGTTCACAACATACGCCCCAGGCACAGGAGTCACGTCTACCCAGTCGGACGAAACGTTATTCCACACCTGGAGTCCACCCGTCTCATCCTGTAGGAGCATAGTCACAGCCCCAAAATCCGTGTGTGCCCCGATCCCTATGTGAAATCAGTACGATCCAACTCCACTGGGAGTGAGTCTCACCTCTCTCGAGATCCGTATTGCCTTCTTGGGGCGGGTAATGCAGTAGTCGGAGAATAGAGGCTGGATGGTCACGAAGATCACCAAAGACGCTCTGGTCCAAGTCCAGTGTTTGAGCTAAGACTTGCATGATTGCTACTGCGAGATCTATCATGAGATCATGGTACTCATCCATTATTCTTTTGAATTCATTGGGGTCAGACACTTCCGCTGGGTACTTGTTTGGACCTTGGCCGAAGCGTCCATGGACGACATATTCGTCGTCTAGAGGGAGGTCTTTTCCTAGGTAGAAGCCTTCTTTTAGATCACCTTTTGTGCGTTTTTCGAAATTCTGTGCGCGGAGACGCTCGTAGCCTCGGTTCAATCCTCCGATGTCTTTGCTCGATCTTAGTTTCTTTTGATCCTGCTAGATGATTGGAAGGTTACCTTAGTTATATCGTTCTTTAACTTCCAGTGGTAGATTGAAGAAGTCACTCGAGTGCTTGAGGATGGCGGCTTGGATATCTGCTGGGATACCATGGTTGATCAACTGGAAGAAGCCGAATCGCTCGCATGCTTGTCGGATCTGGAGCACAAGATGCTCCTTGGCGATATGATCAGTCCCGTAGAAAGCTGCCGACTTGTTAGATGTCTGTCTGGTATGTCTGGCTATTGTCGAGGTGTCTCACGTCCAAAATCAATGATAGGCGGTTCATCCATCTTGAAGTATCCAAGTGTAAAAGTGCGAAAAAGTGAAAGACGGGGGGTACTTTCAAGTATTTAAGATAGGAAGATGCGGGGATTCGGAGCTCACCGTCACACTTGGTCCCCTCGACGGTTTATGTAGGTGGTGTACAAGCATCTGCGCCAGATAGAGAATTGAGAGTATCTTGTTATTATCTGGTCTAAGCTTGAGGTATCAATAGGTATGGATAGCCAACACCTTCAGTATATCTACCCTTCGAACACCTCATGATTCAACTCAACGCCCATATCCTTCGCCATGACCTGCATTTGGGCCTCCAGATCATCTTCCATGCCTCCACCCATGCGCAAGAACTGGCGCACCTTGGTGAAATAGAAGAAGATATCAGTACTGAACAGAACCATGCGGAAGACGAAATGACGACCAAGGTTGCGCATCTTCTCGACCAGCGAGAGATCAGGAGATTCGATCAGCGCACGCGAAGCCCAGATTCCGGTGATTTTGACACGGTTAACTGGTGATCCCAGGAACTGATTGTTCCCTTGGACAATTCGCAAGTTGCGGCCGATGAAAATCAGTTCTTGTGGCCATTTGGTTTCGTCGCCCAGGATATCCCGAATCGCCTTGCGCGCCGCCTGTTGCATCTCGTAGCTTCGCTCCGCACGCTGGGACTTGCTCAGCCCCTTGATGCCCCGCTGAGTGGACATGTCACCGCCACTGTAGGGACGCATCAAGGTGGCCGATGCGAAGATATCGGGGTTGGCCACACCCCATCCTTTGACGATCTCCCCAAGCGTACGATTATCGAAGGTCAGAAGTGCCTTCCAGAATCGAGCATATTGGTGTCGGAACCCAGGCTCCATGTGGATGTACAAGCCGTGGTCAATCAAAACCAGCTCTGGCTGACCAGACGGCTTACGGCGGATGAAGATGTTGCCCGGGTGTGGATCACAGTGCACGTATCCCCACAAGAACATTTGGGCGGAGAACAAGTCTACCATTGTGGTCATCACGTCCTTCAGGGACAGCCCCAAGCCGCCACGGTTGTTGTGGCCTCGCCAGTAGTCACGCTCGGGCTTAAGCTTCCCTGCCCGTGGCCTATAATCTGCAGACGATCCCGGTTGGTCTAAGGGTGTTCCGTGGCAGCCGGGACTTCCCTCTCGCCAGCCACCGCGCCAGGGCCGGGTGATAGCTTGCTTGTCCCAGAGTCGTACGCCTTCCACCCATTCGGCGGTCATGACCCGCTTTGAGCTCAGTTCACGGTATACCCGGGGAATGTAGACGCGATCACGCAGACGTGATTCACCGGCGACCAGCTTCGCCATGTTTTCCGAGTTGTCTGCCTCATTCACGAAATCGGTTTCGAGCGATAGCCGCTCGCTGATGTAAGGAACTAGACTGTAGAACGGGATGTCAAACAGCTTGCTGTAGATGAGTGTCACAACTCTTCATTTCAAGATCAGTCAGTTACAATCACTTGAAGGCATGGAGAGGGCTGACTCACTTGAAGGCCCAAAGATCCCATGCGAGCTGCTGTACAATCTCCCGCTTTTGGATCTTGATGGCGACTTCACTACCGTCCTGCAGTCGGGCCCAGTGAACCTGAGCCACACTGGCACTGGCTCGGGCTTTGCGTTCCATCACACCTTTGCCAGACTCGCCTGTAAACGAGACTCCAAAGACCTCCTCGGGTGACTTTCCAAAGTCCTCCCTGATCACTTTCTCCACCTCTTTCCAGTCATTCTGTGGTGCATCGTCGAACATTCGTGAGAACATGTGCTGGAACTCCGCGGGTAATATCGCAGACTGCATAGCGATCGCCTGGCCCATTTTCAGGTATAGTCCGCCATTATGCCTCAGCAAATCGGACAATCGTTCTGCATTTCGGGCATGCACGGCCGCAATTGAGCTAGCCAATGGTGGATTGGGGCGGAAATTAATTTTATAGTCGATGGCCACGAGGAGACCGAGGGAGAAGGTGCGCGCCGTTCGCGTCAGCGATGAGGCGTAGAATTGGCTATCAATGCCGTAGGCAACGCCCGTTGCGAGCGAGGCATAGAAGAATCGACGTAGCCATTTGCGGGTTCGCGTGTACGTTTTCGCAGCAGTGGGTTTGCCTAGGGAACTTGGTGATGGCGGCACGAGGGGCTGGAACTGAGAGGCGTGTCGGAGTTGTAAAGGACGGAATATCGGCCGCAGAGAGCGGGAATGCGTGGCGAACGCCATAGAGGATCTAAGAGAGATGTATCACTGCATTGTACGCAATGCGAGTGCGGCGGGGATTATATGGAAGGGACATTTGGGGTGAGGGCGAAGTGAGAGCTCGGGAATCGTCATCGCCGAGTCGGAGCCCGTTCGCGGAGATAGGACCACCGACCCTTAATCCCCGGATCGCATACAGAGTAGATTAAATCAATTATATGGCTATCTTATATCGATGTGACTTTCTACAGTTACAAATACACGCCTCACAACTCCTCATGTTCAAACGGCCCCAATGAGTCGCACACCTTGGCATAGTCCCTCATGTTCTGAGGAATGGTTTCCTCCCATAGCTCATCGCCCTCCAAGAACCTGAGTTGTTCCTTGCACGATTCCTCCGATGCCATTGGGATCAAAGTCGGGAGATGCTTGATCGAAGCCTTGAGAAAGTTGCGCTTGAAGCAATTTCCGAAGCCAGCCAGGGTCTCTGCGTCGGAGCAGATGTGTGTTCCGCCCCCGAGCATCGGCCCGCAACTTCTCTTGATGGTCAGCGCGACATCGTCGCCCATCTTGAGTAGCGCTTCCTCTTTGTGGGGGACGTTCATGCGGTGCATTAGACTGCGCACGGCGGGCACGAAGGTGTTATTGCGCGTCCAGAGATCCCAATGCGGGACTGTGGGCTGACATCCGGCGTCGCATATTTCACTCTGGAACTTGTTGAAGAGGTGCGTCGGTCGGCCGACCAGCGCGGAGACGACTTTGAAGCATGAGGTGCCAATCGCGGCGATCGGGGAAATAAAAAGGAGGAGGACTAAGGGGCAGTCGATGGAGAGCTTCATTTCGGGAATATGTGCAAGTGAAAGAATAAAAAGCGAATGCGAATGCGAAAGGATGTAGCGTAGCCTCGTAGCCTCGGGTTGCTTCAGGGTGACTTTCCCCCGCATGTGGAGACAAAAAAGGGAAACCCAACTTTCATCCCGTTTTTGGTCTCGGGATCCTTTTCAGACTAAGATGACCCTCAATATAGTAATTGTTTGATTCCTTGGGGAGCTCAGTTTTCATGTTGGGCAGTTGTACGGAGACGCTGTGATCCGTAGAGAGAGATCCGAGTAGTTCCTCTTTGCCCCTCTTTCCTCCTATCTCTCATCTTGCACAATAGAACCAGGTTGGCTGGGATTACTTTTCTTCGTCAATATGAATCTATCTGGTCCAATCGATCCTTTCAGGTACTCCCTTTCGTCGGCTCTGTTCGTGGTGTAATAGTCGTCGCTGACAGGCGGTGGTAGTGAACCTGACACTCCGATGGACTTGGAAGAGGTCGACACTCTGGAGGCCATAGTCATCATCGATAATGAGCTGGATCCTCTCTCGCCTCCAGCTCCAGATACAGTCCAACTTTCGGGCAACCTGGGTGCCATCGGACTGGGCTCCCGGCATAATCTGACTGACCGCGGAGGGGCGTGCAAGGAACTCAGGTTGGAAGACGTCTGCTGCGCTGCACACGGCTTGTCAATTCTAGTGGTGAGCAAAATAGCTTCAATATCTCGAGATTCAACCTGATATCAAGATGGGAATATAGACTGCAACCAAAGGCGACAAGAAACATGCTATCCTGTTCGATGCCGGGCCGGAGGAAGAGGCCTGGCAGCGAAACGTGAAGCGATTACGGCCCGATATATCATCCATTGAAGTAATCCAATTATCACACTGGCATCGAGACCATTCAGGTTGGTGCTCCTCGAGACTCGGCATTTCGAACACGTTTCCATGGACCTGACGCATACGCAGGTGGTCTGCCGCGCGCAATTCGCATGATAAAAGATGCGAAGCAAGCGGAGGGTCGTTCCGAGGAATTGATCGTGGACCTGCACCCAGACCGACCTTCTTACCGGGGCATTGCCCTGCCTGAGCATATAATCTCGCTTGAGGCAGATCCTACCTTCGAGGAGTTGGAGGGTGCAGGCGCTGTGATTGACCAGCGAAGCGAGCCCCATACTGTGCTTGATGATTTCTTCCTTATTTCCGGGGAGATTCCACGGGAGACGCCGTACGAAACTGGTCTGAAGAACGCAGTGCGATATGACCCAGATGAGAATGAGTGGTTCTCTGACGAGGTGATTCAAGATGAACGTTCTCTCATCTGTAATCTCAAGGGTGGGTAGATATAAAGTGTTATTGCTGCTGGTTGTTCTAACATGCTCTCTAGGCAAAGGACTAGTTGTGTTCACAGCGTGCAGCCACGCCGGCGTGGTGAACACCACAAGACATGCAGTTCAACTCACGGGTGGAACAGTACCTGTTCATGCCGTGGTCGGCGGGTTCCACCTCGCCATGAGTGATGCAGATCAGATACAAAGCACAGTGAGCGACCTCAAACGACTTGATCCCGCCGTGATCATGCCTGGCCACTGTACAGGCTGGCGCGCCAAGTTTGCCATTGAAAGACATATGCCCGGTTCATTGGTGCCTTGCACCGTGGGATCGAAGATCACTTTCTGATTGGTATCACTTGAGTATCGCTGGATGCGGTTGGGCTCGTTGATCCTGTTCCTTGCAGTCTCGTATACCCACGTGGATGCAGGGTCTCGATGCAAAACCGCATGGCGTGGGTTGCTCTGAGCAACATCTCCTGTCAGGGGGTGCTTCTTTTGTCATTGGTCATCGGCATAGGTTGCCTCTTGTTTCCGCAATCCGATGATCCTGAAGTCTGACATCATTTTATCCCTTGCTGCATTTCAGTAAGATCGGAGGAATGCGGTAAGAAGAGTATCAGTAGGTCAGTCTCACGATAGCAGTATGGTAATTTCGACAGTGATACACTGTAGAGATCATTATTCTGATCCTGACTCACTTCCAAGGTTGGCGCGTATCCCTTTTGGCGCCCAGATCCACTTGAGCATGAATGTGCAAAGCCCTGGAGCTGGCTGTGTTGATAGTGCGTAGGCATTGAGTGCTGCTAATCTCAGCTGATATTCACCAAATATTTTCAAGGTTGTGGCCATACATGAGGAATTTTAGAAATTATATACTCCGAAGGCAGCACAAGCCAAACGGAGGACTTTCCTATTAAGTAGGAGAGATATATAATTGCTAAAACCGTTGACTGCTCAGTGGTGTGAGCTGCCTTCTAAAGTTGCTGGAATGCAAGCGGCGACATACAATCACCTGGGCAAACTTCTCAGGTTCTTGTAGAGTTGCGATTGAGACCACAGGTCCCTCCAATTTGCTCACCAGCAGCAGGATCTACTCAAGTACGGAATACTCCGTACTTCCAAGGTTAATCCTCGGGGCCATGTCCGATGGTCCATATGAAGCACAGGAGATGGAATAAATATCCTTGTATAGGAGTAAAGCGCATAAAAGATATCAGAATAGGGTGTCAGATTATCTGGGGACAAATTTGAAAGGTTCTAAAGTTGTTGTTTTGGCGTAGAGACATGTAGCCGGGTAGAGTGATATATACATCTACGGAATACCTCTTACCCATCATTCACATTTCCAAATTGGTCCAACCTTAGAACCCAAGAGATCCTGAAGTCCATGGATGATATTGGTATATTTTTCCAAACTCACAGTACTCGGTAGATGTCACTGAGACTAAGTATCGCCTTTGATACTCTGAAGAAATACCGTGTAACAGATGAGATTCCACCATCAACGCCGAGCTCACCTGTGTGCTCGGCCGTACTCCGTCCCACGGAGCCAAGATCCTTGAGAAGGACGATAACTCCCGGATTTACAATCAGCGGGCAGCTGGGCGACCACCAGCCGTCTTGGCCGGAGGAAATCCCTCACCGTCAGTGTCAGCCAGAGCATGCATACGGGAACATCGCTTCAATACCGACGAATCTAAACCACCCCCTGGCAGCAACACAGAACTCCTAAAAGAGACACCTCTGAGGATGCACGTCCCTAGATCACTGAATCTGCGTTGGGGCAAGCATGCACACTGCCCCCGCCAAGACGCAAGCGCGACAAGCATTATCATCAATCCTTGCGCTTGTGGTTTCCCTCTCCTCTCCACTCCGCCCCACGATTGACGACTGAAGGTCGCATGCGCAGTGATTTCACTCCGGCTGCATCGAAGAAATAAAGGGGGGCTGGCCAGCGACCAGATTCCCGCCAAGACGATAATGTGGGAGGAAGGGATGCACGGCGAGTCTTGGCATCGGTGGACAGGTACGAGACGAGGGCGATCAGCAGATCAAGGGGGGTTTTGTCTTCGTTGTCTCGCGATAAACGAAACATTACATCACAGAATGACTTTATCGTCGCACACATATGCCAAGCCCGTCCTTTGAATAGTGTCGGTTTTCGTTTTTGGGAAATGATGCCAAGAAGTGATTGTCCGGAGCAGGGAAGAGGCGCAATGTTGATCGGGATGATTTGCGCGCATTAACTTTCAACCTTGGCCGATAGTCTCTCGGACAGAGTAGACTGCTTACGGTCAGAACAATGTACCACTACTCCGTACTCCGTGCATTACTTTGCGAGGCTATTGGAACACATGTGATGTATAATCTCGATGGAGTAAATCGGATCGACGCATGACATCGTTGAGCAATTTACGGAGTACCCCGTATGGAGTACAATTGAAGATCGTTGAGCATATGGACTCGGCCAATTGCCTTATTTTCAAACCCACGATCTTACATTTGAGGAATGTCCACTGCCCGTCGTGCCTAGCCAAGAAAGTTAGTATATACCGCAGGCTTGAAACACGGGCATGATTCTATTCCCCCTCTCTTGGTATTTTCTTGGTGTTTTCTTGCTAGATCTTGGCTTGTCTGTCTATCGTCGATCATGAAGTCTAATCCCGCATATGGGAGACACTGCATCTCTCCATCCAGTCACAATGAAGTCAGTTATCTATGTATAGGCAATGGTTTCCCACGCCAGGCAGCATGGCGATCATCCCCCACGAATTCATCCCTCCATTTCTTGGCATTCCCGGACAAGGTATCCTGGCTGGATGAGCACCCAAGTATACGGTACCTGTACGTCTCAGACACATTTCAATCGAAACACTATCTGCACCGTATCGAGATGATCACCAACTCCGCCCCCCAGATTTGTATCATCGGCAGAAGGCAGAAATCGGCACTCAAGACCCGGAGATTTGCAACGGGGGGCTATGCAGCCTCTGCCGACGCACTGGCAATCAGGTGCATACCCCGGAAGAAATACATCGTAGCCTACCAGGCAGTCTCATATTCTGTTCCAACAATAGTATCAAATTGAAGCAAAAGCGGCAGATTCTACATACAAATCGTCATATTCACATCATCCATAGACGTTGTCTCCGATTGTGGAGTACGCAAGACGAATTTGGTATGAACAATACCCTCTTGCCCGAGTGGCTGTCAGCCATAGCCCGAGCCCGAATCCATGCTGTTTGGACAACTTAGAAGCTGGCTTAGGCCTGAAGAAACACCGAAACTGTGACCAGGCCGCATCCTGGTTTACATGATACCAATATAAAACAGCCAAGAAAATAGTTTGTAATACATGATCAAGCGCGCCGTGCTCTGTACTTGGACTCGTACACAACGTACATTGGCGCGGGGAGAGAGGGAGCGTGTGCATTGGAGGTCCAACGGCTTTGGTGCACAGTCATTCGGATTACCTACCCAGACTGTCTCGCACAGAGCATACAGGGCACGGCCACAAACTGTACTTAACGCTACAGCTACTCGTACAAACACCGGGGCTATACTTACCAAGGTAAGCAGGTAGCTACATACGAGTATGCAGGTGCATATTTGCGTCACGGAAAGGGATGAACACATCAAAATGACTACATATGTTTGTGATTATATTTGTAGAATGTATGATTACTCCGTAGACAGCTCGAACCGTTCCCAAGACCGGTTTTGAGTGCGCTAATAAATGGCGATGTGCAATTATGGAGTAGCGGCAACAAGCGCAGACGAATCCCCGCGCAGTATTCGTGTGAAAGGTCAGGCCTCGCCAATTGTGATGGTTCGTGCCGAGGGAGTGTGGGGGTTTGTTGGGTTCCCCTGTCGATCACAGCTGGAAGAGGAAAACTGAACATGTGGTTTTGGGAAGTGTTCTCGGTCTTCATGGCCTCTGTATTGGAAATTGAGGCGCGAGTCGCGTCGACATGTTTGGGATTTAGGTTTCTTAGCAGGTCAGATTGTTTACTCATTACCTTAATGGGTAGGGGACTATGTCATCGCTAATGAGTATGTAGAAAAAGTTCCGATGAAATCATTGCTGACAGGATTGCAGGACCAACGATCTGCCTATGTTGGTATAGCATGCCCCAATCTGGCATCTCCGTCCAACATACGAGTATGGAGTACTCCGTAGTGAAAGGGGGCCAAATTTAGTTGTATCGAACGTGCCACTTGGGCAATACCCAAGGTGCAAGACCGAGGGTCGCCCGGGAGATTAATTACTCGTAGCATACGACCATTGTGCGTCGCTTCTGTGGTGGACTGTGCGTACTTGGGGCGTGTCCATACGTACCACAGACTTGACACTTGGATCTGATCTACACAGGGGTTTACATGCAGCCAAGAGAAATACATTTGAACACAACATGCGATCTTGAGGTTGGATAAACGGCCCAGACAGCGCGAGCATAAAAAATAAATGGCTCTTTATGCAAGTCATAGCTGTCCCGCGAATATTAGGGCTGATATTGCTGCTTATCTTTTCCATTGATCATTTAGTGGCGCACCAGAGTTATAGTACGACAATTTTGCTCCATACTACAGTAGATGAGCCATCAAACCGAGGCAATTTACCCGGCCTGCTGACACGACGAGCGAAACTGAGTCCAATAAAATGGAAAAGCAAACATAGGTACATTGCAACTAGGGAATCAATCACTTCTGATCCAGCAGTCGGCAATAGAGAAAGAAATTTCTATCTGTCGCCAAAAAGCAAGGTACAAAGCCTGAAACTGTCGCAGGTGTGCCGAATTCCCGCGTGCCGCGTAGCCCGATATGGGAGTCCGACACGGGAGTCCGACACAGACCGAGTGAAAAATCGGCAAAGGGCCAGGCTAAAGCCGACCAGGGAGGAGCACTACGACTGCAATCTATGGTCCAATAGTGTGCGCGCGAACAAAGCCCAATATTCGGACGGAGAATAGTCGTTTGGAAAAAAAAAAAAAATACAAATTGAAAACGAAAATCAAACGTCAAAATGGGCAGTAGTCTTGGAGCACAGACTCGCGGGACAAGCTTCCGAAGCTGGCGATGACGATAGGGATTTACCCAAATTGAATGTGTTCACAGGTGCAGGTGACAGGAATGATAGTCGCAAAGCTATGACCAGCTTTTGAACAATCTCCACGATAGCTTGGGATTCGTACGAGTACGGAGTACGAGTATGGGGATTTTGACTTGGCAAGGGCTATTTGCTAGTTCCTCATGTTGCTCCGTACGAGGACTTTCCCCGATGCAACCCACGTTCATCTACTAAACACGGGTGGACAACGGGATCCTCGTTTCAAGACATTTAAAGCT